AAAAAGAACAGGCATATATATTCGTATAGATGTGTCAACAAGAGTTGTCAGGTTCGTACTCTCTCTCTCTCTCTCTCTCTCTCTCTCTGTGTGTGTGTGTGTGTCTCTCTCTCTACTCGCAAGCCAAAGAAGTCTTCCGGATGGATGTTGCAAATCAAGTAACTGCTGTGTGTTAAAACCGTCCAACAGGTTCGGGAATAAAATGGGTTTTATAGCAGGTCACACCACGATTGTAGATAGAGGAATGACCAAAACTATTTCTAGCAGTTACCAAGTGGGCCAACATGCAACTAAGAGATTTCCATATTTTGCGAGCAGTATGGATTGGATCCAGCAGCACCTACGCTGCGTTGAACTTGAAGACAACGGCACAAAGAGACCACATCATAAAGAAACACGCCCATCTAAAAGGTAGCAAAACTAAACAATTCCATCTTTTGCCTGCCACGCAATCCCTCCCACACTCCCTTCCCTCAGAAAATAGAGTTAACAATATTACTCCCAATTGTCGCGCCCGCGCCAAAAATCGCCGCATTCCCCAACTTCTTCCCAAACTTCTTCCCCTGCTCAGCCAACTTATTCCCCCCACTCCCCTCACCCTCCTGCCCCGGCGGGGGGATATACCCTGCGCCCACCGGCGGCGGCGCTGGATATCCGGGCTGCACGCCATTGACAATCCCGCCCATCGGATTCGCCTGGTTGTACTCAACCTTACCGGTAGGAGCGACGACCTCCTGCTCCACAGTGACATAATTCCTCGGGAAGATGCCTTCTTCGCCTGTCCGCTCGTTGCGGCCCCGCCACCAGTCCGCGTTCATGTACTCCAGCACGGAGATCTTGTCGTCGCGCTCGAAGGAAACGTCGCGCGCATCGGTGGCGACGTATTTGTAGAGGGCGCGGGCGTGGGCGAGGATGGGTCTCTGCGGAGGGGCCGCGGGAGCAGGATTGGTACGGATGGGGAGGGTTGGGGTGGGGGATGTGGCGATGGATTGGGCGTACGACGGAGGGGCGGGGGTTAGGGTTTCGGAGGGAGTGTTGATCGCGGCCTTGACGGGCGCTGTGGAGGAGGTGTTGCGGGCGGCGGCGTTGTTGCTGGAGACTACGCTGGACTCGGCGGGGAGAAGGTCCATGATTGTTGCGAAGGCGTTGTCGGCGATGACTCCTTTTTCGAGCAGCGACTCGAGTTCCTGTTTGTGTCCGTTAGCATTCAATCAGGACCCTCAGACTGGACGGCAAGAACGGGAGACTTGCATTTTTGATAGTGCGGAGAGACCGGTTGGTCTCGATGATGCGCTGGCGGTCCTCGGACACCATCTTGACTGTTTCACTGGAGGATATCTACTAACTTAATGCTTGTTTCCAGGAATCGCTCAGCATAAAAAACCCCAGAGAATGGAAGATGGGGCCTGTGTTGATAAGGAGATGTTCGGAAGAAGTCAGCCGGACTGAAGATGAGTGTCATCCGAAAGTTGAATGAGGTGCAGTGGCGGCGCAGCGTCCCTGTGGATAGCCCAGGCACCAGGGGGTCTCAGTGGACAGCCGAGCTTGGATGCTGCAGCCTGGTGGATTGGCAGTCGGCGGTTGGACGCGCCGGCAGCCGACGCTGCCTTATCGTAACTTGCGCACCAGCCGTGTAATTGTTACGGTACAAGGCTGTGTAAATTACACATCCCCAGCATCACCGGTGGAGTCAGCGTGGCCAGGGCCATGGTTCCTGGTGGACTTCGACGTCTTGGCTTTCGTCATACCTGTCCATTGCGAACTGTTAGTCTCGAATCGAAGCCAACCTCTAGCGAACGGCGACAGGATCGAAGATGAGTACTTGAGTTGGGCATGTAGCGTTATTGAAACTTGGCATCCTACACGAGCTAAATTCCCTTCTTAATTTGTTACAGGACGATACAAAGGAAAAGTAACAAAAGGCTAGAGCCGTGTGGTAGGTAAGACGGCGTAACGGTCCTCAAGCTGGACGGTGACAGGAAGTTAGTTAATAGAATGAAACATGATCCTTTCCGGTTTTACAAAGGTATAATAAGTATGCCCTAAGAGAGATACATCCCAAGCAAAGCCCAGATCAACCCAAACCAACCCACCAGAACCAGCCCTGAGCAGAAAGGGATATCGATCTGCAAGCAAAACAAAAAGGGGATATCCAAGAAGCGAACCAAGAAAACAAGCATTTAAAAGAGAACGGGATGGCCAAGAATGTAGGGAGAGAGCGTCGAGCATCCCCTCTACTTGGCGATCCCAACAGCGTTGTCCTCTTCCTCTTGGCTGACTGCATCAGCCCCATCAGCCCCATCAGCCCCATCAGCCAGTCCTTCAACCTTCTCAGCCTGCTCATCCTTCTTCTCTTCCTCTCCTCGCCCCTCTTCGGGCTCTGGAGCAGGCCAAACAACAGGTTCCATCCTGCCAAACGCGACTCCCCTCTTCCGTTCCATCTCAACCCTCAAAATCTCCGCGGCCACCTCCCATCTCCTCACCAACCTCGCCCTGCGCTCAGCAAACACCTTCTCCAGCGCATCCGCCTCATTGGCAAACCCAACAGCTAGATCCTCAACTTCCTCATCCCGCCTCGCCAAAAGAGCATCCATCTCGCGCTCGTGCCGCGCTACCAGCTCCTCCATCGCCTTCGCCTGCCGCTCGCGCAGCCCATTGATCTGTGACTGGTGTCGGCGCTGCATGCCGTCGCGCACGCAGTACTGCTCACGGAGCTGTTCCAAATCACGAGCAGTAACAATTCGCCTTGGCGGAGCGTCCGGATCGTCCGAGTTGATCTGTTGCTGTTGGGCTTCAGGCGAGTCGGCCGTGACGCCGCCGCGACAGTAGTCTTCCATATACTTCAGCTTGAGCAACACCTTCTTCTCCTTCTCCTGCTGTGCCTTCTGCAGCTCCATCTCAGCAAGGACCTGCCGGTCCTCAAGGTGCTGCTCAGTACGGACATGGCGCTCGCGCATCTTCTCGATCTGCTCATCGTACTTGGCCAGCACGGCCTGCTTGCGGGCCGCATGCCTCGCTCGCATCGCAGCCTTCTCACGCTGCTCGTACGCCAAGAACCTTGCCATCTCCGCCTCCTGCTGCTGCCGTAGCCTTTGGAACTCAGGGCTCTCCCTCGTCCTTTGCTCAGCCTCTCTTTTCCTCGCCTCTTCTTCTTCCTGCGCTTTCAACTGCGCAAGCCTCTCCGCCTCGAGCGCCGCCTGCCTGGCCTCCTCCTCGGCCCTCCTCCGCTCCATCTCCTCTTCCCCATTACAAAAATTCGGACATCCAACCTGTGGATCCCACACGGCACCACAAATATAACAAAACTGCGCCTTACACCGACACGTGATATGCGTGCACCCCTGCACCAGCTCGACCAGTGTGCGACACTTATAACAGCGGCGCCAGCCCGACCGCTCGCCCATTTTGAGAACGGCCTCCAGCTCGGCATCATCAGGGCAGTCCTGGCCGAGGGGATGCGCGGCCCGCTTGCACATGACACACACACGGGTGTCGCAGTGGGGACAGACCACTTCAAAGGGATGTTTAGGGTCCAACTTGCCGGTCGGAGGGATGAACTCGCCGCAGACGGTCGTATTGGGACAAAAGATGCGGGCTTTCCAGGGCGTGCTGTACTGCACGACGGCTTTGAGGAAGAGCTGTTGCTGGTCGGAGGGCAGGATAGATTGGATGATGGAGCTGGGGATGGGCTGAGTGCAGCAGCGAGGAGGCATTTTGGACTCGTCGGCGATGGATTGCGAGATGATGACGATGAGGCAGTCGTGGCAGTAGCGGTGGCCGCAGGGGAGCGTTTCAAGCGTGTTGGCGTCGGGGTTGAAGTCTTCGCGGCAGCAGACGCAGGGGCTGGGTTGTAAGTGGCTTGTCTCACTTAGACAAAAAGGAAAGGGAAGTAAAAAAAAAAAAAAAAAACTTACCGAACTTACAGAGGCGCTACACCACTCGGAGAACTCTTCCGTAGCCTCAGCTTGCTCGCCAGACTCTTAGTCAATCCTCTAACGCCCTTTCTGGACGAACCCCTAGTCCCCGACGTGCGACCTCCTGATGATGATAGTCTCTCCATTTTGGCGGTCGTAGGCCGATTAACATAGAGCTTCGGCTGATCCAGCATCGGATCCAGCTGGCTGATGTAGCGATCATAGTACGAAAAGTTGAGACTACTGCTTCTGGAGCGACGCCGGTCGCCGGTCGACGTCTCAGTCAGCGTAGGAGAGAGTGCAGTCGACGCGCGGGAAGGGTGCGAGGGCACTACTGTTGTGATTGCTGTGAAGGCTGTGGCATCAGAGCCGGTCGAAAAGGGGCGATTCCGGTTCAGATGGGGAGGGACGAGGGTCTTGTCAGAGTCGCTAGATGGGCTACTACTGGTTCTGCTGCTGTTGCTGGCAGCGGTGTGGTCATTGTGGTGTGTTGTTGTGTCGGACAGGCTCAGGGCCGATGGGTTGGGCAGCTCAATACCCAGAGACTCGGCCATGGCTAGCAACTCGCGCTCGATGTCTGCCTCAGAGACGCCGTCGGAACGGGCCAAAACTTCGCGCACATAGTTGTCTTCGTCTCCTGGACGGACGTTGGTCAGGGCAAAGGCAGACTGGTTCTTGCTGATGCTGTTACTCCCGCCGTCATGGCCAGGGGCGGCCGGCTTGGATGGAAACAAGACCTGGAGAGCCATGGATTATGGATACCTTGATGTCTTCGCTCCTCGTTTCTTGTGGGCTCTTGGATTCGGTGATACTCGACAACCCCGTAGCTGTTCTGATGTTGGTGGATGCAAGCCCTGCTTGCGAGTCTGCGAATCTCCAGCAAATCTGTCGACGGATAAGTCGGAGGGAAAGCGGATGAGCAGTCTAAGGAGCGCGTGTCTAGTGGTACAGCGTGTGTAATGTTGAAGAGTCCGCAAGCTGGGTTGACCATGACATGAATTTCAATAATATTCAAAGAGAAAGTAATGACCCAGGGCCCCGGGTCCCGGACCAGGGCAATGATAAACCTTTAAAAAATCCAAAAAAAATGCAGATATGGGCTGACAAGGGTGGGGAGGATCGGAACAGGCAGGCTTCGGCTTTTGCGATGAAATCGCCTGCTTTTGGGATCACTGGACTCGACTGGACTGGTGACAAGCACTGTGACTGGGCCGTCCTAAGACCTGCTCGACCCTGGTCAACAAGGTTTTGGTACGTTGCGGTGGAGGAGGGGAACCAAGCCCGCGGGGGAGTCCAAGGAAACGAACTGCAGCCCGTTGCACGCTGGAATCACTGCGGGGACAGCGGGACGGGAGGGGCCCCCAGGCTGCCAGGTCAAAAGCTCTTGGCCCTTTGGGCAGTAGGCTTGGCCGATCTCGCCAAGCCGGTAGGGAGCTGGGCGCAGTGGGCGTAAGGGATGTGCTCTGCAGCGATCAGCAGAGACACCTTCGGCCTTGAGACCTGCCCTGACTGGACCGGACAGAAGCGACGCTGCGATAAAAAAGCGAGAGCGGGAGCCAAGCCAGCACAGGACAACAAGTGAAAGGAAAATGCTAAAAGTATGAAATCAACAACTTGAACACAACCCAATAGCTCAGTCAAGCGGTGTAATGTCCCAGATCACAATTATCATTGAATGGCTCGTGTGGCGCGGCTGTCGTGTTGTTCTTAGAGCTGCTGTGTTGTCAACAACCTAGGCACGGTTATAGCTACTCGGTAAAGTTTAGCGTCAGTGACAATGTAAAATGGGGCGAGCTAGTCCCGAGCTTGTGGGCGCAAGTTTTTGACAGGACTGGGAATCAACAAGCAACCAACACATCCCCGGACTACTGGGATGTGATGATGGTGATGAGATGAGATGGGCAGACGAGATCCATGATTCATGAAGCTTGCTCCTACGTTTACGCTAGCCCGATCCTCGTACAGATTAAGCACAGCCGTAACGACAGTTTCCTGATTTGTCTGCGCGGAGAGCGATGCGCATGAAAGAACCCCGTTAAGTGGGATCGCCAGTCGCCCGGGGCTGTTGCTGCGGTTGTTGCTGCCAATAGCTTTTTTTGCGAAATTGCCCAAATTTTTTTTCTCTTCTCAATTCGTATTTTCCACTAAAAGTGCGCGTTTGCTCTCTCTCCTTCACACTTCTACCCTAAATCCCAGCTTCTTGGTTCTCGCAGTTCCACATTCCGTCTGCTGCCGGACAAAGCCCTCGTACGACGGGTCGTACGAGCTCCATCATCGGGGAGTTCTGATGAAATTGAAAAAGGTCAGGGCAGCCTCGTCTTTTGGCGCCGCTTCAGAGTCGCGGCTTATTCTCGTCACACGTGCTACATGTTGCCGACCGCGGAATCACAGCGTGTGACGCCAAATGTATGCCGTGTCTGGGGAGATGGGAAAATGGGGAACTGGATTTTGGCACCTAAGGTGAACATTCATTTATTACTGCGAGGCCATCTTGTGGTCTCTCTTTTTTCTTTTCTTCTGCGCTCCTTTTCTGCCCGTTGCGCCACTTACTGCATTTTCTCTGCATTTCTTGCGGTCGCCTTGCAGATTATCCTGCCAGATCAGGCTTGCTGCCCTAGCTGCAGCTTAGCTCATTGTGTCTCCGATCCGCAGTCCGATCTAATTGTTGTTTTGTTTTTTTGTCCCGATCTTCACTTCCTGCTTTTCTTCGTTATTGCTCTTCTTCTAATCTTGATTGCCCGAAATGGAAAGCAATCAGCTCTCGCAAATCCTACACTGTAACTGTACGTCTATCTGTTACTTCTGCGCTGCTATCGTATGAGAGCACACTGCTGGTTCCGTGGATGCCGTCCAGCGATGGCACCATGCCTTAGAAGACGGTAGGATGCGAAAAATGCTTGTAATAAGACTTGTTTTCTTTCTTTCTTTTTTTTAAAAAAAAGGTGATCATTCGGAGTCGGAGTCTTAAGACATGTCGTCACGCTACCGATCTGATCCATCCTTGGCTTCCGGTTCCCTCCTCTTTGAAGGAGCCAAGCTCATCGGTGTTTTCTGATCAACATACGGTTCTTGGGAACTTCTGTCACTCTGTCCCACGTTCCATGTCTCACCAAATCCTGTCCAATGCCAACCGCCATGTTTGTGCCCAGCCGGCAAACACTGTGACAGCGGGATGACTAAAGGGCTGCAGCTGGCTGCTCAAGAGTGCAAATATTGGCCGTCAACTTCCTAATTTTGAGTGCAAAAAAGGCTATCACAACGCCCAAATTTATCTTGTCAATCACCATTGTGATCTCCTCCATACAGACTGTACGTGCACACTAGGTGCACATTCCGCTGTGGGACAACGCCAAACTATCGCTTTGATATTTTTTGTCCCACGTCAAATCTAAACCCTTTGCCAGTGATTCCGGCAGCTGCTGTTATTATTAACGGCCAAGGGGTCGTATTTGACTGTAGACAGTAAGCTGAGTATGCAGGTAGGTAGCTAAGCTGTTGCTAGGCTCTCCGGACTCTCGTCTCACTCGCCCCTCCACACCCCCCCCCAAACTGCTGCAATCGAGATAGCCACTGTGCAGTGTAATCCGTAATCCGTGAATAATCAAGATATCATCTCCGAACGGGCAGCGACGTGTTCTGCCCACTCTACTCCCGTGATATCGGGATCGAACGGAACAAGGCAGGGAGGAACTGGCGTTACACAAAATAGCCACACCGTCCACAAGGCTTTGCTATGATTGGAATGTCAGCTTCCTGATAACAGAGCCCTTTTTTATGTAGACATTTGTGAGAACCGACTCCGAGTTGTCGTCGATGGATCTTATTCCGGTGGCTTGCAGCTGTCCCTTACCCACACCCTGCGACTTGGATTTAACGGTGAGAACAAGCAGCGAGAACCTGTCCAAAACCAACAACCGTGTGCTCGGCACGCTCGACTTGACTGGACTCGATCAGGAGAACAGACTCTGCTGAAGACTGCAGGAATTCCCCCCCTTCCCTCCCTCCCCAACTCTCTCTCTCTCTCTCTCACTCACTCACACACACACACACACACAGAATAGGAACTGGACGGATAGTTCGATGAAATATGCTCAAAAAGTAATTCTTCTTTTACTTTAGCCAAGGCTGACTGACGTCGAGAAGACAACTGTCTTCTCGCCTTTCACTACACAAGCTCCCACTTCGCCAGCCAGCCCACGCTTTCCCCCGCGTTTCTTACCACACATAACCTACCCTCAGCAGGGCCACCATCACGCAACGCCTCCAGTGCCTTCTCAGCCGAGATGGACCCAATCGCTGTGCCTTTACCCTCACTGAGGCTAAACGCCCCGGTCGTCACAAACCCGATGAGGTCCTCCTCTCCCGGGCACAGCGGATGGTGCTGATTCTGGTGACTCGGGTCATTCAACGGTCCTCCAGGTTTGGGATATGGCAGGGGGGGATTGTCAGGCCCCACGATGAGTGACTGTGCGAGGAGCTTTTTGCGTGTTTCAAAGTCGACCCCGGCGGGCATCTGCTTTGCCGGTGGCAGTAGCGGGCCAACCAATCGGGAAGGTGATTTGCCCTTGCCGGTCTTGGAGTTCCCGAAGCTCGGGGAGTTTGATGCTGGCAGTTTCCGAAGCCACTGGTCCCTGAGGTCGAATGGTAGCGAGCCAGGAGAGTTTGCCGGTGTTGCGGTTACTTCGACGTCTGCGCATTGGGCTGTCGGCGTCTTACGCGTCGGCAGGCGGTAGATCCTTGCACATGTTGACGCGACGCCCCTCGTGACGAACGTTATGCTCACTGTGATGATCGAATATGCTGGTGGCTTGTCTGGGTTCGGTGACTTTGATAGCGTTGTGAATGATGCTTTAGTCATCTGTCGAACCAGTCCGAGTGGCAGGATCGTAGAAGCCTTGCTGCAGGCGGCAGTCTCAGCCCCTTCCGCTCTCTCTGGGGGATCAAGATCCATCTTCTCGATCGGTCCTGAAGCCGATGAGGTGTTTGTCTCTTCCGAGCTGGAAGAAGAAGACGTGGGAGCCGCGTTGAGCGCAAACAAATGCTCAAAGTCACAAGCGTGTCCATTCCCTATCTCCCCTTTTCGTCCAGCACCTAGGTCAAGGGATTTCCATTCCACCCTCTTGCCCTTGGGACGACGCTCCCATTCCTGTTTTCTCTTGGCGCGCTGTTCCAGCTCCCAGGAGAGCCCAGCGTCCGTTGCCGGAAAGTCAGCAGGAAACCACGGCACTCCCTGCTCAAAGGCCATCTGCATCTGCTCGCGCAAACCACCAAATCTCGGATTACCCCCGGTTGAGAGCGGGTAATGCATCAAGGCATACCAAATGGGCATGATGCATTTCCATGGAGCCATAAGCGTCCATGTCCCTTGTGCTTGTCCGTCTGTCGCTGGTCTGGAAGCGTACAAGACAATGGGGATTGGGGGATCGGCATCTGTCACAGGGAGCGGCTCTCCAGGAGCGTTGGCTCCTTTTCGCCTGTTGATGGCCTTTTGAGATGGTAACCTCGACGCTTCGAACCGGCTGTCACGGTCAAAGAGCCCGATTGATTTGGGGTCTTGGTCGGCTGGCCACTGAGCGAGTAGCTCGACCAAAATCGCATCCACACCCCCGAGGGGGACATCAATCGTCTTGGGAGGGTATGACAATCGGGGGTCTCTGGCTGAGAACGACAAAAGGGCCCCCTTTGGAAGGGCAGCGGGGTTGGTAAGGCCAGCCAGGCTCTTGAAGACCTGTGCATGGCGCTCCTCAGAGCCAGTTTTGTCGTGATAAGGCTTCAGCACTCCGAGCAGGGCCTCAGTAGAGCCCGGGCCTATTAGCTCGATGCTGCCGATCTCAAAGCGCAGGTCCTCGACATGAAGCTGTGGGGATTGTGCCTTGGCAAGCTTGACGAGCTCCTCGAATAGTTCGAGGAAGCAAGACGGATGCGTCCGGATCAGGAGCTGTCTCCGGGACTTCTTGGGTCGAGATGATTGATCGTCTGCTGGAATGCGGTCCTCGGGATTCCATATGATTGTGGCCGGTCCGATGTCCCGTCTCGAACCCTTGGTCTGTCTGCTGAGTATTCCAGTCCAAGTCCGCAGACCTGCCCGCCACTTTTGGCCACGGATCCCCCACAGTGTCTCTTGTGTCAGACCAAGCTCTTTCAGGACCCTCTCGACACCGTTAGCAGTGCCAGATAGGCTAATTGTGCTCATGTAACTCATGTCCCATGCCACAGCGCCCTTCTGGCCAAGAGCACGATGTGTCGGGCGGTAACACTTCTCTGTTGGGGTCAAGGGGATGGCGAACCTCCAAAGCGGTTTCTTCGGCTCAGTCATCTTTGCCCTTTTTGCATGCCACAGATGTGTTGGCAGCCACGTCTTGTTTATCTGTCTTTTTCTGAACTTTGAATCGGCTTTTGGAGGATCATTCAGCATGTTGCGACGAATCTTCGGCCTGGGCTGGCGGGTGTGCGCTTTCGGTTTGCTATCGATCTGACTCGATGCCCCTGAAGCAGAGGGTCCTTGAGCATCGCCCTTCTCAGCTCGCTGCTCCTCCAGCTGCTTCTTCTTCTGCAGCAGCTTCTTCTTTTTCTTCGCCGCTAAGATGCTTAGGCGCTTTGCAGTTTCGGCACGGATTCGGGCACGGGTGGTGCGAGGGCGCCGTTTCCGGGCTTCAACGGTCGGTGTGTTGTCCTCTAGCATCTCTTTTTTCGCGCGCTCACGCAATCGCTTGGGCACACGCTTCGCATTGTGGCTGGCCGTCCGGCGACGCATGGAACGGGGCACTTGCTGGAAGACACGGGTCGCGCTGGCGGCCTTGCACTTGGCCATGCTGCTCTCGAGCGCTTGGATCTCGAAGGTACGCGCTTCGATAAACTTCTGCAAATCCAGTTTTCCATCATCGAGGGCGTCGTCGGCGGGTAGGGTGCGGATATTGCGGGCATCCTGCCACTTGACGCGCTTCGCCGCGCGACTGCTGGAGGGGGCATTAGTGGGTGTTCCCCTTGACTGGGAGCGGTTATCTTTTGCGGCGGTCGGAGGCTCCTTGCGTTTCTTTCCTCCATCCTGCCCGTTTCCTGAGGGGCGAGGTTGTTTGAAGTCCATGTGACGTCGACATGTGTGTGTCGCAGGATTGGGCAGCTCGAGTCCCAATCGATGCGACAGCGAGGTACACGACCAGAACTTCAGAAGGGCGTCTCCCCGCTGGTGCGCTGATGATAGGAAGGGAGGGACAATTTTTGGAGCTCTTATCTTATCATGCCTTGGCGGCCCGCTATGTGGTGGGGCCTCACTGCCGGAACTCCACATGTCCCTGGTCAAGACTGGAGATCTGGTGGAGTTGGGGGTGCCCCAGATTCCACGCTGCGAGTCCCTTTCGCTCTCCTTTCTCGAGATCGTCTCTCCGCTCTTTCCATTATCTTCCTCCGGCTGACAATGATGGCTTTTTGATGTTGGTTAATTAGACTGGAAGCGTGGTTCGGTTCTGCTGGTACTCGTCTGTGCTTGACTATTCCCCGTCCCCTGAGCTCTCCTGCGGCTGCTGCGGGCTACTGCGCGCGTTCCTGGCTTCGTCGGGTTCCGGTTCCATCGCATCAACTGTGCTTGGCGCTCCAACGTCTGCGACGACGCCTGGCCACTCTGCTGTTGCAGTGGTCTGGGAAACTAAATCCGAAAAGCATTTTTATCTCTAGCACTGTTGCCAATCATCTTCGCCGTCACACTTAAGGTTTAGGGCATGGTGGCATCCAGCGTGCTTCCTACGCAGCTGCGATGACGTCCCTCAGTAAGCTGCTCCCCTTCAATCAAGCATCCAGTCCACCACATCACTGCATCAACTTATCTCTGCATCTCTGCCCTCCTTTCCTCCGTTCCCCTCATCTTCCCCGCTGTCCCCCTTCCCCCCTTCCCCCCCCCCCCCCCAAAAAAAAAAATCCCTTCCAAGATTGTATTCGTAACACAGGTACGGATGCCCTGTCTCAGCCTGCCCGTGTCCATCCGATGGTATGCAGCGGCTCGTTTGGGCCTTGCGGCCTTCCTGTTGCTGCTGCGCCTTTGGAAAGTGAGCCTAGAGTACCCAGTTCTGTTACAACTTACGTCACCCATGGGGCACGGCTTCTTTGACACTTTGGCACCGGGCACCGGCACCCCTTCCGTTTTGCCAACTGAGCCTTAACTACCTACCTAACACACCAAACGGGAATCTGCCCGACCTCCAAGAATCCAACCACTGCACTTTTGTTCTCTGCTCCTGGCTCTGTGCTACATGCCAATGCCAATGACTCGACTTGTTGCTGTTTGCAATGCGCCGTGCTAATCTGCCATTTCTATCGTTAGTACACAAGGCTCGAAAGGTTAGGAGCTTCGTTTGGCCACCATCTGGCATCGGTTAAAAAAAAAGTTCGGCGCTCGCTGACACTGACGCGGTATCCTACAGCCCAAATTTGAAGTCCACCTCAAAATTGCAGATCTCAACAATGTGCCACTCGTGTCTGGCGTGTCTATGGTCAAGTGGCATCTGCCAGGGAGCATCCATGGCGAGCATCGCGGCCGTACCGACAAATGTCCCATCGTAAACCATCGGGTCGAGTACGGCTACGCAAAGATCTTCCCCGTGCGCATCGCCATCGATCGCAACAATAGCCTGTGCGAGTGCCCCATTGAGTTTGAGGTTCATCAGGAGTTCAGCGCAACCGGCGTTGCAGGAGCCGGTAGCCGCGACGAAAAGATCACTCTCGGCATCGTACGCCTGAACCTGAGTGAGTATGTCGAGGAAAGCGAAGCTATCCTGCGCGACACGGCCACCGCGGCCGCAATCAAGGAGGCCCTGACTTCCTCGGGTCGTACCGAGAAACCCGGACACCATCGCAGACGCAGTTCCGTGAGCGAGAGCACAATACCAACCATCGGATCGGATCCGAGCCCACGCTCCTCGCGAGACGATGATTCACCTCCGTCACTGCCGGCAACGGACGTTCAAGATGGTGTAGTGCGGCGCTACCTTATGCAGGACAGCAAGATCAACTCAACGCTCAAGATCAGTATCTTGATGGTTCAAGTTGACGGCGATAAGAACTTTGTCGCCCCTCCTCCCAAATCTGCCCCTGTCTTTGGCGGAATCGCTGGTTTTGTCGCCAGCGACGCCTTCGAGCCCGTCGACGTCAACACTGTTACCCCCGGCCACGCACCGTCCTCATTTAGTGGGAAATACCGCGACTTGTCAGAAGCCCAAGACGTCTATCGCCGAGCGCTGGCCGCCAGCTGGGCAAGTCAGCCGGGCGAACTACCCGCCGATCAGTGTATCGAGGATATTTTTGCCGGCGGCGAGGGTTTTCCGCCACCTCCTAATCCAAAAACACACGGCCGGGGTCACTCGCGACACCACTTGTCCATTGCGGGCCATCTTCATGGACAGGACCGCCCCCGTAAGTCGCGGGCGCGTCGTAACAGGCCACCATCACGCAGAGAAGATAGCGGCTCTGCTTCAGACGATGAAGATAACGGGACCGATGTGATGGGGACCGTACGAGCCCGCGATTTTGTTAATTTACGCAGACACATGAGCAGCCATAGCCTTGCCAGCGAGCGGAGTACCACCACGGTGGCTACCGTACTTGCTCGCGACCACAATTCTGGGCCGGATCGAGAATCAAGCCACGAACGCCCACGCGGTGGTTTAGGGGCCGGTTTTTCTGCTTCATCCTCCTCGCTCCATCAGCGCGAGCCTTTCCCTCCATTTCCGTCGTTCTTTCAGCACCGTCGCGAGGAGAGTAAGATCACTTATGGCGGGGGCCTAAGGAGTCGGACAGGGAGTTTGGCAAGCCTAGCGAATACTGTTGGTAGTGACAAGGGGTATGACTCTCGGGGGAGAGATGGCTTCAAGCGAGCGAGAGAAGTGGATGAATTTGAGATTCGGGAGGATTTAATCGCATGGACTGTGCCAGGGGCAATGGCGCATCTGTAAGTGGTTTATTGATGTGATGGGGCTTGTCTTTTTTTTTTTTGCTGTAGTTGGTATTTGGTACTGAAGCTTCTTTTTTTTTTGGATCCATAGACATGTTATTCTACAACTTATCAACACACGATTGGTTAAGCAGTAATGAGCAGGAACACTACTACATAATTAGAAATTCTTTTGTTACCAATCCTCCGAGCCTTAGCCAGCTATAGACAAAATCCAATTCCTACTTCCAACAGCAACCCTTGAAGCAGGCTTCACGGAAATGGAGTCTCATCAACCGACCCATCAGAAGCTGCCACTTCACACATTAAAATGTGCGGCTTCACTTTTCTTTCAAGGCAGGACAGAGTATTGCCTGCCAATTGACTAATCACTCTTGGGATTGCAACACTAGCCGTTTCATAGGCCACATCCTGACCGAGCCTCACCAGTACTTCAATGCCTAAGGTCACAGCCTTCATGCGTTGAAGAGGCACCGACGGAGGAGGCCTCTAACTCACAGCAGATAACTCACCGCAGGTAACAGCTTTAATAATCAAAGGATATAATGCTAGTGAGCATCCTGGAGGCGGACAATTAAAGTCTACAACAGCAACTGTTGGAAGCATCTCCGTTCACACTTTCTCTCCTGCTATGACAACACATTAACTTTGCTGTATAATTCAGCCTTCATTCACCATGGAGAGTATCCGGTGCCCTTGCAAATATTCTTCTCCCTGTTATAACTATGAAGCACATCATATCTTCTCTAACATACCCCTTCAGATGCTTCATGACGATAACCTCTCTAATACTACGAACTATACCCATAGCAGTCATGATGATGGCAATCGCGGGGCACTGAAAAACGATGAGCAAAGACTATCTGATAGATCGCTTGCTTATCCGACTGGTCGAGACCAACAGCAAGAGGAAGGAGAACCAGAGTGGGTTGGTCCTTCCGATCACTCTGCTAATGCTCGGGGTGAAAACAACTTTGGCAGCCGCCCAAATGGGAGAGGGACCAGAGAAGAGGAACAGGGTTTCCTTCTACTTGACCTCAATGATCTCATCCCTGATTGGGACGACTCGGATTACACTGACGAGTATCAGCGGTCCTCTGCGTCGGCAGATGAAGGCGAATGCCATTCAATAATAGTCAATGGAGACTTATGTTTTGAGCCTGGAGACCTTGTTGCTGAGGACAACAAAGACACTGTCGACACTAGCTTAATTCATTATTGCGATTGCTGCAACTTCATACCCAATGGTAACATCATCTGAGACAGTGAGGGGAACACAGCTTAGCCAATAGGGCCTTGGGCTATGTTGATGGGGGATGAGTGTGGAAGCACTTGAGGTGGCCGTGAGGTCTCGTGGAAGTGAGTTGTCACCAGAACATAGCAAACCAGCTACATATCTTTTTCAGGACTATACCTCATGATAGAAGATAGGATGCTAAGAGCGTTGTTGTTGTTGTTGTTGTTGTTGTTGTTGTTGTTGTTGCTTTTTTTCGCCATGTAGGCGATGGTGTTCTTTGGAACATTGACATGTGGCTTTTATATTAAAAAGCTTCTTTGCATAGGGCAAATCTTGTATTCAGTTATATATTAAACGTAGATGGGATCCGAGAAATTGAATCCCATAGCTGTAGAATATCTTCTAAGTATCTTCCTCTTCGCTGTTAGCCACGGTCCTAGCAAAATACATATTCCTTCGCACTTGTACACAACATCTATCTTTCTCGGACGCCTTTAGGTATGGTAGCAATTCTTACTGTGGCATTTGTCCTAAATCACAGCACCACATGTAAATTGGACTTAACTCCCTCTTATTATATGACCGGGATGCCCTTTCAAAGCTCCTCCCACAAAGACAGCGATGCACATACTTTCCCATGCACCAGCGCCCCCTCCACCCCCCCCCAGTGGCAGGGCTTTGCAGAGGTGCTCTAAGCCGTTTAGATTAAGCTCAGAACGCTGTGTATTCATTGTTCGTTGACCCCTGCGTTCTCATGCACTCTCTCATGCACGGCCCATCCGCCAATCACTAGGCCCTCACCAGAATGCTGAGTGTTCGGAGGAACCTGGGAGCGAGACGAGGCTGCAGCAGCCAAAGATTAATTGTTGGGTGACACAACCACTCAGCGTCATTTGCGACTGTGCACTTTCATCGCATTGAGGCCCGTAACTGTCCCTTTTTCTTTTCTCTCACAGCCCTGACGCTTTCCTAACTGATGCCCAGGTGAATGCCCTGTTGTGGGGCGTCAGCCAAGCATATCTCAGAGAAGCCGACGATACACTGGCCTGGCACTTGTCGAGGTCGCAATTTGTTCGATAATTAAGCACCGTCACCAACATCACCAGCCTCCTGCCACCCTGACTTGATTACATCAGCTCATCATCGCTGTAGCGGGCCTGACACAAAATACTTTGGCCGAGCAGGCTGCGAGCTCTGGAAGCCTACTACTTCAGACAAGACGTTTACTGGGAGTCAACAAATCCATTAATCAACATGCCGCAATTCCAGGATCCAGTCCCACAGTCGCGCACAGCCTCCTTTGATCTTTTAGGGTTTGATCAGAATGACGATTCTAGTGTCGCACCCTCATCTTCTTCCAGACACCCCCAGTCTTCTGCTCCATCCTGGATGTCTCGACCACAAGCACACAATACCCATCAACAATTTCAGCCGTGGGGTCCTCGCTCTCAGTCTCAGTTCCTGGGCCATAGCCAACACCAGCCATCTCAGAGGGAACAATCACAGCCTCATTTTCCAGCTCGACAACGCTCTCAATTTCCCCCTCAGCCATATGGGTTGTGGTATAATAGTGAGGACTGCTTGACATCCACGGGAAGAGGGGGCAGTTGGAGTGTAGAGGTTATGGGCCAGAACCCTTCTTCCCCCTTCAGAAATGCGTTTCCTGGAAGACCAGCAAGAAGGGGAAGGAGATGGCCAGTACCGCACCCTGAAGGTATGGGCAGACGAGGAGGACCGAGCTATAATGGAAGACGGGCTGCCGACAGGCCTGAGTTCGGTGATATCAATACAGGAGGTTCTGTTGTCAACAGCACGTTGGCGAGACAAGGGACCGAGTCGGAAGGAGGGAGTTCCTCGGTTAGCAACGGAGCCAGCATAACCAGGCTGAACTCCGGAGAAGACGAAGAACGGACTGATCTGAGCGTAGTTGGCGGCTCCAATGCTGCCGGAACTATTGGTCAAACAGAGCCGGCAGACGGAGGAGCCACCGACGAAGGAAGTGCGCAAGTTGATGACGGAACCGGGTCAGCTCAAGCAAGTCAGACTGATCACAGCAGCGCAAATGCTACTGTCGATGGTGACGCTGGCCGACAAGATAGCGTATCGCAAGAACGGAACTCAGTTGTTGATGGAACCGGCCCGGCTTTGCTATCAACACAGGGAAGCAACGCTGTACAGGCCGGCATTCCTGCCGTCAATGACGATACGAGCAGCGTTCAAACAAACAACGACAGCAATGGCAACCAACGTCGCATCGACAACACGCAGACTGACAGGAATGTCCACAGCAATGGGTCTCCTGATTTCAGTGCTCTGGTCATGGAGATGTTACAGGCCATCGTCGGTCGTCTCGACATTATTATTGACAAGATGGACAACATTCAAAGCAATACTGCCAACAGCAATGCCACCAGTGGTGCCATCGCGGTAGCCGATAATGCCAATACGAACAGCAATGACAGTAATGTCATCAGATCCGAAGGCAGCGATGTTGGTGTTGGCAGTGCCGACCAGGGCAATAACGGCAGGACGAGAAGTGAAAACGAAACTATCCTTGTCACTGAGAACACTAATGCCGGCGAGAATCCTCTCAACAACTATCGCACTGAGCAACAGCGTGTTGTTGATGACAGAGAAACCGTCCGGAATGTCAACATCAACAATAACGACGAATCTGGAGAAGTTATAGTTCATGAACTTGCTGTCGTTAGCGATGCAATTGTTGTCATAGAGGAGGATGACACTACTGCGAACCAGAGCGCTGGTACCAGCAATGAGCGCGGAGTTGCCAGTGTTGAAATTGAAATCATCGCTGATAGAGAGAGCGACGGAAACACTGTCAGCCAACAAACTAGGGGCAACAATACCGTTGGCAGTGACAATAACAGGAGTGCTTCCAACAGGGGAAGCAGCTCTGGCGGGAGCAGAGGCAGAAACAGGAGGAGAAACTACAACAGAGGAAATGCGTCTGGTGACAACGCTGCCAGCAGTGTCGCCGCTAGCAGCAATGGCCGTGAAAATACAAATAGCATTGATTCCAACCACGAGATTCCCCTCAGGGAAACGATTGAGCAAGTACTGCTTGATGACGTTATCATCTCTTCCTTTGACGATTTGGGCGATAATGGCACCAGCAGCAACTCCCGTGGAAACACGGGCGTCAGCAACAACTTTCGTACCGTGCTCGGCTTGAACGATAATTCTGCCATCAGTGTTAACACCGCAGATCTCCACCGCGCAAACTCTGGTTACGGCAGCAGTGTCAGCGGTTCGAGAGACTCCACTAACAATATGATCGTTCGCATTAGGAATCTCGATGAAAACCTCGCTGGAAGCAGTCCTTCCAATGAAAGGACGGTTAATACTAACGGGAGCACAACCGACAACCGGATCCCTGCCGCTACCAGCATCAGCGGCAACAGTCGCGGCAACAGAGGGGCAGAGGGGCCTCCTTTAGGGGAGCAAGGGGTGGTAGAGGAGGTGGCCAGGGAAGCAGCCATGTTACTAGTACCAGGAGCACCACCGTAGGCAATGTAACTGGCGAAAACAGAACGACAAACACCGTCGGCACCAGCAGCAGCATTGCTATCACGACAACTAGTGACAACAGGACAGGAGAAAGCGAGAATAACACTCCGGGGACGTCCAATGATACCAGAAACGCCAGCACCGCTCCGAGAAGGAGCACACGTCGTCGTGTCATTACTCGCCGCTCTGAACCCGAAAGCCGGCCTCAAGCCGAAACCCAACCCCAGACTCAGGCCCCGACCCTCCCTCAGCCTCTTACAGGCGACCCCTCTTCTCGTAAACAGGAATCCCTCTTCCCCCGCATCGTCGCCGCTCTTGATCGTGTAAGCACCAACGCCTCAACAGCTGGCTCCTCCTCCTCCTCCTCCTCCTCCTCATCCCTCGACAACAACTCCCTCCCCTACGCCAGTTGCCCCATCTGTCAAACTACCCAACTCTCCATCCTCGACGTGCCCCTCCTACCTCCCTCCCACCCCGATCTAATCAACCTCCCCGACCTCTCCCGCGGCGTCGTACTTTACTGCGGTCACATGGTGTGTACGCCCTGCTGGGAAGTCTATGCTCAGCAGCACCAAGAAAACGCGCCGACCATTGACCGCGGCAACCGCGCCAACACGCCGCCCATCCGCTGTCCCGTCTGCCGCACCGACCTCTGCCATACGTGGTGTAAGTGCCCTCTGCCTGTGTGGCAAATGCCGCCTAGCCTGGAGGACCCGTCCGTTAGTGCCGAGGAGAGGAGAAGGTTAGTCGAGCGGTTTGCGTGGGAGCCGGCTGAGCATCGGTGGTCGAAGGAGATAGTCACGGCGCAATTGTTGCCCGAGGGCGGCAGGATCCCAGCTTTTTGCGGGCCGTGTAGTGATGAGTTGGATAGAGCGTGGCATGTGGATATGGGGTTTGGGGCTGCCAGCAGGGAGCTTGCTTCGCTGACATGGAGAGAATCGAGTAGTGAGACTACGAGGTGGCCTTTCCAGGATGATGATGATTCAAGTTCTGGGATATTTGAATCTTCTGGATGGTAGTTTTATAGACTCCATTGGTAATGGATGGTTGGTAGATGAAAAAGCTTGTTGTTAGGGTTTGGATTTGGATTGTGTGGGTACTGTCCTGACTGGGAAAAAAAAGATGGAAAAAAAAGAGAGAGATGAAAGGGTAAGGTTATGATTTCTTTTAATATCAGCTTTACCTACACATGTAACTTCTTGTCGATAAATCGAAACAACACCTTGTGCAAAATACTAGGCTCAAAAAAAAATCATGTATATTAGCAAGACCTACTATTCAGCATAGCACAGCCAGCATAGCTTAGGCGAAGGATAGCATACCAACCCCCTTATCTCTTAGACCTGCAAACCCCACCACTAACTCTTGTCTCCATCCATCGAATCGAGATAGATTAACATCCTCCTAGCTCTCTCCCCTTTCTTTCCAGGTAAATACTTCACGGCCCCGTCTCCTATCCAGTCCATAATCCTTTCACTCTCAACACAACCCCTCGCTGCCTCAATCAACATATACACTCGTTTGATTCTCTCCTTACTCTTTTGATTTACCGCGGTGGCGAAGCCGGTGTTCCAGATGCCCCCGCTGATTGTTGCTGTGCCCCGGCAGCAGGGGTCGGGGATGCCGGTGTCGTGTTGCCCTGGTTGTTGCCCTGCGGGAACATCTCAGACTTGCGCTGCTGGCTCTTCCAGAAGTCGAGGGCTTCGATGACATCGTCACCGCGCTCATCCTCGTAGGCGAAGAGGATCTGAAAGGGGAAGAAGTTAGCACCACATTGGACGGAATAGAGAATTATTGGAACAGGATGGAAGATGCTATAACCTACCTCATGCGTGCTGCTATGCAACATCCGGATATTCTTATGTGGCACAATGTGCACCGACAGATTGTCGATATGCCTGAGCTCGATAAAGTTCGGCTCGAAGGCCAGGATCCAGGGTAGGTTGAGCGCAAACGCCTGCGGAGTGCCCTCCCAGTCGAGGCGCCATTCGGGACGCACGCGCCAGCCGTTGCGGTTGATAAAGAAGGAGAACTCCGAGTAGTTGAGCAGAAACTCGCCAGCAATGCGCTCGATATGAATCGGCTTGACGCCTTCCTTGCGTGCAACAAAGTCGAGCGATGTGTCGGCCTGGTCGAGCAGCGACTGCGTCTCGAGTGTTTCGAGGCTGACGACCTCAAACCCACGTGAGCAGGCCACGCACAGCTTGGACTTGAGGAAGTGGACAGATGACGACTCGATGGGAATATAGAACTCCTTGAAAGGCTTGAGCTCGTCTTGGCCAGCGTTGAACATCTTGCTGAGACCCTTCTGCTTCTTGGTGCGCGACATGGCCTCGTTGGGCTCGTACACCCGAATAAGCGTGTTGAGCGCCGACGTCTTGACAGCGCACACCAAGTGGCGGCTGAGGCAGATACCCGACTTGAAGAAGTTGCAGTGGCTCTGAATCTTCTTGCCCTTCTTGGCCGAGATGGGCTCGTTCGGGTCGAGTGCGCTGAGCTGGAAGGACAACAGCGTGCGGTTCGACAATACGAGGAGCAGAGAATACTCTTCCAACACGTCGACCTGCGTGACGTTGGACACGTCGATGACACGCTTGGGCGCCTGCTCCTTGATCTTGCGGTCGACGACGTAGATACCCTGGTCGGTGCCAACGATGAGCTTGCGGCCGCCATCAAATGGGGCCACGCAGTTGACCCTGTTGGTGCCGGTGAAAAAGCTATGCGAGATGACCGTCCTGTTGAGGAAGTCGGCGCGGGCACGCAGGCGCTGCTGAGCCTGGTCGATGTGTTCGAGCCACTTTTGACGGCCCGACTGGTTGGTCGCGTAGAGCGTTAGCTCATAGCCGTTCTTACCCAGGTGCCGGAAGGTAATGGGCCAACCCTCGCCCTTCTTGGCCTCAGTGCTTGTATTGCGCAGGGCGGGCAGCAAACTCGAAGATGAGCGTTTGACAGCGCCATTTTGAGGGAAAATCTCCTCCATCTCCTTGATGGACAAGAGCTCCAGCGGAATCGGCCTGCGATACGCCTTGTATTCCTCTGTCTTGCCAACCTGTTTGATGCGTACGAGCAGCACGGCATGGTCAAACAAGAATGCGGTAATATCTGGGTTCTCGGTAGGAGACTTCTTGAACTGGGTCTTGAAGACAAGCTCGCGGCCCTCTTCAGTGAGTTTGAGGTCGACGCGCTCGGCTGGACTGCGGAAGCGGAGCTGCTCATGCAGACGGCGCAGGTTGAAGCGGTTCTCGGCTTTGCCGGATTCGGCATTGACCCTGCTCAGTAGGTCTCTGATCATCTGCAAGACCTTGGGAATGTCCTCCTTATCCGGATTGTCCGGCTCTGTATACTTGAGCACGTTTTCAAGAAGCAGCGGGTAACGAGCCAGACGTGTAGTTGGCTTGGTCAGATAACCGTTAAGCTCAAGCTTTCTCGACTCCCTGCGGCGTTCGACTTCCTCGACAAAGCGGGCAAAGTCTTTATTGATGGACTTCTCCTGCTCGAACTCCCACTTGCCCTCCAGCTGCCGCGAACCGTACAGGATAAAGGGCTCGAACTGAGGCACGAACTCGAGGAACACATCGCCAATCTGCTTGACGACGGGGGCCTTTTGCTGGCGCTCGGTTAGTGCACGGGCGAAGCGAGAGCTGATCGCGTGAATGCTCGGGGGATCGATGATATTGCTGAAGATAGTGCGCACGACGCGCTCGCGGCGGGAAGCAGGGATGGGAGAGCCGCCAAACTTGCCGCGCAAGGGGTAGATCCAGAAGTCGCGCAGATACTCGAGATCCTTGACAAAGTCGCGCTCGGTGTAACAGATTTCCGAGATAACCTCCTGACGTTTCTTTTCGCGGTCGCTTATGCTGTCGGCAATCTCCTTCGGCACGCTGTTGATCCAGAGCTTCTGCTCGTCTGTCTGGTCGGCGTCGTCGTCGTTCATATTGGCGGAGCCATCCCTCTTCAGGCCAGGACCCAGCTTGAGGTTGAGCCGGGCCACTTGTTCCAACCGCCGTGGGCAAGCAATCGAGTAGCATAACTGGTCTCTGGTACATGTTGGGGAATAGCATTCGGTTAGCAGGGTGAAGACGCCGTTCACGGTGGGCTTTTCCTCGTAGCCATCAGCATTGACAGTCTCGCGGAACTGGTAGATTTCGTGGCTCGAATCACGCAAGCGATGTTCGTAGGTGACATCGTGGAAGAACTTCTGGGCATCGAGGGCACGACCAAGCAGCAGGGCCAAATTGCGATCGGTAGTCCGGATAATGTAAGACAGAACATCGACGGCCTCGGCACCGCTGAAGGCATTCTTATACGTAAGCTCGTTCTTCGTACGGTCGCCCGTGACGATCTTCTGGCGGAAGACTTCGGCTACGCGGGACAAGAGAGCTGGGTAGATGACCGGCGACCGGATCTTCGCAGTGGGCGGGCGTTCGCCATTGATAGAATTGGGCATGGAAGTCCGCTGATCCGGCCTGTCGTTCGGACCCTTCGATGACGGCGGAGGGGCGATCGTCGAGGCCATAGACATGGTCCTGGTGCTTTCATGGCCAATGGACGAGGCCATACTCATAGTCCTGGTTTGTGACCCTGGCTGAGCGTAGCCCATGTTCGAGGGAGCGTGACCGCCCACGTAATCGTGAGGCGGACCTCCAGTGCCAACAGGCTTCCGGTTGGGAATAACGCGGCCACTCATCGTCTGGTGGGCGTCGCGGTAGTCGTACGAAGGATAGCCAGTCATGGTCATGGAGCGCTCATCAGGATGTCTCTCTGGGACAATCCGGCCCTGAGCAGTAGTGCGGGCCGAGTACTGGTTATACGAGGGAGCCTGTCGGAAAGCATTTGGCGGTGCTTGTTGGTACTGACCTGACTGCTGCTGCGGAGGATACATCTGTGGTCTCGGATAACTAGCCAGCGACTGCGATCTGTAAGGGTCTGCGTTCAAAGCCGGAGGAGGTCCACCGCCTTGGTGGAAACGCTGAGCAGGCGAGCGGCCTGGTGGCTGATTGCCGTAGTAGCCTTGGGGGGGCGGAGCGCGGGTTTGCTCAAATCGCGGCCCCGGAGCGCCTGGAGGAGGCACTGGCGACGGACCTGGGTAGGGCCGACGGGCTTGTTGCTGTTGTGTCTGCAGGTATTGGGGAGAAGGAACCTGCGGGCCACTCGAGACCGAGCGCTGCTGTGGCTGGCCCTGGTAATATCCGTGTCCATATCCACCTCCTGAGCCTCCCTGGCTGCCATCGGCTGGACGTTGCCGCGGCGGGGCGAACTGATCCCCGTATCCGGCGGGATGTGGAAGGTGAGGCGGTGATCGTTGCACGTCGTTCATGCCTGTGGTTGAGGACGACATGGTGTGTGTGCGTCCAGAGTCGACTAGGAACTGCGGAGGGGGAGCAGACGACGAAGTCATGGTTTGGGATCGGCCGGGAGGGGGAGCAGCGCCAAAGATGTTGGAGAAAGCGGCATCTCGCTGGTATGCTGTCGACGATGGGCCATAGTCTTGGTAAGGGCGCTGTTGCCGTTGGGGCAACATGCCGTCACGCCGAGGGTCGGCCATGGCTGAGATAGGGACGGCAACGATGCATCACATCAGCAGCTGTTCCAAGAGAGAAGGGCGCAGTGTCCAGTCTGCAGAGCGGGGAATGTCGACGGGAATCAGAGGTTGATAATGTCAGGGATCGACACGGACACACACTTACTGATCTGATGACGGATGGATCGGCCGTCGTGGTGGCCGAGGCTGCGTTCCTCGTCGTCTACGCTACGTTTTGCTCAACGCGAACCGTAGTTGTAGCTGTGGGCAGTCGTTGACCGTGACCACACTTGAGTTGGGAACCTCGATTGATGCCGGAGCCGGTCCCAGGTCTCCTCGACTTGCGGGTCTCCCACGGACAATGTTGATCGGGTCGAATCAACAGACTCGAATGCCTGGTAATGGTTGCGCCCGTGAGTGGTGTGGAGGCTGCAGAGAGCGGGCCCGGCGTGGCCTGTCGATGGTCGGGATGGTGCTGGTGCCGCCAACGTCGGTGACGGCGAGTCCAGTGGCCTGTGCCTGATTTCTAAGTATGTAAAGCCGAAAAAGAGCGGCGTGCACACAGTGAGTGGTGCTGCAGCAGTGCAGCACTGTTGCAGAATGGTCGGCGGTCGTCGAGAAATTGGATCGGTCCGAATGTTGTTTTTAGCTGGCACACGGCACACAGGCTGGGTGCAATGGCTGAAGTGCAATGGCTGCAATGTGCAAGGCGTGGTGACGTTATTGGACGGTGACGGTGGTTGAAGTCTGCTTGGAGCAAAAGCGGTTTGCAGGTCGACGTCCACTATTTCGTACCTACACTACCACCGACCACACCACCCCTGACTGTTACCGGGTGTTAGGCAACGACCGACAGTTTCTGGGGCTCTAGCCTGGCTCTCCCGTGGAACCGTTGCTGGGTGTTGGGATCCGTGGATGTGGGAAGCGTGGGACGGGGGACGGACTGTTCAAGGGCCTGCAGCGAGCAGTCGAGTAGTGAGGGCTCAAAGCAGAGTAGATAGAGCGTGGGATGTCCGCACGAAGGGACCGTTCGCTGTGAGTCTGGGACTCGGAGAGTCTAAGAAGCTCTAGATTCGGTCTGCGGTTGGATGTCGAGCAGCAGCGGCTTCGACTGAAGCATCATCGACCGGCGACCATGGATCAGATCGGATGGAATAGATATGGAAATAGAAATGGAAGACGGCAGTTCGTAATGGCAGATCAGAGACCAGAGATTAGATCGATCGGATCACGGCTCCGTCTCGCGCTGCTTTTTTCCTCGCGCGCTGTGTACCGTCTCGACCTGGACGTTTCGACTCGAGCTTCTGACTCCTCAAAAAATCGGCCTAGCAATCTTGGGATCTGGTCTGCTGCCACGCGGCGACACGCACGGCTTGCAGGGTCCCAAGAATCAGAATGGGACGTTTCCAACATCAGCCTGGCTCTCCTGGCTCCTGGGCCGCTGGTGTCTTGCCTGCTGATAGGTGATAGGGGTGTGGCGGTGTGGCGCAGACAGCTCCTGGTACGGAAACATTACACTCTGTACTTGGAGGGCGAGGACACTGCAATCTTGCATCTGCAGCTTTTCTACAACTTTTTCTTCAGTAGGGTCTTGAATTGGATGTCAATGAACAATTCATAAAGTTAAACTGCATTTTGTATATGAACTTCTCCGACTCTGATGAGACTGTTGACAACCTCATTGATCAGTACCGTATTTTTGTAACGACTGTTTGGCTCTGTGGCACCACCCTTGCTCCCAACGGGAATAATCACGTGACGCTTGGCGATGATGTTGGGCCAGCGTAGAGCGTCGCCGCTGCACCCACAGGCCAAGCCAGGGTCGCTGAGCGAATGGACAGTACGGACCTACCATCATCGCGCCATCAATCGCCGACAAGCAGGCCGGCAAAACCCACCTCGGTCTCTGCTGCAATTCCTCTAAATTTACATGCTCATCTGGGCCACAGTTCTTGCGATATGTCTGCTGTCACCACAATGGCCGAGTCGGAACTGAGTCCGAAGTTTGCGCCTTTCATTGGCATGGTACGTCGCTGTCTTTGCTTGCTTGGAGCTTGCGGCGCCTACATCACCAACCCCTCTGGGTAAAAGATGCAGAGCTGAATGCTAACCTTTTGCTTACCATAGGGTGGCATCGCCGCAGCCATGATATTTGGCAGTACGGATTCCTATTATCATCTCTTTCCGATTTCCTCGTCTTGCTGCAATAGAAAATCGATGACCCCTCTCCTTCCTCTACTAAACCTTCGATCACGCCGCATCCCGGCTCTCCAGCCAACTGACAATGTGTTCTTCCCAATACAGGCATGGGCGCTGCCTACGGCACCGCCAAATCAGGTATTGGCATCGCTGGCGTGGGCACTTTCAGGCCGGACCTGATCATGAAGTGCCTTATCCCCGTCGTCATGTCCGGTATCATCGCAGTCTACTCCCTCGTCATCTCTGTTCTGATCGCCCAGGACCTCCAGCCCCCGGCGTCCGGGTCATACAGCTTGTTTAAGTGCGTAGAAAAGCTTCTCTTGGCTATGGTTTCGGACGCATGTGCTGACATGAGCAAAGTGGTTTCATGCATCTTGCTTGCGGCTTGGCCGTTGGCCTCACCGGCCTTGCAGCTGGCTACTGCATTGGCATTGTTGGTGATCAGGGAGTGAGGGCATACATGCTGCAATCAAGAGTGTTTGTTGGCATGGTTCTGATTCTTATCTTCGGCGAAGTCCTCGGTCTCTATGGGTATGTCGTCCTCGCCTCTCTTGCGCTCACAGCTCCTGAAGACGGTTTGCTAACCTTTTTAGACTCATTGTTGCTCTCATTCTCAACACCAAGAGCAAGGGTTAAGTTGGTTAAGAGGGACCAAATATCATGAAACACTGTGTACAACGCGTATGCAAACAAGATTGAAGCGATTGACAGAGCTGTCATTAGTGGGTAGCATGGGCCTGGCGTTGATGGGTGTGGACTGTTTCATAGAGGGTCATAACTAGGGCAGGCACGGGAATTGGAAACTCGAGGCTCTGAGCTGACATGATTAGTGTTTAATGCGGGTTTGATATTTCATATCTTGCTGAACACAGGCCCATGAGCTCTATCAGGATCTAAATGAGTTGAAGCTGGTAACGTACCCCTTCGGTGCAAGCTAACTCCTACCATGTCAATGAAGCCAATCCAGATATATCTTCATGTGCAGATCCTACGGTAGCTACATGCATGATCAATGATGAGCGGTCACAATCTCTGTAAGCCTCACAACAGTACCGATCTACTAACATACTCTGTCCGAATATAACCAAACGCCGCCTTGATGCTGTCGTCACGGCCAAATGAGGGGGAAAAGGCGTCCGTAAAATGGGTGAGCGAAGAAAAAAAAGAAATACCAGATCCTGAAAAGTCAGTGCCGTTTTGCAATCATCCGTCATTTCTGATCATCATGCAGTGCGCCAGGCACATACTTCACTTTTTTTTCTTTTTTTTCTCTTTTTAGAACCGGGAACCAATCAGGAAAGCGAATCGATTGTTTGGCCGACGACCCATTTCCTGACGCAGACGGCGCCAGACCTTTTCCTGCTCTTCGCGCTCCCTGATTTGGGCTGTTGCAGTCGACTTGTCAGTAACTGGAGCATTTACCACTTCTCGGCCTTACACATAAGAAAAGGGGCTTACCCAAGAACCAATCCCACTTCCTGTCCTCCCTCAACAACACCTCTTCGCCCAGGTATCTCTCCCGCTCCAATCTCTCCCTCCGCGCCCGCTCAGCGGCTTCCTCGCCGACAAGCCACGGATCCTCCTGTGGCCGGAAAGCTCGTTGGCCTTCCCCTGAGCCCCGTGCGTGGCCCTCGCTCCCCGACTCTTCCTCTGCAATCCGGCTCAACACCATCGCCCTGCGCAACCTATCTGACAAATTGTCGACCGAGCTGCTATTTCTATTGTTGGTCGCAGCAGCGGCAGCGGCCGCGCGGCGGAGCGCAACATTGTGGTAAATGCGTGCGTTGGGGTTGGAGCGGGTCGCAGAGGCCGGCGACCATGAGGGGATGCGAAAGTGGTCGAGCGATGGCATGCTGTTAGTGCTGGAGCGGCGGGGAGCCTGGGAGGTTGACGCGGATGAATTGGTAGTTGGGGGTGTAGTTGGGGCAGAGGACCGGCGAGGGGGTGCATCGATATCAAGGAGAGAGGTTACGCTCATTGATGGGGTTGAGCGTGGAGTTGAGGAGGAGTTTGAGGAAGAGTTCTGGGATCCTGACCGCAGCCGAGCTGGTACATTGCTATCGAGGATGGTGTGCATAGGGGGCGCTTCTCCAGGTGGCGAATAAGGAGGAAGCGGTTCATTTGGGATAACGGTCGAGTGGTAGGAGGGCGCCTCGGATGCTTGTGGGACGTTTAGCATCCAGAGAGCTATGCAAAGGAAGGGGCTAATGGCCAAGAAGGTTTGAGGATGAGACTATCAAATGACTTACTGTAAGAGGGAGCCGCTGAGCGAATTGAGGCAGTCTCGAAGTCCTCAGGACTCAAAGTCTCAACCGCTGACGGCCTGTAAGACGGAGCCTCATCGTTGATGACGGAAGCCATGGTGTTTTATGTGTTATGCGATGGCGACGATGACACCTTCTTTGTGGCTCACAGGCATAAAAGAGAGCGTTAAGGATTGAGAGTGATGAAGCTTAACCCCCTGGTATATGAGAATGGCGGATCCGAAGACGACGATGCCAGAGCACGCTTATAGTCGGGGATGGCAGGCGTCCAGGTGCTGTCAGCGCAACAGCGCAATGACAGCGGAGAAGTGTACAGCTGGACGGTGATGAGGTAAAGGTCAGATGAAGGCTCCGGCTGGATGAGTTTTCTATCAAAGATGTCTGTCTTGATCCTGTTGCAAGAGACAATTTAATCCTCAATAATCGGGACAGGTTACGCATCAAGATGCCATTCGCTAATAGCGGATGGCAAAAGGCAACTTTAATGGTCTCGCGATCAACAGCCAAATAGAAATCAGCCGCAGCTTGTGCAACCGAAAGAAGAAAGTGAGGCAGAACCGGAAGACACGAATGAGAGGGAGAGAACATTAGCTCACTGGCGCATGTTGCTTTTCAAGAAAACAGCCGGAGGACACAAGATACGGCCCACATTTTCTCAGAGTCCAGTCCAGGCTGGCAGCTAAGAATCCAAAGCATCCAAAGCAGCAGGCATATCCGGTGAGCTGGCGGCGGCGGGAGCTGCAAGCTGTGAGATAACGGCATCTCGGGCTGCAAGTGGCCACGATGGGTCGCGATCCCGACGGGGAGCTACTTGAGTCCTGAACAGGTTCCGGGCGGTGTCTCGGCTCTCTAGCGGCACACACACACACAGACACGCACGCACGCACGGTGGCACAGTCTCTGTAATCTACGTAACTGGCACTGGAACCTGCATGTGTACCGGCCTTTCGCCGCCCGCTTCATCCAGCTCAGCCTCTACCTAGGTGAACTTGAATTTCGAAGATCCGATGGCAGTTTCGTAATGGAGGGCATAATGCGGGGTCGTGGCCAAGGTTCTTGGCCCTTCCGCTTCGCTTCCAGGCCAAGAGGGTGGAGAGAAGGTCCCCACGTATAGTGGCTGAGCTTGCAGCTTGCAGGGCAGAGCGATGACGAGTGTCCCACTGCTTGTCCGCTCCCGCACCGTCCCGAAAACTCTCCACCGTTCGTGTATCAGAGCAGTGGAGGGGGGTTGGAATGTGGATACCGAAAAACTACCCCACGTTCCATGTTGTGGTGCAGCGCCGGGCACCTCAGCAAAGCTCTGAGCAACCTTCCTCATTGATAATCATTCACCCTCCCAGCTTGCCGGGTAAGTGCAGCCAGCATGTGCGGACTGAAACTGCTGCAAGGGACAGACCAAATCCAGAAGTATTACTGGCCGACGTTCTCGAACTGTCGGTTACGAATAGCCATTACCTACACAATCACACTTCTGTTTTCTTGGAGCCTGCGGGGTCTTTGGGGGTGGTAATTCGGCCAACAAGCCCCCCTTTTTGACAATACCTAGGACACTTGGGTGAAGGATTTGACATCGTAACCAGCTTTCAATCGGGCAGAAATAAGATTGTTGTTGGGGACAATGCATTGTGACCCAGGCTGCATCGGGCTCATCAAAGCAAGGGCCTGAAGCTTAGGGAGGGCTTACTCGAGGAAAGCCAGCCAGCCATGGCTTTTGCACGCGAAGATCCCCCTTCCTTTTGCTTCCTCAATGTCACTCCTTGATTAAGTCTGGTCGTTTGATAGACAAAAAGTAAGCCAAAACATAATGCCAGAGTCCGGGGAAAACAGGAGTCGGCCGTTGGACGTCACCATTTCATGTCACCAACTGTGCGACCTCGGGCTTCTTCGCGACATATGTTGAGGGTCATGAGCGGTGAGGCCGTAATGGAGAGTTGGCGAAAACATTTGAGCACTAAAACTGCAGCAAGCGGGGGAGCGGGCTCTGCATCCAGCTCCCACCTTCGGGGTAAGCGATGAGGCATCTTCTGGTCTGCAACAGGGAGTCTAGACTCCAACGCATCAACGTGCCCGAAAGGCCGTGGTGGTGATGCACCTCAATGACCGAGGTTCGGCAGGTCGGACGGGTGGCGAATATCTGCTTCGGGGTCTTATCGGATGCAGGTAAAAGTCAGCACTGAACGTGCGGAGCGCTCTTTGCTGATCCCTCGATATCTAGAGGGAACAAAGATTTTGGGGGCAAGCCAGCTTTCCAGGGCTCAGGTCGTTTCTGATAAAGTTGGTTTGATTTTTCCCAGGTTCTTGGTTGTCCAGTTATGATCTGGATACCGTTTGCTAGGCGTAACATCTTTCCAAAATCCAGAGAAGACATCACAACATTGATGATCGTCAATTGTCCTCGGGAGAAGGAGTAAGATCACTGAGATGAGCTTTACGTAGAAAAGCATGTAGAGGCAAATAACTCTGATCGATCTGTTCCTGCAGTTGGCGTTCAAACTTTATACAAGTGCCGAGCTGAATATTCTCCGGCGGAAAGTTCATGACTTGAGACTGGGGTATCGGCTCAATCATGCAGCAACAGCTTCACATCTTCGTAATCTTTCCCCGGCCAGGAACCTCTCCCTCCGCCAAGACCCTGGCTCGATCCCGCCAGGGCGGCTAGCCAATCGGAAAGCTGCTTGGAGCCACGCTCCCGTCGCGGGTACCTTGGTGGTTGGGTCAGCCTGCCACTCTGCCACGCGGGCCACGCCCATTCGAGGGATGAACCTCGATGTTGGTGCTGAAATGTTGGCCTTGAACCGCTCGACACTCCTGCTCCGTCACGGCCATCATCAGCACCTGCTAATTCGTCAGAAACTCTGACTTAGGTGGTTATCTGGGTCAGCTAACAGCTCGTCTTGTTGAGTTTTGCTGGCTCACCAGGCAGCGGTTTGTCATTGCTGAATTATTCACCGACTGATTAATCTGTGCCACTACTTTGCATATGTCTTGTCTCCTGTTCTCAGACTGCGCTTCGAACCTTGTGCTAGCCTGATCGGAAATCAACAAACAACAATGAGGCCCACAAAAGATATCCTCGGTGCTCTTACCGGCACTGTGACTGTCCTCACCTCATTCGTGGCTGCGTCCCAGCCTGGGGCGGAACAGCCAGTCCCTGGCCCAATGCGTGATCTGATCTGGGGGAAACTCAACTTCCTCCACACGACAGATACTCACGGATGGCATGCCGGTCACCTCTTGGAGGGCCAATACTCGGCTGATTGGGGAGACTACATCTCGTTCGCCCAGCATATGCGCAAGAAGGCCGATGATCACGGAGTTGACCTCTTACTCGTTGATACAGGTGACCGTGTTGAAGGCAACGGCCTGTACGACGCATCTAAGCCCCCGGGCAAGTACTACTATGACATCTATCGTGAGCAGCACATCGACATTATCTGCTCTGGCAACCATGAGCTCTACAAGGCGGACACCGCTGATCGTGAGCATGAGTATTCTGTGCCTAACTTTAGAGATGTTTACATCGCATCCAATCTTGACTACATTGACCCGAAAACGGGGGAGAGAAAGCCTATGGCCCGGCGGTATCGCAAATTCCGCACGAAGAACCAGAAGCTCGACATTGTGGCTTTTGGCTTCCTCTTTGACTTTACAGGAAACGCGAACAACACCATAACCATACCGGTTCAACAGACCATAGAGGAAATTTGGTTTCAGCAGGCCATCAGAGAGGAAACAGACTTGTTCGTCGTCATTGGCCATGTGGGCGTGCAAATGGATGAATTCAAGGAAATCCACAGGGCTATTCGACAGCACAACCCGGACAAGCCAATCCTCTTCTTTGGAGGCCATGCTCATGTTCGCGATGCTACTCAATACGACTCGCGCTCGTTTGCTCTAGCCAGTGGCAGATATTTCGAGACCATCGGCTGGATGTCTATTGATGGCGAACTGAAGAGGAAAGAGAAGCATGGCGACTTGAAGAGGCGAGAGGAAACCTCGTCCCTGTCATTCCACCGCCGGTACATCGACAATAACTTGCTTGGGCTGTACCACCACAGCGGGCTGAACAGCACCACGTTTCATACGGAACATGGCCGCAACGTCTCAGCTATGATCACGAAGGCCCGCAAGGAACTCAACCTTGACTACGCCTTCGGTTGCGCGCCAAAGTCTCTCTGGATGTCTCGCGCTCCGTATCCCAGCGAGGACAGCATCTACAGCTGGCTGGAAACCGAGGTTTTCCCTGACGTTGTTGTCAATGCCAGTAGGAAAGACATTCCCCGCCTGGTGATTGCCAACACTGGAGTTATTCGTTTCGACATCTTCGAGGGCCCGTTCACCATTGACTCGACGTACATTGTATCTCCTTTCACCAGCAAGTTCGTCTTCATTCCAGATGTTGCTTATTCTTCTGCCCACAAGGTTCTCAAGTTGCTGAACAGTGCTGGGAGGATCTTTGCCGAATCTGGCCCCATGGACAACCGGTTCATGGCCAATCCAGAGCAATTCGCTATCCGCGAGTCTATCATTTACGACAACATTGTCGATAGTAACGGTCATCAAAAGCCGATGGATACTCATGGGAAGACGGTCCTGACGCCGGGATACACCACACGTGACGATGTCGGCACTGATGGCGATGATACAATTCATGCACCCATCAACTTTTATGTTGTTCCGAACTGCTTCCAAGCCAAAATTGGTATTTCCAAAGACGAAGAGCCCAAAAATGTGGACCTTGTCTTTCTCGACTTTATCAAGCCATGGGTTCTGGCCGCCTTGGATTTCCTGGGCACTCCATATCAAGATGAGGATGTTCTGCCATATGTCGAAGAAAGGTTTACCGACATGATGGCCGGGTGGATTGAGAAGAACTGGCCAAAGCGGTGTGATGAGAATGGCGTTTGTGGTTGCAAATGACAAGCGACATGCAGGGTATGGCAAGGCATGACGGCGTTTTGGCATGGCGTGGCTTCATGAGTATTGTTATAGATTTTGGGAAGCGTAATGATAATCTTGAATGCCGAGCAGGGTGAAGCAGCGGGAACGTATCACACGAGGAGTACCTAGTAATATTCGACATTCTATGCACAATGGATAGTACTTAATCCAAGGGGAAGGCACTATCAAACTGTTTGACTCGGCATTTTGCATCGGTTCCTTTTGTTTTACAACGAGAGAAACCTTGGAAGCATCGCGCGACTCGGGCAAAAAAGAGCATAACATAGGACACTTAAATAAATTATATCCCGGGACTAATTCTACTTAACTACCCTTCTACTCCCAAGCCTTGCGCCGTTAACGCCAAGCCGTCCGTAATAAGATCCTACAAAAGGAAACCGATCCCGACCCAGATGCAATCCCGATACCTGCGCCAATACCATCCTATAGCTGATCCAACAACCGCTGTCTTCTTCTCTCGATCAATTCTCTCTGCACCTCCTCCAGCGTTGGAAGCTCCCAAACCCGTCCATCCCCTGTATCTCCCGGCAATGGCTCCCATCCAGGAGGAGCATCAGGAGGCCCAGCTTTCTGCAACGCTTTGCGTGCCTGCTCTTCACGAGCCCGCTCATATTCCAGCAATTCATCGTCCTCCTCCCCCGGGGCATACCCGTAATACGCAGCATTCACCTGCCGTCTGAGATCTGCCCTCTCCTCCAGAGGCTTCTCCTCTTCTTCGCGTTTGGCCTTTGCCGCCGCTTCAAACAATTCTTTCACACCCGGCAGCTCTCGAGCCCGCCCAAAGTACCGGTACCCTCTCCCCGCACCGGGGATCTCACGACCAGCTTCGTCATATACCTTCCCTCCTCCTCGCATGTAATTCGGCCCACCGAGGTTGCGAATCTGCACCTCCCACATGTGCTTCTCACGCATGAGCTTGTTGATCTCGTCGTTGAGGTCACGGATCTGGTAGTCAGAGAGCGCCGGGTCCTGGATACGTGACACCTTGCGCGAGATCTCCTTGAGCACTTGGCCGCGCCACTTCTCGCAGGCTGGGATCGAGTCAACCTCAGTGATGACGCGCGGGCGCCTTGCCCTTCCGGCGTCGATGATGCCTAGGTCCGCGGCTTGCGCTTCACGGAAGCGGAAGAGCATCGATTGGGCTTTCTCGGAGTTGCGCGCCTATGTGAAGAAGATGGGATGTTAGTGCTGCGGTGATGCCAGAAGTGATTCAGGGGAGAGAAAGGGAAAGTTTACCATTTTAGAAGGATTGCGCTCCGCGAAAAAAAATAGATACTTGAAAAGAAACTGGGCTCTTTATCAGTTCGAAACCAGTGAAGAATCGCGCAATGGCATGGGAGAGGGCCTCTGGTGTGTACGGGCACGAAGGAGTCGAGCACCTCGAGGTTCCTTGGCTGGTGGTTGAGTGCCTGATGAGGAAATTCACAGCCTTGTCGAACTCTCAAGTTCCTTGCCTGCCGATATTGCGGCCTGGTGTGGCGCTGTGGCGCGAGCCGGTTGCCTGTGGCGCATGAATAGGACTTGCCCCCACAGCCCCACAATCCCCTCCAACCTGACTTCAACACACGAACCGCGTCTTCTTCCTTTTAAATCACCATCTCCCCCATTCTCAGCCTTGTCGACAACCAACCTGTTTTAACGCATCGACTTCTCCCAAGTCCCCTACCGTGGTTATTGATTGGAAATTTTTCATCTATCAACCTGGGAGGCTCAGTGTCCCGTTTTTGAATTCCTGCTTTTCAGGTTGCTGATGGCGCGCACGCGTACGAAGTCTTCTGGAGCGACGTTTTCTTGGCTCGCTCCTTCAACTGACATGCTTCTCACAACCGGCTTCACCAACCAATGCCAAATATCAAGTGATATCTGGAAGTTTCAACTCCTTGCATACCCCATGAGTCGCCAACCTTTATATATTTTATTCGATCTTTCAACACTCAGTAAGAACCCCGCGGTGATGAACAAGACCCGACCCGACTCAACCAGCCCCCTGAGCATATCGCGAAAGCGTATGCGTCGAGGTCAGATGGTATGGTCGAGAATGATGGCAAGAATGGATATCTGAGCGGGGAATACATATATACCCTATATAATGTACCCTCTCTATATCACAATATCACTGCACAGATAGAGCAGCCCCCCTTCTTTTGTCTTTTGATTTCCCTTCCCTGCATCTCTCATCACTCCCTTTCCCATTCCTGTCCATCCATTTCTCAACAGCGCAACCTCATCACGCATGCACTTGCTCATTCACACAGTCTCAATAAGGCGAGCCAGCCGCCGTCTCGCTGCGTTGACGATGCGAAGCAACCCCTGAGGTGCGCCGGCGTCGAAAGCTTTTGGCGGGATGTCTGCTGCCACCTCTCTTCGGCCTCATTGATCCCTCTCCTCCTGCGCATTTCCCTCTTCTCGACTTCTTGCCTCGCAACTATGCTGCCACTCCTCCACTTCCTCCTGCTCCTGGACGGGACGCTCGAACTCTGTCCGTGCCGGTGGGAGGTACAGGCCGGTTCTCGGTCGTGTCTCGGGTGACCGGATGGAGAAGGCTACGCTGTCCATGGGCAGATGTTGGTGTGTGGTTGGGGTTGATGGTGTGGACGTGAATGTGAGTGGTTTAGGAGCGTGAGATCGTGGGGGGATGAGTGGGTAGATAGAGTTTCGAGGAGGCAGGCAAAAGGCAATTCAGCTGGGGTGACTAGGCGTGTCTGTTGCAGCACCAGTGATGGACCATATATAGTTTGCAATCAGAGTGGTAGAGGCGGACCACGGATGGGCCGCCTCTTTGGGGGTTGTGTGCGTGGGCGTGGGTGTGTGTGAAGGGGTTGTGATGTTGAGCAGTCGGTGGATGGGAATAAGGGAGTGAGGGATGAGGTATGTAGGGAGAGGGACTCGACAAGAGCAGAGAGGGGGAATTGTTCTTTCTGTTCCCTTTCTCTTGGCCTCTTTGCTCCTCGAGATTGGCGTTTGTTTCGATAGAAGCGAGCATTGTCCCGGGAGCGAAGACCCATAAGATCTCTTGGATTCAGACGCAACAACAGAGCCCGGTGATGATTGAAAGTCCAAAAAGCCAAATTTGCAGGCAACAGACGACTGAACATGGCTCAGTCCATTCCGTCGAGTTGTCAGTGGGAACCGAAGAGAGCTAATCTGAGGGCCTCGTTTTGCGTCTGTTCACTCGTACTTTTTTGGCTTTCCAAAAAGAGAGGGACAGCTTATCCTGCAACCCTCTTCATGATTCTGTATCTAAAAGGCAGGTGGCAGGGAAGAGACAAGTCACCTGGGAAATGCAGAGCACATTGAACTGGAACGATAGGCACCAGCCAGGCCACCGGCGCATGCCTGGTATGCAGACTGGCCCATGTGCCATCTGCCGGGAGATGCTAGCTTCCAACATCTTTGCGTAAATCGATGTAAGTTCTCACTAGAGCCCCGTTTCTCATTTAACTAGTCAGGATTGGGGTATCAAGTAGATGCCATTTTATCGAACCCGGTCCTGGTTTACGCCATCCACCCGATCTTAGGATCTCGCAGTGACAGTTGTACAGAAGAAACCCAATCTGTAAATAAATAACAATAAGCCTCTAAAGACAAACACATATATTTCCATTATCAACCTTTTACCCTCTTCTCATTGCGTCTTCTTACCCACTTCCACCTTAGGCCCCACGGGGGCACTAAACATCCAAATCACACAGAAAGCCAGCCAGCCCACGACGGTAACGCCAATACCTGACATCCATGGCCAAGCGCCGCTGATGGCCCAGCTGCGCGGCCACTCGTCGTGACCGATGTGCCGCACAGAGACCGTGTTTTTTTCCTCCACGTTTGACAGGAACGGCCGCTTGTAGCTAACGCGAAAGTTGAAGATGCCGTGACGGTCAGGTACCTTAAACCGCACACTGTATGCGGTGGCCGTGTCGCTTGAGAGGGAGGCATCAGGGGCAAGGGCGAGCCGGTGGAAGGGAGAGAGCATGGAGAACTCGAGCTGGATCTCATCGCTGTCCGGAGGGAGGGTGAAGGGCTGCCAGGCGGTCCAGGAGTACTCTGAGAGGGAGATGGTGTATTTCTAAGGCCAGTGGTTAGTATGATACCAGACGATGTAGATAGGAGCAATGGGATACGTACCACATCGTTCTTGACGCGATAGATCTTGGGGTTCGAAACGTTGTTCGGCGCGCCGGGCTCGTCCAGACGGTGCTCAATCCAATTAACCCGCAGCACACCAATCTCGTTGAACGTCCAACCACTCACGCGCTTGGCAAACTCCCTATTGAACGTCTTGGTCGCCTTCCCCTCCTTCGTCTTTACCTCCGCATCAAACCATTTGTCCTGAAGCATCTCGGCCGAACCAACGAGCGTCACCCGTGCCGAGTTGCGCGCCTGGAACGTCGCTACCAGCGCCAGCTGCTCGCCCGCCGCGAATAGATCATCCACGGTCTCCTTCTGCTCCTTAGGATTGTAGCTGTATGCCGTGCGAGGCGCCCGCAGAATGGGCGCCAGCAGAGGGCCGTTGCCCAGGGTCGCTCCTACACCGCGGGGGAAGGCCAGGACTTTCTCGGAGGGAGAAGAGACATCGGCACCGCTGAAGAAGTCCTTCACATCCGGGCGCACAGGGAACGGAGCCGGGAGAACGAGAACATCATGCGTGTCAGGAGAGCTGGAAGCATCGTAGTTGAAATGATCAACCACCAGGCCTGTGCGGTCGGCGGGGAGCTGGATGTCGAGCTCGTTGAGCAGGGAGATGAGAGAAGTTGGGGCTGTTGTACCAGAGCTCAGAGTTACGAGGATGTTCCCTTTGGCATTGACGAAGTCAACGAGGAGGTTAGGAGTCAGGTTGGGGCCGAGGCCTGGCAGCGGCTATAGTTAGGATCTCGGGCTACGTAGCAGTTTAATTCTGGGAGTGAGGAAGCTGGAAATACCCTTCGTCTTTGTTGGAAAGAATAGAAGATGGTCATAGGTACGCTCGCCGAGGTGGAACAGCGACAGAGACTCGCTCTTTGGGCTTTCGAACGAGAGCTGGAATCCTCGGCCTGGAAGTGGGTGTTAGCGGCAGAGCAGTTGCTGGCAGACATGAAGATCCAATTGAAGGAAAACAGGGGAGGTAAGACAGACTCTCGAGGTCGCCCAGAAACTGCGAGTAACTCTCCTTCTCAGAAACGTCATCCATGATCACCAGCAAGCGGTTGCCCGACGTGCTGAGAGCAGACACGCCGGCGGCAAACAGGCAGGCCAACAGCGAGCGTAGCGGCCGCATGCTGATGATGCTGGGTGCTGGCACAAGGTAAGAAGAAGGAGTGATAACAAAGGTGGATGAGGACAGCAGGACAGCAGGCTTCCAGGCGTCCACCAAGTTGTCTGGAAGCTCCCAGCTGTTGGTTCTGGCTGTCTGGGATCTGGATCTTCAATATGGAAACTGGAAGATCTGGGATCTTTTGATGTTCAATTGCTTGTCTCGAGGGATAGGGATACGTAGCCTTGCCAAGACCGGCTGCGCAGCTTGAGGCCAGCCCACCAACATCGGTGGGTCCCAGCTATGCTGGGCCCGCTCAACAGATCCCTGTCTTCCACTACCTGTGGCCGGCAGCTGGGCAAGCCAAGCAGTGGGCCCGTGCTTGCGGAAAGGTCGATGGTGGGTTGTGAGCAACTTAGCCGCACTTTCGCCGTCTTCAGGACGCCCACCTCGCCCGAGAGAGCAGCACAAGCTCCTCCACCACGACGACGACGACGCTGCCGACGAGCACTCCCGCCCTGAATCGACGCCGGCCGCCAATCGTTGCCCACCCGCGCAACAATTGACCGCCGCAGCAAGGTGTGCATCCCTCGAACATCACCTCTGGCCAACCCACATCATCCATTCCTCCTCCGCGAGCCCCTCCTTAACGCCGACAACATCCTACCCTTCTCGCACGCATCGCACATCCAGGACTGCTGGCTCACTTACGCCGCCGCTAACACATCTATCTTGCCCCAAAAAGCAGACAAGCTTCACTCAAGCTAAGCCAACTCACATAAGCAGGCACCATCTACAACCATGTCGGCTACCACCCCCCGCTTCTGGTCCACGCCCCTCAAGTACTGCCGCTGGGCAGCCCGGGAGCGCCCAGCTCTCTTTTTCTCCGTCGTTATTGGTGCCCTGGGCCCCGTCACTTTGGCCACTGTCCCTCCTCTGCGCCGGTTGATTGGCGACGTGGATGCTGCCCCTATCCCACTCACCTATCCCAGTACGTTTCGACCCTTGCAATCCCTGAGGAGATGGACAGGAGTTTAGAAAGTGGGATTTCATGAATTGACATATGATTGTGGATGTTGGCTGGAGATTTGAGGATTAATATCAGGCTGGCGAAGGGGCGGCTGGGACACGCTTTAGAAAAGAAGCTAACAATGATTTCCAGTTCCTCCTGGCCCGCGTAAGCAGCTGAAAGGGTATGATGACGATACAGAAGACAATTAAGCGTGGTTTGGGGTGAAGAGGGATAGGAGCGTTGCAAGAGGCGACCGAAGGGCAGACGACCTGCGCATGCATAGTGTGGGATGCTACCATGCTCATACACAGCTGCGGTAAAGGCATTCCGATAGTTGTAGCATCAACAATTGTACATACACGGTGAAGTTGCTGGCTGGTAGAGGAAAAGGGTGCCAGAAATAGAGGGAGCCAAGAACAACGGCTTCAACGACTAGTAAACATAAATGAGGTGTTCGGACAATGTGCTAAAGTCAGTTTCTCGAGACCAATCACAAATACAATCAACCTTGCAAGCAATTCATGACGTAACTCAAGGCTGACCCGATCTCAGAAGCAAACTACATCTACCGAACCATACCGGACTAAGACTCCTCAGTCATGCTCTCTATATGCAACAAAAACTCGCATTACCAAACACCTAGCCCCTTTGATCCCCGCCCGATTACGATGCCCGGATCTATCCGTAGCTTCCCCGGATTACCTCTCACGCTGTACCAAATTCCACTCATACTATGGCTCCAAGTTAGCAACTATACCTCGTAATCACGATGCTAAAGGGATACTCACCACTCGCCCATCTTCATCCCCCGTATATACCAGTGTCGGCAGCGGCGCAATGCACGTAATGGCCGCCTCGACGTTCACGCCCGTCTCGCTCTTGGGATTTACGTGGTCCAGCCGCCTCATGTGCTGTAAGACCCAGCGACCAGCGCGGTCGTCAACAGTCTTTCTCCAAATGTTCACGACGCCGCGCTTGTGGCCGGTGAAGACCAGCTGGTTCTCGAGCCACTCGTTGCCGCCGGATCCCTCATAGAAGGCGCACGAGTGGACGAAATCATCTTCCCAGCCGCCATTAGCACCACTACCAGCGCTCTTGTTGCTGTTAGCAGGCGGGCTGGCATTAGGTGGCACACAGACGTTCTGGTCGAGGATGAGCTCGCCGTTGAGGGTGTACAGTAGCACGTTCTGTCCACAGCATATCATGATATCGCCTGTGGCGTCGTTGATTTTGGCACACTCAACGCCGACACCACCAGGCCGTGGTGCGATGGGCGGCAGGCGCCGCACAAACTCGAGACGGTTCAGATCCCACAGGAAGGCGGCGCCGTCCTGGGCCGACACGGTCAGAATCGTGCTGAACGCTTTGGACACAGCGATGTGCGTCACCGGCGTCTTGTGTCCGAAGAGCGACGAACGGAGATGTAGTTCCACGACTGGCTTCCCCGGTTGCGACACTACGTTATGCACCAAAACCACGCAGTCCTCGCCCGCCGTGATAAGAGTCTTAGAGTCGGCGAATGCCACTGTCGAGATCTGCCCGATATGCAGATTCTCAAACATCCCTGCTGGCTTGCGGTTGTCGCTCAGGAAGAAGCGTACGCTGTTGTCCGTGTAGCCCCATTCTAGGAACTTGTCATAGTGTGGTGGCAGATTGAGCCGGAATGGAGATGCGCAAAGCAAGCGGTCCAGCTTCGGCACATAAATCAACGAGGCCACTCGCTCGCGGCTCTCTAGCAGCGGGTACGGCAGTCGGGTTAGAGCATGAACCGACGAATCTAGCCGCTTGACTGGACAGCGGTAAAACTCTCGTGGGGGGTGAGGCTTGGTGAAAATCTGATGAGGGGTTTGGCCGAAGTTGTGAATAATACCCGTCGTGATCAGCCGTTCCTGGGGATCGGTAATATTGTCGAGGTCGCGAGCGCCCTTGTATGATAGCGGATGGAAAACGTTCAGGTTCTCAACAGCCAGCTCTCCACGTTGTTTGTACCCAAAGATAAGGTCGATCCAGTGGTGCAGGTTCTGGCTGACATATGGGCTCTCCAGTGCCTCGCGATGCTTGGCGATGAAGATCTTAGGGTCACCCTTCGCCCACGGCGGCAAGATGACATGGTTCACCTGACCACCGTCGCCCTGCCGCACACCGAAGTTGTACCCGTTGATGTTTGTCAGGAAGTCCGGGAGATAGAAGAACTCAGGAATCAGCTCACGCACATCTGATCCGTTGTCTCGCGACGCCGACCTCCAGGCGCCCTCAATGGAAAAGAAGAGACGGTCGGGATGGTCAAATGTACCGCCCTGGAGGAGAACGAAAGACTGCACAAATGGTGGGAGACGGATTAGGTATGATGATACAATCATGGCTGACGAGTAGTGCGTTCCGTAGTGGAAAGGTGTTTCGCCAATCTCCGACAGGCTCTTATACCTCATGGCAAAGTCAGCCGCCCGCGCTGGCGTTTGCGCACCCATAGGTTTAGTCAAGTCTCGGAATGTGGCAGGGTTGGTGAGGTCGAGTTCTTCGCTTGTGTAGTCAGCCAACACCCAGGGGAAGACCGGGTACTGCGTGAGATCGTTGAAGGTTCGCCCAGCCATGGTGTTAATGAGCATAAGGTAGTGGAAGTTCGAGATCTCACCGCGCTGCCAACGCTTCATCGCCTGGTGCCAACCTGAAGAGTTGAAGATGCTGCCAAATTTTGCCCCCAGAGACTGCGGTGCCTCTTCGCTGAGCTTAAGGCACTCGAGCCGCCAGGCATCTTCAGGGTTAGGAAGCAGACTGGGATTTGTGGTGTGAGGCGTCATGGCGGTTAACCTGGCATAAATCTCATCCCGCTTCGCTGGATTAATTGCCGTGAGCAGATAGCTGCGTCCATCAGTAAAAAAGATTTCGATGGCCACATCACGGAAGAGGAACCTCCTCTTGGAGATACTGAGAACGTCGCGCCACCGCCAGCTACGGGATTCTTGCTCCGGCCGGCCTTGGTTTTGCCGTCTCTCGTTCGGCCTATCTCCCGTGATGATGATCGAAAACGGATCACGCTCTTCAGGCGGTGCCTGCCAAACATTCACAATTTCGCCATCGGAGCTCTGGAAGAGATTATCCATGAGATAGAGTGCTTCCTTTCCGATAATCAGGATGCCTTCCGAAGCATCCAGGCCAATGATGCGCGAAATGTTGAAGACGTTCTGAACGGTGTCCCCTTGCTGGAGACGACGCATGACCTTCCGATTCTTATCCTCAAAAGTATCATCGCCGTCAGGCTCATTTGGATCTTCTACCATCTCAAAATCTTCTTCTGGAGCGACACTACTCTGATCCTCGGTTCTGCCAGGCACAAGCTCAGGTTCAACGGAGATATCAGGATCTCCAGCAGTACCGTCCAGTGCCCCGGCCACACTTGTGGGAACTGAAGCCGAAAGGGTTGCCGAGGATCCCTGAGCTGACGAGCCTTTTGTCGAGACAACGATGGGTTTGGCAGCAGCGGTGTTGCTTCGCTTGGGCTGGAATTCCTGTTGTCGTTGCTGGCTAGGGTACTCTGGCAGCAACCTAAGACGCATGCGATTCCGGCCTTCGGTCCGGTCTAGCTTCCACTTGATGTTTTGCGGCTCAGCAAATACAGCCCCAGCACGGCGCAGATCGCGTTCCATTCTGGCGAACGTCGAAGCCATGAATGCATTATCATCCTGCTGGTCCTGGAGAAGTCTCTGGTGCTTAAAATGCTCAGTAAAGTAAATGCTCTTCATCCATGCGCTGTTGGCCATCTCATGGCGGAGAAGCACGTTCTCGCGCTCCAGGTTTTCCATGTGCCATTGCCGTAGCTTGTCCTTGCGATGCTTGAGTCTCATCTTGGCACTATCTCCAGATTTCTGGTTTTCAGCCACGACAAAATCTTCCCATGCCTTCGACATGCCACCCAGAAAGAGGACGTCGAGAGATGAACGGTTTTCATCTACCCACTCCAGGAATGAGAGGTCATCCAGTTCCGTGAGCTTTTCAAAGTCCCTAGCAAGCCACCGTTGATCCGGCGTGATGGTCTGCCGCAGCAACGCCGCGCTTTCGTCGGGCTTCTGAACAAGCATGATACGCCAGAGGGTAGAGGCGATCAAGCGGACCGAATGACGTGAATCCACCAGCTTGTTGTAAAGCTGGTACCACAGCAGCTTCATGTACTCCCCATCCAGCGTCAGCGAGTCAAGTAACACAGTCTGCCAGTACAGGAGCTGCTCCATGACGGCAACGGCCTCGGATTCCTTAATCTCTGGGTCGTCCATGTCCGACAGCCGGAGAAGAGCGAACTTCAAGAATGCAGTTTTGATCGTCTGAACCGCACTGCTGCAGAGTCGAACGCTCTTCAATGATGCCACTTCGGGTCTCTGCAGATACTCCAAGACTGTGCCGTTGAAATCAATCATTGTCTCGGCCCCGTTCATGAACCATCCCTCGAAGACAATCTCAATCATGTGGAGATTGAGACGAGAAAGGTTCTGCAAAATTCTGGGTTCGACCAGCAGTTTCTGCTCCAGCTGAATAGCGTTCTTCAAATGAGTCATGACATTCCGTAGAATGTACGTCTCAAAGTACGCGCGGTGCTCCTGGAACCCAGGCGGAACCTTTAAGAACAAACTAAAACCAGGGAATTCCTTCCTGACCAGGATCTGATCGGTGAACACCCCAATGATGAGTTCCATGAGCCCCTCTAGCACAGCATTACTAATGTTGCGGGTGGCCACTTTTTTCTTGGGTGACATGATCGGTGTCAAGCGGGTTGGAGCAGTTGGAGGCGGTTGTGCAGTGACCAAGACAAATGACGATGGCCGCCGTAGGGGAAACCTTCTGCTAGAGGACGGTGGGGTAGAAGCCAAATCAGAAGTCGGTGCTGAGCCAGCCGTCCTGACAATGGGAATGGCATTGGATGAAGAGCCAGGAACAGGACGGATGATGACATCGACACCCTCGAAAGTAAGTCCGCTGTCCTTGGAATTCAACTCAGTCTCTGCGCTGACCGGATCGGCACTGACGATGACGGGGTATAAAGCAGAGCATAGCAACCGGACGTAGTCCGAAGTGAGGGCAAAATCCCGGAAGTTTGCTGAACGGGCGTGCATGTCGGCGAGGAAACGCACAACGGTTTGCAGGACACCAGCATTGGCTGCAACCCTCTCCTTGTCAGGTTGTGTTCCTAGGCACAGTCAGCAATCAGTCTTTGAGGATCTCTCCTGGAAAGATCTCACTTCGTGGCTCAAGGGCCTGGCCCAGCTCCATTGAGCGGGCCCGAGGTCGTGTTTGGACAGATCCAAGGGAAGATTGGCAGGCTTTCGTGGGGGTTGAGTCGCCCGCTGGTGAGTCCGGGTCATCCTGATACTTGATAACATCCCGGAGGCCATGCTGTAACATGGCGGTGATAACGGGCAACACATCAGGAAACACGACCTTGCTTTCGCCAAAGATCTCCAGCAGACTGAAGAAGTCGAATGACTTGTCAAAGTCGATGTTGGCAACATCGTGTCCGAAGAGGATGCTGAACAAGATCGGCCAAAGAGTGGAGATATCCCACCACTGCTTCAGTCGATGAGCCATGATCCAGAAGCCGCCGGTCTTGCTCGCAAACTTGTTCGTGTAGCTGGAGGGCTGCGTGACGAGGAGACGAGCAAGGATCTTGCAGCCGTAAACCACAATTTTTGGATTGCTTTCGGCAAGCAAGTAGAGAAGCCACTGCCGGGTGGTCAGCACGTATTCCTTTTTCTTCTTCTTTGGGCCGACCTCAATTATCACCTTATTAGTGACTGTCTTGGCAAACTTGCGGATGTCAACCAAATTGGACTTCTCACAGAGAAGTCTGGTGTACATCTCCAGCAGCCGGATGCCAAGTTCTTTCTTGGTGAGCAGTGTTGAGGTCTGGGAAGAGGACAGGGAGGGAGGGTCGATGGATGATGCGGTCTGCCGCCGAACAACCCCCGAAACAGGGGTAGCAGATCGATTGCCCACGGAACCTGGCTTGGGTGTACGTGGGAGCGAGCCGGGAGTGTGGAAGGCGTAGGTAATGAAGAGAGCAATGGACCGGTGAACTTCCGCACTGTAGTTACACTTCACCAAAGCCTCGAAGGATGCCATAAAATGAGGCATGATCTCCTCTGAGATCGTCTCAGCCTTCAAGGCATCTAGAAGCCTTTTGATGATGCCTGTAGTGGCGTCAAGTTAGCATCGTGTACATATATGTGTATATATATATGTGTGTGTGTGTAGTCCAAGGAAGTGGTCTGTGGCTTACGCATTCGAAGTAGCCGGCGACTGTTGAACTGATGATGCTTGCTCTTGACTGCAAAGGTCAGGAATTGTTTGTAATAGAGCTCTTGAGTCCTGGTGCAGGACCTCCTCCATGTGTCCGGATCGATCAAGAGCACACGATAAGCAAGAGGGTTGATGATGAAAGACTCAATTGGATCGGCGTGCTTATAGCCGACAAAATGCAACAGAAGACTGAGGAGTTGGAAGCTTAGACGGTCTCTGGCCTCGCTTGTCAGCGACAGGCGCCACGCCTGAGACAGAGCTTCATTGCCAGCAACTCCATATCCCAGCTTCGCCCGGATTAGCATGCTCAGAATGGCGTAACCAGTATCTCTTTCCATGGCCTCGCTGTTCCTCCAGTTGTTGCTGATGCAGTGGAACATAAGCTCAACGGCTCGTAACAGCTCATCGCCAGTGGACGACCGCTCTACCAACTTAAGAGCAACCGGTGTGAAGCCGCCTAGACGCCAAAGGTTGTCGTCCAAATGACAGGGAGTGGCAACCATGGGTCTTCCTTCCAAAACAGAGACCCCATTAAGCTTGATCAATGCATCATTCACGCAGGCCACGGCACCGTTGAGGGCAACCGCAGTTCCACTCTTAACGGTCGCATGAAAGAGAGCACTAGCCGCATTCCTTGAGAGCGATCGGAAGAGTAGCGTGTCCAGGAACTTGCCATCAGGCGAGAATACGGCTCGCGGGAATACGCTCAAGAGGACTTTATTTTCAGGGACGATTGTGCCGGCCTTATCCCTAATGGCCTTCAAGATGTCCGAGTTCTCGTCCTTTCCGGGATGAAAAACTTCATTGCGTAGGCCTAGGGCAGCCGAGGCCTCGTAAGTCTGGAAGCCGCCTAAGCAATCCTGGAAGTTTCCTTGATAACGTGGACCTAGCCGGTAGTAGACGGCGAGGAGATCGTCGCTCAGCACGTCCTCGAAGAGATGGGCAGATGCCAAAGACCACTTTGAATGCACAAGGCCCGCCCCCAGCTGCGCTGCTAGGCCGCGAGGTGTCCCCAAAAATGCCTGTATTGGGTTCGTCTTGGCCGTGGTTGAGGGAAAGGATACAAAGCTTTCCACACTTGGGTTGGTAGGTGGAGGCGGGCTGGGATAACCTGCGCGAACTTGCTCCGCAAATTCGCCGTTGACATACAAGCTTGCCTTACTCGCCGTTATTGTTTTGGGTCTTCGATGGACGATAGCGATATGGTACCAATGACCCTCCTGGAAGACAACCGACCTAAATCTCACACTAGGGCGTGGAGCAGTGATGGAGGTTTGGAGGATGAAGTTTCTGGTATCCTTTTCCAGATACGCCAGGAGGAAACAGGTCTGGGTAGCGTCAAATACTCCAAAGAGTGTTGTGTGCGAGTCTGGATCAAACTTGTCGATACGAATCCACGCGGTAAATGTATAGCCAGGGGCAGTCTGAGGGGGGAACGAGCGGCCCAAGCTGGGAAGCTCAATGGAAGAATATCCATGGAGCGAAAGATCAAAATGAATGAAGGGAGGTCCTGTGTACCTCTCTGCCATTTGCAGGCAAAACTCGGACGTGGCTACGTCTCGACGGGTCAACAAGAATTGAGCATCTTCAAGCCTTTCGACACCGAGAGACATCAGTGACCTGCATAAGCACAATGCTTTCGTTCTCTCCGGCTCTGTCAGGGGGCTATGTTCGCCAAACAGCAGGTGAAGCAGTCTGGACAAAAGACCACTTGCGTGCAGAGCATTGAGATTGTGGAAAGACGCAGATGCAACTAGGGACAGTGTTTCCAGAACCATGAGGGACGCAAGGTTCGGAGCAGTCCCTGGACTTCTAGGGAGTGATTCCCAGAAGGCAACAATGGTACGGACTATTTCGGCATTTTGAACCACAGTCGTCGGCGCAATGATTGCCCTCAGCCTCTGCTCAATGACCTCAATATTGTAAACAGCAGGCAGGCTGATATTGACAAGACTGCCATCTTCAGCTGCTGCTGCGTTCTCCTTTTGATCTCCATTTTGTGTATCGGGAGCAGTGCTTAATGGTTCTGGTGTCACAGCAGAACAGAAGAAACCATCTAGGCGCTGGTCATCCAGGGCAAAAGAAAACAGCTTTCCGAAAAGCTGGCACGATGTCCAAGGGTCCACGTCACCCCCGCAGATGCCAATGCTTGCAATTGTCTGTTCCAGAGCCTCCCAGCCACCACCTTCAACTCTCTCCTGGAAGTATCGCCGGTTGCCAGTATGGCCACGAAAGGCTGCGGAAAAGGTCGCTAGCACAACATGCAACAGCTCAAACACAGCCTTCTTCTCCGACTCTGTCCGTTTATTAGGGTTGTAGAAACCAGCGAACGATCGCAACACGTTCAAAAAGACATGAAAGCCGTGAAGATGGCGGAAATCGTCCTGGGGCGGAGAAGGTGGCGGCAGAGCAGAAAGGTGTTGGTGGACATGTTGGGCCTGACCGATCACTTGTTTGGTATCTGGGAAATCCCCGGCAACAGGAAGGCTGATGGTGTCAGATAGTCGCTGAAGGAGCGTATGTAGAATCTCTGTCGCCTGAGAGGTTTGATGTGCCGATGCCGATGTCGACGAGCGATAACGTCGACCGTGAAGAGCAAGCATCTTGGACGGAGTCTAGTCGCGAATTCACGCCAAGTCGATGGTGTTCTCGTGAGATATCAAGATGGTTTTCGAAAAAACAGGAAGCCCTTGGGTCCCCAGCACCCAGCGAGGGTCCTGGCTCGTGGCAGGGAGTCCGCGTCATGGACAAATTTGTTGCTGATTGTGTTCCTCTGAGGAAGTGCCTGCTTATGCCAGCATCCTCAGGCAGCCAGAGAGTAAGTACCGATTCAGGATTCTAGGATCCTAGTTTTGCAGGCACAAAGAGTATGGAATGTATGGTCGGCGAGCTCAAGACAGGAAATCCTATGGTCGAAATTCTCCTCGGAATCAGGAGCCTTGAAAACGTGAATGCGATCGTTTCGTTGTAGGCGATACGTCGCTTGCAGTTCCGTATCCGTGTGATCCGTGAACTGTGAACCGTAGCGGCGTAGACCGTAGTAGCACAATCCTAGGCGGTGGGAAACCAAAGGCGGCCTGGATCTGGTGCGGTTTCCCCAGCTTTTCGGCCTGCAAGGCTCAACAAGGCCTAGCACACAAGTGATGGTTGTGCAAAGACCGATTCGTCATAAGCAAGCAACAACCTCGCTCTTGGGGTCCTCGTCTGTGTTCCAGTCGGGTTCTAAACTGTCAGCCTCGCCTGAGCTCCAGTGGGGCTCCAATCTTCCCCCACAACAGGCTTGCCGCCTTGCAGGTCTGTCTAGGCTGAGCTTCCACACGTCCAACTAGTGCTCGGTGGTGGAGCATCACAGCCACTGTAACATGGGATAGCTATGGCGGTGCAAAGTCAGGCAGTCCAGCCACAACCTCATGTTGGGGTCCGATACTTGAGATTACCAGGGCTGTTAACTCATCACATCACGACTCATTGTATCATTCCCCCTATAGTCATTCCTTGTTTCCATATACCAGTCTGCCATTCATGAGATTCCTTTGTGCACAGAGGTCTGCAATTGAAATCTAGAGAGATCCGGACCTTTATTGGACACTGAAACGCAGAGTGCCTAGCTCCTGTGGTCAGTCGAGGTTGGTCCCCAGTCTCCAGATGACTGCAGGTTGACTTGTCTGTCCGCCGCTAATCTCTGTATCAATCATCACAGTGTAAATCGGAAGGAATTGGTAACTGCATTTCAATTATATTGTGTATTTTGGGTGGATTATCCCCTCATACGCGCATCTTTTTAAACCAAGTACTGAAACCTTGGAATATGGAGCCAGCTTGCCATGAGCAGCGACTTCAAGATTAAAGTCGTCTTCTGTTATGTGGAATTTTGGTCCACCATCCGTGCTTCATCGGACTGTCTGGCTTAATACATAGGTAGATATAAACATATGATGTTATGCCTGCCGTATAAATCAATGTGCTCTTTGGGTGTTACCTTTCTAAAACAGTTTTGACTCAACTGCCTGGATGAGTGCGGCAGTACACATTGATCAGCTGCTAATAGAGCGATAAGAGACGTCACCACAGATTGACCCACTATGCAGAGGATAGGATATCTGGGTGACCGAATCAATGGGGCTTCTTGAAACAAGAAGCGAGCCAATTGTTTGTGCAATCATCATGATGATTAGAACTAATTTGAGATGACCAGGAAAGGGGCTCTTGAAAATGGAGAGAAGGCCCGTATGGCGTCAGACCCGCCAGGAACCGTTCAGCACCTCCGTCAGGGTCTTGATCATCAGCTTCAGAGGAGTTGAACAGGCAGCCTATGATGTAATTGCCCTGTATCTTAGCAGAGCGATATCGGCTGGCAGCTACTGCGGACGGCCGGAGATGTCTCAATCACAAAACAAGAAGCCACCAAGAGTGTACCTGGCCTTGACGTAAAGCATCAATTTGCAAAATAATCAAGAGTTGTCTTCCTGCCAACAATCATGCCCGGAGAAGCAAGGAAGTAGAAGGGATTCGAGTCAGACCTGAGTAATGCGGGCCAGGGCACGTGTTACTTGCTCGTGACCCTACCGGGAGCTAGTCGAGTGGGGATTTTCCCACGGCCTCTTGGCAGCAATCAGAGACCCGGTTGGCCCATGCCCCGATGTCCTTGGGACTATCAGCAGCAACAAGAAGGCGGTGATAATCAGCCAAAACAAAGGCCCAACCTAATATACCTACGTGGTTGGAAAGACAAAGGATTGGTAATTGTGATTACTTGTGTGGACCTACTGCTTGAACACCTCCGTTATAGGTAAATAAAAGACACCGAGGCATAGAATAGCTAGGCAGCGGTGTGTGCATGGCACGACTGCCCGCTGTGTGGAATCCTGCCCGGTTCTTCACCGTATAGGAACAACTCAATCACTTCTCCATACAATGCTGACAGACCTGGCATCCACCGAGACTGACGAATCGACGGGATCTACCAGGCTGATGTGCTGTCCAGTGTCCATGTGTCCAGTTCAGCAGTTTGCATGCTTGCCTGTCAGTTTCTGCCGCTGTCATTTGCCGCCCTGGGGTTGTTCCTGGTTCTCTGGACACTTTAGAACAAACACACCAGCAACACCAACAGGGGTCGGAAGCCACATGCATGGCGGTAAGCATGCGGGCGATCCGCAGTGGACAGCTGGGGAAGGGAACAGGGGCAGCCTCATGTCCTCACCGTCTATCACAGTGCTGAGCTCTAGGCCACTCTCTGGCAATGGAACTCGAACCACAGGTACCCCAAAGCCATTTTGTGGGATGTAGTGTAGCTTTACGACTTGGTCGTTGCCAACGCAGTTAATTGGCAAGCATGCAGCAGCCCATATAGCAACAGCTGTGCTGCCTCCATTATGCTTAAAATCTGCCGATCGATGGCTGTGTCGGGACATGCGATAAACGCCAGTGATGGTGCAACCTGTGATTCAGGCTGGATGACTGCTTGCGCCGATTAACCCAGGCTGCTCTTATCCGCTTATCGCAACGGTCTCTCTCCAAGACCAAGGGACCAGGCCCTGTGATTGGCCACTCCACCTTTGACCATCCCGCATCAGGTTAGAAGTGGGTCTCCAGCCGCCATGGAAGGGCTCCACCTTTCCTGCTAGTGACACAGTGACAGGGAGGTGCCCTGAGGCAACAGCACGCTTGGACGGCTGACGCAGCCTGCTCCTCCGGGCACTTTATCAGGACCCGGGTCCCCAAGGCGCTGCCGAGCTCGTTCTCCTCCCTCTATTCCCATCCCCTCCTCTCCCTCTCCATTCCTCTTCCTCCTCCCCCATCCCATCGAATTAATCGCCAACACAACCATTGCGAACCAAGCCTTCGAAGAAGGCATCTCTTTTCGGTTTTGCCCACATCTCTAGTGGCATCGCCGTCTTTCCCTTATTTGTGAAGTCGCAGGCTCAATCGACTTCGCCCTTCCCTTTCGTGTCACCATGAGAGGCCTTTTCTTCCTCTCGCTGGCCGCCTATGCTGCGGCGGCCCCCAGGGCAAAGGTCGGCACCATCGACAATGATGCCGCGCCCATCCTTTCGTCGTCCAACGCCGAGATTGTCCCAAATGCCTACATCATCAAGTTCAAGAAGCATGTCACTCCCGAGGTGGCTGCGGCGCATCACACCTGGATCCAGGAGATCCATTCCGCCGCCGAGACCAGGCGCCTCGATCTCAAGAAGCGCAGCCAGTTCCCTTTTGTTGACCAGGTCTTCCATGGTCTGAAGCATACCTACCAGATCGGCCAGGAGTTCCTCGGTTATGCCGGACACTTCGACGATGAGACCATCGAGCAAGTTCGCAGGCATCCTGATGTAAGAACCCCGTGCCAGCCGCATGTTGTTTCTGACCGAGAAAATCTAACTAGCTGCCATTCAGGTCGAGTACATTGAGCGTGACACCATCGTACATACGATGCGTTTCGAGGAGGCCAAGGAGGAGTGCCATGGCGAGATCGAGAAGAGCGCCCCATGGGGTCTTGCTCGCATCTCCCACCGCGATACCCTAACATTCTCTACCTTCAACAAGTACCTGTATGCTGCTGAGGGCGGCGAGGGCGTCGATGCTTATGTTATCGACACCGGCACCAACATTGAGCACGTTGACTTCGAGGGCCGCGCCAAGTGGGGCAAGACCATTCCCGCTGGTGATGCCGACGTCGATGGTAATGGTCATGGCACTCACTGCTCTGGTACTATTGCCGGCAAGAAGTACGGTGTTGCCAAGAAGGCCAACATCTATGCTGTCAAGGTCCTTCGTTCTAACGGCTCCGGCACCATGTCCGATGTCGTCGCTGGTGTTGAGTGGGTTGCTACCCAGCATCTGGAGAACGTCAAGCTCGCCAAGGCTGGTAAGCGCAAGGGTTTCAAGGGCTCTGTCGCCAACATGTCGCTGGGTGGCGGCAAGACCCGTACCCTCGATGACACCGTGAACGCTGCCGTCGCTGTTGGTGTCCACTTTGCGGTCGCCGCTGGCAACGACAACGCTGATGCTTGCAACTACTCTCCCGCTGCTGCTGAGAGCGCCATTACTGTTGGTGCTTCGGCCATCGACGACAGCCGTGCCTACTTCTCCAACTATGGCAAGTGCACCGACATCTTTGCTCCTGGCCTCAGTATTCTCTCGACATGGATTGGCAGCAAGTATGCTACCAACACCATCTCGGGCACCTCCATGGCATCCCCCCACATCGCTGGTCTACTGGCCTATTATCTTTCCCTCCAGCCTTCTGAGGACTCCGAGTACTCGGTCGCTCCCATCACGCCCAAGAAGATGAAGGAGAACCTGCTCAAGATTGCCACCGAGGGTGCCCTGAGCGATCTACCCCGGGACACTCCCAACCTGCTCGCCTGGAACGGCGGTGGCTGCAGCAATTACTCCGCCATCATTGAGGCCGGCGGTTACAAGGTTGAGCGCAAAAGCCAGTCCAGCAAGATCGAGATCCCCACCTCTTTTTCTGATGTCGAGGAGGAGCTGAAGTCCATCTCGAAGAAGGTCCACGAGGGTGCCTCGTCCTTTGCGGACAGGGCCAAGAAGTTCACCGAAAAGATCCACAAGCTTGTGGATGAGGAGTTGAAGGAGTTCATCGAGGAGCTTGGCGCTTAAGCTATCTTGAATAACCTGGAGCCGGGATTCGGGAGGTTTGGCATGTGATCAGCGTGAGGCCTGGGAGTGGCATGGTTCGGGTCAGGAAGGATGGGTTTTTGCACTCTTGGTTTTTTTTTTTTTTGGTTTATTGGTATGGTGATTCAGCACGTATGATGCAGTCAGGGGAACTCTATGTACTCTACGCGCAACATGGGATGCACGCTCGATGATCGGAATGGTTCGCACTTGGAATTGAGTCTATCTAACCACATACTTCCCATCTTCCTGCCCTAATCAATTTATCTTGCGTCACATAATCTCAATGCTGTTCTACTTACAGAAGGTTCAACCATTCAGTCCACTTGCTTCTTCCGGGTCAAGGTAAACCTTGGATCTGTTGCGCGACGCTACTTCCCCTTTTATCATCCCACAATGACTTCGCTGATAGCTTCCATGGCAGTGTACCAGTCATCTGCTCCTGACTCGTGATGAAGATGCTGCGGGTTGGCACGTCTCATCTTCATCTCCATTCACGTCCTTAGGTATTGCCATATCCTGAGACTCGGTGTCCCGTCACCAACTTTGCGTGACTACCTACCTATCCATTCCCCTTGACATACAGTTAGCTACACAGCTTTACACTCAATCGGATAACTTAATTGTCCTTGTAACTCCGAGTCTCAGACCTGAGCATCGTTCTCGTGCGTTGCCCTGCTATCAGTTGCAATGCTGCGCCGACGCAGCACCAAGTCGAGATCTCACATCAACCACCACAAGCCTGCTTCGTGCGCTGATGCTGTTGTTTGCGAACACCACGACTCCATTTTGGATCAGCGAGATGCTCATATTGCCGCGCTTCAGGCGTTTTTGAGGGCCCAGAATCGTGCATCCGCGATGGATAATCCTTTGCCCTCCCTCTCTGCCCCTGAACCACAGCGCCGGCACTGCCAGACCCATGCAAGCTCAATAGACCAAGCAATTCCCGGTCGACGCAGCGAAGGTGATCAGAATCACTCATACCTCCAAAGTGTTCGGTTTATGGGGCCCCAACCAATTCTTTCCGGTGATCGCGCTTCCCGAAAAGGCCCGTCCCTTCGTCGCTCCAAAAGTCTCGGTCCTGATACGACACGCGCAAAAGGAAATCGAGAAGGCAAATACTGCTCAGACAAACTAGCCCTGAGCCCTCCCAAGAGAACCCCCCCCGCTTCTGCCGGCTGCTGGTCTTGCCACAAACTACCTTTCCGCAATGGAGGCTCAAGAAGAATACTACACCCCTAAAGATGATGTGGCATCGGAGCCTTCTTCTTTCCGCCGCCTGCGGAAATCGCGCTCCGCTGCTCCCAACACAGGGCTCGGATCGCTGGCTAACGGAGGGATCCTTGGTTCTCAGCCAACTGTCATTTCCCGTTCTCGCAGACTCTTCCGTTCCGACCCAACAGGAATTGAAGGTCGGCAAAAGAGCTCTATGTTGCGGACCCCAAAATCCATGAGCTTCCTGAATCGTCATTCTAGGCTTGGATGGAGGGAAACTGAAGCTGGGAGTTTAAGAAAGTCAGGACAACCCGAGCAAGCTGGCCTCAACGGAAATGAAGGGAGGTTCTTGCGTGGCGAGCATCAGAACTGGGCTATTAAAAACAAAGCATCTATGTTTTTCAGCTCGAGACATCGTCGCCCTGAGAAAGGGGTGCGACATGCCCTCCCTAACACCAGTGATGAGGAAAGCCGAGCTCAAAGCAAGGCAGACACGAGAATAACGCTTGGAAGGTCTAATACATTCAAGCTGAGAGCCAGACGAGGGTCGAGGTCACTGAAGGACAAAATCAAGAACTTGTTTACAATGGGCAAGTCCGAGGGAGAGCAGGCATCAATCCCATGCCAACACATTGAATCCAAGCGAACTCATGGCTTCGGAACATCCGCAGCGCTTGCAGATACTGCTGGGTCAACATATACCGATGAAAGCACTGGATCTGTCCGCAGGGTGCATACAAGAGTGCCATCAGTCCAGCGGGTTTCTAATGAAATCGCTTCCATCAGAGCAAGCCTGGAAAGTTCAAGGAACGAGCAGGGTCGCAAGGCCTCGGATAGCTCCTCGTTGACAAGTTGGGTACATTCTGGACCAAGTACACTGACCAGCGAACAGCAAGAGCAGTGGAGAGAATGGGAGAGGCAGCGGTTAGCTGCGATGGGAGAGACTGTCTCATATGTCCCATCCTCGTCCATTGGAGGTGCAGCATTCCGCACAAAAGCCTCCCAACGCCTTGAAACTTCCCAACAGCAAGCGCTCCCTGCTCGCCCAATCGTGAACAGCGAGAGAGTTTATTCGGCCTTGATGAAGCACATGAAAGCGATGAATAGCTGTGGAAACACGGAGGAATCTGGCGTGGGTCATGGAGAAGATGACACTCCAAAACCGCGAACGATCAGAAGAGTGATCTCAGAGAGAGAACACGGAGGGTCGCCTCGGACTGTTTACACACCAACGAGGGTTCCAAGAACAGGAGGTTCCATGAAGGCTCAGTCTGAACAGAAAGATGAACAGGACACCAACTCGCTAACGTCCGGGGTCGCGGCATGGAACAGTGAGTTGCGGAGGATCCCTAGTGGCATTTTAGCAGGATCAGGATGGGCATCAAAAACAGCGGATAGCCCTGCATCGCATCTGTTTCGCCGCTCAGATTCATATCGTCGTACTTTGCGGGCCTCCATGCAAGAGGAACAAAACGTTTGGGCCCAACAAAGTGTTGAGGCAGAGAAGGAGTCGGATGCCGATACTCCGTTCCGTCATGACAATGGTGGTCATGGAGACAGTGACTCCGATGCGGACAAGAGCCTATACTCGGAGAGTGTCTATTCAGCGGAGAATGATGAACATCGTCCCGTTCGTCCAGGAACAGAGGAGACCCCTACCGCGTACCGGCCGGGAGGACAACGCGGGGTCTCAGATGCGAGTTCAATTGACTGGAAAATGTGGCTCTCAGCCAACCTCGGAAAGTTTGACCCTACCTTGTCTCCGTCGAAGCAGTCAGAGGTTGAGTTTGCTCTGCCGTCTATGCCAAAGAGTTTTCAGTCAGGACACTTTGCGAGCGGCAGTGGCCATGTCCGTGAGCATGCCCAAATACATGGTGAAGATGAGGACCACGCCCGCCACCAACATGGGGGGGACGACGTCTTCACACCACCTGCTCACAAACCCACTCTTCCTATGACTCCACTGAAACAGGTCCAACCGAACGTGGCCAAGCCTTCACCACTCCAGGTGAAAAAGAAAACTAGCACCCCCAATGGTAGCGCCAGTGGGGACGGAAAGCAGCAGTTGATGGCTGAAAATGAAAGACCTGGCGCAAACGGACATGGCCCTTCTGCTCCCGTCTATCACTTTCTACAGGTTCCGCCGCCGCTGCCTCCGCCGCCAATCCCTCCTCGAAGCAAGCTGCGGCCGTCGCCATTGAGGCTTTCGAGGGTCAGCAACAGCGCTGTTGACAGCAATGTAAGAAAGTCCTATGGGGCGTATTCCGTCACATCGAGTCCTGGATTGACAGAGGCCGTCCTCAGGCAGTTTGGGCCGGTTGCTGGGGGCAACAGTCGGTTGGGAGAGCAGGAGACTGCATGCGAAGATGAAAGAAGAGATGAGGGTGCGGCGTTTATCTGAGAGAGAAGGGACGGAAGTGTTGGAGGTTGGAGGTTGGTGTGAAACCTTCTTCGTGGGGGTGTCACAACAAACTGCCAACGGGTAGTTTACTACTAGACGACGTCTTTTGGCGTTTTGTCCTTTTCATCAGCTTATTATATCACGCAGGTTAGGGTTCAATGCCAGTTTCAGGGAGGACTCGAAGGGGGGTGGGGGGGGAAGGGGTGTAACAGGTCAACACACCGCAAAACTAAAGGAGCAACATGAATATACAATAGATAGATGCGGAATTGGAACGACGAGCCTCTGTTGTTCGCTGGAAAATGTTTTGGACCATGATGGGAAATTGAATTCAGACGCTATGGCGTGAGATTGCATTTTAGCTTCAAGTTGGGCAATGAGCCGCCCCATCCCCTGGGGCCTTGTGTTGTTGGTACTTTAAACGTCCCTTTTTTTTTTAACACTTACACCCACATAATGTGTCCTGACACGGCCACATATAAGTTTCAGGAGTTGTGTTTAAAACACAGACAGCGTACACTACTACGACATTACCATGCATTTCCGTTTACGCATTACGACCCTCATCCTGGTATGGCATGTTTGCCCGTTGTTGTCGTCTTCAAGTTCGCCGTTCCAAGGGGCTGGGACAGAGATGGAGACGGGGGTGGTGGGTGTACTCTTTTAAGGCTGAGGGACCGGCTGAGGTACCTCGCGACGATGTTTTATCGCATTGATAGTCCGAGGATCCACTGCTGCCAAGCGTACGTCGCAGGCGATTCGTTGGCGTGTGCCTAGGGGGCTGCTGTGGCTAGGTAATATTAGGTGGCTGACGCTGGGCGCTTGGTCAGGTACCCGTTCGTATGAATTTCCATCTTTTATAGTGTAAGCCGTAAGTTGCTCATGTCAGATCCAACTGGCACAGATTCTCGCAAGCCTCTCTGCATTCTGCTCAGCTTCCTTTGCCCCGGTCTGGCATCTCTCAGCATATCGTTGGGCATCTGGTTATCAGCGCAATGCTGGGGCCTGCGGTTCCAATGCGGTGAGTCGGGCTGCTCCGGCGCTGAGTCAGGTCGTTCAGGTCTGAAGGGTCTGCCGCGTGCTGCCCGAATCTCTACGTGGGAGCACAGGAGCAGGTGATGGACAGAAAGGCGCCGATCCATTGGGTTCCTCGACATTCTTGGCGACGTTGCATTGCGCTCGTGTGCCCGGGAGTACCGGCAAGTACCTGATTGCTGCTGCGGTCGTCTGCGGCTGCTGATGACGAGCCCCCTGGACGAACGCGACAGCTGGCGTTAATTACGTGCCCCATTCTGCCATTCTTACGCTGCTCGTGGCGGGTGCCAGGGACCGCCAATGGACCCCAGAGAGACCCCCAGAGTCCTCGGGGACTAACCAAGACAAAGAGTCCAGACTCCGTGCCCCATAATAATTCCAAGCGTAATCTCGCCCCGGCCGATGGCCCATGCATGCAGTGACATTTTTCTTTTCGGTTGGTGTCAGCAGCAAGCTGCAATAACACGTCGCCCACAAAGAGCCGGCCGTCGTCATCGTTATCGAGCACCACACCAACGCCAGCTGGAGCCCGTCTGCTCCATTTTTTAGCATCAAGGCGTGGAAGGTTCAATCGTTGGCTGCAGCAGCGGGCCGTTTGCAAAAGATACGGATTATTGTTGCGAACTGCCCACACGCTGCTGAAGGTTGCTGTTGCTGTTGCTGTCGCTGTTGCTGTTGCTGCCCCTCGGCAAATACAACACCACCACCGAAGTGGGAGATCGTCAGCCAAGTACGGATAATTAATAATAACAAAACAACAGCGGCTCCCTATCTGGCAAGGACACGACAACGCCAAACAAGAACGACGACAAGGACGATAACGACAACAACGATAACAGCGACAACAGCAAAAACCCACTCACTACGAGTGAGACGAGCACCGAGAGAACCTCCACGATCCCAACCCTCTCCCCTGGGTTCCCAACTGCTTGCGTTCGCACGGTTACTGCTTCTGGGCTGCCACCGCGGCATGTCAGCTTTCTTAGGTAGCCCCCTCGTCGCATAATCCCGACCATCTGGTATCTCGCATCTTTGGCATCTCGCGTTCTGTCACGGCACATCGCCATCTGGCATCATGCACGCCATCTCGCAACGGTGTCGTCCCAAGCACCAGGTGCTGGTACTCAAATGTTACCCACGAACCACCAAGGGCGCTGTCGACATCAAGCCCAACTCCAGCGAGCTCAGCTATCTGCTATTCTATGCCCAATCGCGCCGCTCCAAGGTCCAGAAAGTCGGCAGCTTTCTTGAAAAAAAGACGGCCAGCGATGTCTACCGCCAGCGCATCGGGTAAATCCAGACCCAGTTCTGCCCAACCTCATGACAAGGTCGCTTTTTAGCTCCAGACGGGAAACTAACCAGCCTGCAGCAATGTCCAGGTCACCCTCCAGATCCTGACCGCGCTCATCGAGAAGGTCCCCAAGGACCTTCCTCTATTCGCCTCGAGCGTACTGAGCATCCTTGACCAGATCTTGCGCTCGCGCGATATCACCATGGTCGAGTCGTCCATCCCGACCTTCGAGGCCTTTTGTACCTACCACGAGCCGACCTCACTCGTGGGCGACCAGGCCTGTCAGAACCAGTACCTCTCCGTCGTCCGGCAGTATGCTTCGCTTGCTTCGACACGCGCGTTCCCCGGCAAGGATGAACCAAGTAAGCCCATCGCCTTGCGCTGGCGTAATGCGGGGCTCAAGGCGATCAAGAGTATTGCCTCGTCCGAGGCCCTCGCGGCCGCCATGAGCGAACAGTACGACATCACGGTCCCCATGATCCTCGAGAATCTGTGGACCGACAACGAAGACTTTCTCGACGTATTGTGTCAGCGCGCCGAGATCGAGGACAAGATGGGAGGCGCCTTGCTCAGACGACGTACGAGCATCACAACTGTGCAGACGACCGAGACCGAGGCCCATCCGAATCCCTCTGCTTTGGCCGACTCCGCGGCCGACATGGACAAGCTGGCCGAGGAGGATACAGGCGTGCTGGCCATGGAGTGTCTGCATCGGATCTTCATTGCGCCGAACCGTTCCCAGGTTCATGCGGCCACTCTTGCCCTGGTCAAGTTTATCCAGGAACGCGTCAGTCAGCAGGAGGAGGTGGTCAAGACAGATTCGAACGGACTTGATAGTGGCTGGGCCATCAAGATGTTCTTGCTGGCGGCGCGTTGGGCTCCAGTTGCCGATCGTTTCACCATCCTCGTGACGGCCATGGACACGCTCTCCCAGTACCCGTTGAATGATGATACCTTGCGGCAGCACATCGTGCTGGCTGCCATGATTGGTGCCCTTCTGCGATCGGACATCAACCTCATTGGTCTGAGTGTTATGGATGTCTTGCTGCAACTTCTGTCTCACATTCGTCGACTGGTTCAATTGCCAGGCGACCCTAACAACATGCGTACAGAGATCCATATCCCCGGAAAGCCCGATCCCCGGACCTCGAGTTCTCAACAATTTGAGTCGAAGGAGGAGCGCATCATTGCTGAGCGCAAGGACCTGCTGTTCAGGCTGCAGGAATGCATCGGCGACCTGGCCACACATGTGTACTACGCCGAACAAATCTCCGACATGATCTCGACCATCCTGCTCAAGCTCAAGCCCTCCCGGTTGAGCAATAGCAACACCCCTTCTCCTCAGGGAGAGAAATCGGACGGCACACCCAAGTCGTCGGCTCACCAACTCCCCGACGACCAACAACCGCAGCATGCCGACTCGTTATTTTCTCTGACGGTTGCTAAGATCGCTGCGCTGAGGGCAATCAAGTCGGTCTTGCTGGTAGCCAACCCGCGTCATGCTCATCAGAGGATGCTGAGCACCGCCAGCGCTAGCAGCAGCGCTGGGGCTAGCAGTCGTGGCCTGTCCCGGAGCCGTGTGCCGGTACAGGTCTGGGACGGCACGCAATGGTTGCTGCACGACTCCGATGGTCTTGTTCGACAGGCATATGCGGATGCCGTCGTTACCTGGCTCGACCGCGAAACTACGGCCGCCGACAGCAGGGCCCGTGATGACTCGGCGCGTTCGCCGCTCAAGAGCCCCACCGCTATGGCGAAGAGGACCGTCCTGAGCCCATCGCCGCGCGAAAAACCGCCGGTCAAGATCCCACGCTCCCACTTCCTGCAGCTGCTGCACGTCGCCATCTATGATAATGCGCTCGATTATATCGAGTACGAGGCCGACATTGTGCTTCTGCATATCCTGCTGGCAAAGTTGGTCGAGAAGCTGGGCATCAACGCCGTTCGCTACGGCCTGCCCATGATCTTTCGGCTGCAGGAGGACATCCAAGACGCTGAAACGCCCGTCCATAAGGTGCGGCTGGGCAGCTTGGTGCATGGATACTTTTGGGCATTGACAGAGAAGTTTGATTTTGAGGGCACCGTTATCGGGCGAGCCATCCACAACGAGATTGTGCGACGCCGTAGCAAGAACTTTTGGGTTGATGGAGTTAACATCCCTACGCCCCTCATTGAAATTGCTGGCATTCCTGGAGTGCCGGGTCCTCAGCCACGACTGCCGCTCGAGCAGGTTGAGTCCGAGGCTCTGCTGCCATTTGACGAACGCGAGGCACTCATCGAGTGTGTCTGCGAGGCCTATCAGGTACAAGCTGCTTCTCCCCTGTCCAGCCCGGCCGCTAGTCCCGGTCGGAGCTTCGCACACCCGGTTGGCGCAGTCATTCCTGCCATTGAGACCGAACATGAGGTACCGCCTCACTTCCGGGAGCAGATGCTCACCGAGTGGTCTCGTGAAGCTGCTCTCGCTGCTGTGCAGACGACCAGCAAGTCAGCGTCGCTTAATGGGTCCCGGGCAGGCACCACTGCCACCCGGCTTACCTCCCCCAATAATGGCGGCGGCAATGGGAACGGTCTTGCAGTACAGGGCAACGGGCGCCTTGGTGACAAGGCGTCTCCTGCGGCTAGCAGGACTAACCTACGTCCATCGTCATCCCCATCTGGTGCAATCAAGGCGCGCAAGAGTAGCTTCCGAAGTGGACACTCACCATCGCCGTCACCGCCGAGTCATCGGGGTGATCTTGGCAAGGACTCGCCTGAACAGGTCAGGGGAGACCATCCGCCTGTCGCGTCAGTGGAACAGCTCAAGCTCGTCCTCTCTGGTCAGCTCGTCCCGCCGCCGAGTGCGCATGGCCACCACTGCGTGCTTGAGGCCTTTCCGCCGCACCAGCAACACTACGTGCAGCGCGATGGCACCGAAAGCGAAAGCAGTGACTCCCTCATCAGCTACGACATGGCCCCGAGCGAGCTTTCCTTCAACCCCACCACCATGCCCGCTCCCCCCCCGGGCGTTACTTACACCGACCCGACGTCAGCCGCAACCACCTCTGCCGGGCCCGATTCGTCGCCGCCCCTGCCCCCGCTGCAGATGACTCGCACAATCTCGCGTGAGCGCAAGGCAGTCGTGACAGGCATTGGCGGCAGTCCGCTCAACTCTCATCCGCTTGGCATGCCGGGATCGTCCTCCCCGACGTCTCCCACTGCTGCTGCTGCTGCTGCTGCTGCTGCTGCTGCTGACGGAGTAGTGTCAGGGTCTTCGGCATCTAGAAGGCCGTCGCTCTCGAAGCGGAGCGTGCGCAGCGCGAAGTTGGCGTCAGCTACTGTAGAGAAGTCGAGGGAGCGCGATAGGGGTTTGTCGACTTCGTCGTGGAGGACGCCGTCGGTTACGGATGGAGAGTATGCTGGTGAGCCAATACCCCCGCCGCCAGCATTGGATTTGCAGGCATTGTTGAGGGGTATTGATTCGATTTCGGGAGGAGAGGGAATGAAGGCTAGCGGAAGTGGGGCAGCAGGCATGGCGAAGCCGCCTTATTGAGTAATTGATCATTTTGATGATGACGGTTCTCTTCGGCCGCTTCACTTGTTTTCCCATTTCACTTATCTTGTCAAGTTGATACTGTCTGGCTGACTTGTTTGGTTGTGGTTCGTTGGGGGGTCTAATGGGCTTCAAAGATGCAAGAAAAGCGAGCGAAAGTTTTGTGTTTCAACACTTCATACTGATGTGGGCTGGTTTGGGAAATATGTTTTTGTGCCTCTAGAACAGACTTTTGGGTAGGAGGGTGGGTGGTTATTGTGTTGTTCACCATCGTCATTATCATTGCTCATTTGATATATTCTTAAGGTGAAGAACTTTGCCTTCTATGTATCATGTTATCCTTGATGTTGCATGGGCGGGTTTCATTAGAGTGTTTGTTTACTTAGAGCGGTTGTGGATTAGAGTGTTCTGCGTGCCCACAGCAAACAGCAGAAAATAAAAAAAAAACACACCTTGTTAGGTTAGACTTGCGTCTAGACTAGGCATGTATTTTATATGCCGAGTTATTAATGACAGCCTCATTGTGTCTATTGCGTACAGGCAGTGCTGACAGTGTAAATGTTCACAGATCTGGTGGTTGTTGCATCCCCTTCTTCACTAGGGTCTTCATCCCCAATATGCCTTATGGTGGTGGCCAAGAGATGTCACCATTCAGAATGCCACAACACTATGGAACCTCAAACTTAGCACCTAGCAGGTACATACCTAACATTGTCCAATCACAAATCTATATGTTTTATACCATAAGATGCATATAAAATTAGGGTTAAGTCTTTAAAGAGGCTTATTGATCTCTGTAATTATATCCTATCCACTTTAACTCCGTTCCTTTTTTTAGTTTGTACTTTTGTTTCTAAGACATTTTCCGTCTCCCAAAGTATATGCACTCCCTAAGTCTTTGGGCAAGGGCTGGGGTTGAATATAATCCGAAGCCCGAATGGGCTCGTCCGCTCTCATCTCTATTCCGTACTAGGGTTGAATAGAAACAAGTCCACCAAGTAACAAGCCATGAAAAATGCTTCATATTATACATATGTATATATAACTTCCCTCATAGCATCGTTATATTATGTTTCGAAGCAATTTCTATTGTTTAGTCAAGTTATATAAGGTGTTACGGCCCAGATGCGGACCAGCAGCTGCCCCAGAGTAGTGGGGAGAGGATCAATGAGGAAACCCCAAGTGGGGTCGAAAAACAGACCAATCGCAGGCAAGAAAAGATTATCGTTGCCAAGAACCACCGACAATCGACCTCTACCCCTCGACAATAATCCTGACCTTGGTTGATGATAATCCTGAACTTGGTCGATGATCATTTGAATAGAAGGGTAGGCATATCAACGATTTTTGAGTATAAATATGTATAAAAACTCCAATATCCAGAACTATGATGAGGACTTCCTCATTCAACGATAGAGACAGTTGTCAACCAACAACTGATGAACGCAGTAGACCACATACTCTACCGTATGAGGACCTCATTCCTTCAGGTTCTACAACATGGCCACTACCTTTGAACCCATCTCAGGAGGTAGTAAAATCATCACATCAGGGTTATATATCACATGGGCATTGTGTGTGTGTGTGCTGGCCTAGACACTGGAGGGTATGTTATCGAACTCTGGCTTGTGGCTCTACAGCTTTAGCGACACTGGATAGCGAGCTCTCTCAGCCATAATAGTGCCCCTCCAAAATGTGATGTCATTGTGGGTACAAGACCCTGCCCCACCAAGTAGCACAAGCCCAGACAGCCACACAGCGCAGTGGACCGAACCCTTGTCGTTGTCACGGGAAGTGCCGCACCGCGCAAAAAAGTTCCTGTGCTGTCCTCTCACCTTGAGAACAACTCCGACGACTCCAACCCAGCACTCTGGATCCCCATGCACATGCGCGTGTAAATACCTTACGTATCTACGTACACTCGTCAGCTGGTATACGCAGCCAGTCCTCACTGAGCCTGTTCCCACTGCCCGCCAGAGGGCCAACCCCCTCTCGACTCTTTACCACCATCAAGATGGCGCCAGCAACAAGACTTAGCCTACTCCTCCCGTTACGGCATCTGGCTGTTACTGCTGCTGCTACTGCTTCCGCCGCTCGGGCCTCAGCCTCTCCGTCCTCGTCATTAACCGCCAGGGCATTTGCGATCCGCGCACTGCACAGCAACAGCGCCAAGCCAGCCAATGTGGTCCCCGTATACGGCACAGGCCCGCCGCCAGAGCCGCCACAGCCAACGATCGATTACTACGGGCCAGAGCATCGGATTGCGCGGCGCAAGCGTCAGGCTGAGTTGCTGCGGCAGGCGACGGGGTTGAGCCCGTCCAGTAGCTACCGGGGCAAGACGGTGCGGAAGAGGTTTTGGAAGGACGTTCATGTACGAGAGGTAAATGGTATGTCTTGTCTCCAGGTATCCCACCGCGATTCCCCGTCACTGTGTCCCTACAGACCCCGTAGTAACATCCTTTTCTCATTAAAGGCGCCTATGAAATCCACCTCGACACCCGTCCCCTGCGCCATCCACACACAAAATCTGTCATCCGCCTGCCTCTTAGCAAACCCAACCTCGCCCACTCCCTCGCTGTAGAATGGGACTCGCTCCTCTCAGCCCAACATGCAACCAAGCAGCACCTGATCCCCCTAACCGCCCTGACTTGCCGCGCCCTCGACATCGCTGCCGACGACGCCAGCCCCGCGGGGCCGACCATCCGCCCACAGGTGATCTCCCTGCTCCTACGCTACCTCGACACAGACTCGCTTCTGTGCTGGGTCCCCCGTCCGGGTGCCCTCAACGTCTCGGAGGCGCCTGAGGAAGAGGGCAAGGAGAACAACGGCCAGCCGACATGCCTGCACGATCTGCAGGAACAGACATACCAGCGTGTGACAGGGTACCTGACTTCGCGGTTGTGGCCAGGCACAGAGATTGTGCCTGTGCTAGATGGTGCGTCAATTTTACCGCGTCATCAGCCGCCCGGCACACGAGAGGTTGTGAAAGGTTGGATTGCTGGTCTCTCTGCCTTTGAACTGGCTGGGCTGGAGCGGGCGACGCTCGCGGGTAAGAGTCTGCTGGCTGCCGCCAGGCTGGTGGCAGAATGGAGTGAGGAATCGCCATTTCGGTGGCAGGGAATTGTGAATGCTAGCCAGGAAGATGCCGAGTTCTTTGGAGTGGAGGAATGCGCAAAGGCTGTGAACCTTGAGGTGGACTGGCAGACGAGGAATTGGGGCGAGGTGGAGGACACCCACGATGTAGAGAAGGAGGAGCTGCGCAGGCAGCTGGCCAGTGTAGTGCTACTTGTCTCTGGGACAGGGAGGAGTTGACTATGCTCATCATGATAGACAATGGGCTGTGATGTATACCCACTGATACACATGTGTACTTTGTTAAATGTATTATCACTCACTGGCTACTTGGACCTAATCTCGTTGTATTATGTTTCATTCACGTTTGAAAAGCGAGGCTGCATAAAGAGCACTGAAAAACCTCCGCGTTACTGAGATACCGCCTACTAATCTATTTAAACCATTCAAGCAACATATTCAGCCATTGTCATCAACATCTTCTTGTGAAACCTCGTGAAAGCCAATGTGTTGAGTGTCTGGCCACATCAAATCTAGCACCAGTTTCAAGCAAATCATTACAGCAAATTATACCAGACCCAGGCAAGTATATCCCCCCAAGATAACGCAAGTGTCTGAGCTCATATCCTTCCACCCTATATCCCGACGTAAGTCAGAGAGAAGACAGGAAGAATGATGATTCGTGCAGATGAGTGAAGAAGTGGAAGGTAGACAGAAACTAAGGACGAATGAGTGAATGGCGGAAAAACGAAACATGAAAAGAACGACGGAATGTGAAAAGAAGAAACAAATGAGTTGAAATGAAGCCGATCAAATCTCCACGTCACCCCCGTCATACACAAATGCATTCGCATGCTCTGGAATAGCACCATTGATTGCTGCCTCACGCTTGTCTTCCTCGCTGGTCATGCGGCCCGGGTCAATGTACCGAGCTGTAAGGGAGAAGCGGCGCACTCCATGAGGTTCGACAGTGTGCTACGCATGTTAGCATCATATCTGTTGTTAAAATTGAGATACCTTGCACTGACCTCATACACCTTTTGAATATCCTCACCAATCATGACCATTATGTCTCCGTGCTTCATGGTGACCTCAAGGAAGTCTTGCCAAACTTCGTCCCCATGCTTTCCACGCCTCTTCAGCCACTTGAATGGCTGAGACTTTTTAGGTCGGAACTTCATGGTGCAGGGAGAACCCAATGAAAGAGCTGCTACAACTGGCCCAAGCTCACTCTCGCCATCATCGTGATACTTTGTAAGACAGTTAGCCAAGATACTGTCACCTTGCTTTTTTGGCAAGCCACATACCCTGATCTTGTCGCCTTCCATGTAGCCCAAGGCTAGCAGCTCATTGAAGTCATTCGCTTTGGGAAGATGCGCCTTTGGGCCAATAGCTTCTGGGTCAAGCTTTTCAAGGAAGGCATTTGATGCCTTCACTGTAACCGTTTTTGCCCAGATCAGTCGATGTAATGCTTTCAGGATTACATCAGGGGCTTCATCAAAGCCCTTTGACTGAACTGTGACACCAAACTTATACCGGGCGCCCTGTAACTTGTTAGTCGATGTGTTTTCACTGCAGCTGAACATGGTTACAACTTACAAAGTTCTGCTGGAAGTGTCGAGTGTATCCCTCAAGTTTGTCTGTAAATGTTAGCGCCAGCCTCACAGTAATGCTAGCTTCCATGATAACTTACGGCCAACCAGGGCAGCAGGATTTCGGCGCAAACCAATGTCGATCTTTTCGAGGGTCCGGAAGAGATCATCAGGACCATCAGGCATTGCATTGGTTTCGCCCTTTGACGAGAGCAAGCTGAACGATCCAATTACCTGGTTCCCAGCATCTTGAAGGAAGAATTGATGGATTGTGTAGCTCCTTAACTCGATGACTTGTGTGTGTAGTGTAGTGTGGTCCAAGTATTCAGGAGGTGGTGCAATTGTGACAACTGAGGGGCACCAAGCAAGCTTCTCTCCCCTACGTCGCATCATCTGTTGGTCAAACTTTTTGTTTTCTGCATCCCATATGGCTTGAGGAAACGGAAGCATCGGTGCATCCATATTGAAGCTGCAGGCGTTGTTCTGACATACTAAACGGTTCCAGTAGAGCCGGCGGTTGCAGCAACCACAGAGGGGACACACAAAACCTTGTCGCAATGCAAGCTCTGTACCATGACAACCCTCAAAGCTTGGCATCTCGGGAACAATGGAAGGCACTTTGCCGGTGAATGGTGTTCGTTCCTCCAGAAATATTTGGGTGTAGGTAAGTTCTTGTAGCCGCACAGGCTGACCGTTTGGGAGCTTGTAATACTTCTCGCAGGTTTCGGTTCGACAAAACCAGCCGATAGTAAAAATCTCTTTCCACTCGCTACCGCAAGCCCTGCATCGCCGGACAGGAGCGCGTGGTCGGAGTGAGATATCAGATGGGCCAGTCTCTTGAGCCCACCAAGATGGCTCGTTCAAGTCTGCCTTTTCAAGCCGCACACGCCAAATTTTTACCTCTTTCTCAGAGCCTCTAGGAATCTGATTCTCCTTCCACATGTCTGTAATATGGAAGTATCCCAGGACCGAGTAGACATGCGGCGGCTGGCAAGGATAAAGTGGATGGTTATCACCTGGAGAGAAACAAAGGGTCAGTCCTCTTGCAACGGCAAGTATAATGGAGCAAAGTAGCACTACGGAAAACTGACCTGCAATCACTGCAACGAGACTACCTGCTTCCATTGCAAGTTTGAACGCTTGGACATTTGTAGCATCATCAGAGGCATCCTTGGTACGAACCATCTGCCCAGTTGCTTCATCTCTCTCACGTCCTCCTCCGCTAGAGAATCATGTTAGCTCACAATACCCTATCCTTGACATTAAATATCTGAATCAATCGCTTACACAGAAGAGATGATGACTTGGGAAGCAAAAACATCACCGTGGTCAACCTCCTTGTCAATCAAGAAGCCATTGGCGACTTTTCCCTTTGAGTAGAGACTTCCCTGATACGCTTTGAAATATGGCAGTGCCTCACAGAGTGCGCCGCGGGCTTCGGACCAGACACGCGGTAAACCCAACGGGGGTGGGCGAGTTGAAGGTGCGTGTTCAACCAGTATGTTTTGAGAGGGCCCCATTTCATAATCACCAGTATGAATATCCGCGGTGACTCCAATAGTGTTATGAACAACTGAACAGCTTGCAGTATCATTGGTCACATCTCGCTTCCCATCACTGTTGTTCTGGTCATTGCTTTTGAAAGAGACTCGTTTAGATCGACGAATCTTCTTGATATTAGGAGCCTCTGGGCCTTCAACATTAAATTGGGAACTCTCGAGCAGACGCTTAGTGGCTACCAGAGCCTTCTGGGCAGCTATTCGAGTTGGCCTCCTCCTACCTGTGTCCATGTTCTCAAGGATGGTAGATGGAAGTTCGGTCATTGGTTGTCCTTGCACTGGCAGATCTGAGTCTTGCAGGGTTGGACTCGAGGGAGACTTGAAAGATGCCGGGGGAGGGATAGCAATTGGAAGCTCTGTAAGTGTCTGTGGAGGCATAGTTGAATCTGAAAGAGACAGATTCGAACATATAGAATTCTCTGCCATCATCGTGGTCGTTTGGGAGGTACTCGTAGGAGAGTTAACTGGCGCGGTCATGGTAGGGGCAGATTGATTCAAAGACACCAAAGAATTGGTCGAGGATGTGATCACGTTGTCTGATTTTATCATGGACTTGACAGTCTCGTAACCTCCACAAGACGTGATCAACCTTGTTGGGGTCTGGAGTAAACAACTGGTGGACGAGGTATGGGTAAGTGGATGGGTAAGTGACTCTGTCTGCGTCGTTATGGCTGGCAAGGGCAGGCATGGAGTCGTGAAACCAACAGCAGAAACTGTGAAAGCACCCTTTGGATCCGTGAAAAATTCGACAGGCCCGGTCAAGGATGCTGCGTCCTTAGGAGCCCCTGACACAGTTGTGAAAGCATCATTCAGAACTGTGAAGCTCCTAGCCGGAGCCGTGAAACATCCGGTCGGGTTGACCATCTGCTCTATCGACATATGAGCAGTTTCATGAACTGTTGGCGAGCATTGAGTTGCAGATTCTCTCAATAGTGTTGTCTGTCCCACTAGCACGGATGCATACTGCGTCATCGGTGCAATAGACAACGTCGTTGCAGTCAAATGCATTGGAAAGGTGGTTGAGTTCTCTGTCGGCATCGTTACGTTGGCTGACGAGATTTTGCCATAGCCATTTGGCATGCTTGTATGCCCCATGGACGTTACTACACGGTTAGTTGGCACTAAGTCATAGTCCGTAGCCTTCCATGTGAGCTCCGACTGCAGCTGAGGATCTGTTAACATCTGCACCGTGATGTTTGCGATTGACTCAGAGCCATCGCGAGGTTGGATATGAGTTTCACGGTTGTTCAGAGCCTCCATTTCATTGAAACACTTCGGAGGCGCGCGACCGTGGTGAAAATAAGCATACAATTGGTCAGAAAATTGGTCAGAAGAATGCTGGATTCCGAAATAAGGTAGCCGCCCACGTTTGAATGAGCAATCCGTCCACTTGTGGCCAATCGTTCGTGAAGTTTGGCGGAGATGTTGATTAGGGAGGAGGTAGGTAGGAAGTTTGGTGGAGATGTTCCTTTGGAAGGAGGCAAGTAGTTTTGCTGTCCAACCTGGCACCTGTATTGAAGTAACAACGTCTTTGGTCCAAGGATGCTTGTCTGATGTTAGGAGAACTGATATCAAGTATGAAATTTGAAGCGATACACTTCCAGGAGATCTCTTTCACTCGATCAGGCACAAACTCACGGTTCGTGCTTGGAGTCCGGGAGCAAGAGCCGATATGTCAATTTGTTGGGAATTGGTGCCTATATTTCATGTTCACTTTAGTGGCTGACGTTTCCTCTGAGCAGATGTTCAAAGGAGCTCATATAACGGAGCTGCAAAAGCTTCATTATCGGATGATGATAGTGTATGACGCTCCAGGACTATGACGCTCTTGAGAACGGTTGGGAAGATGGCCAACTTACAGCCCTGGATGGTTGTTATCGGGCCTCGAGAACATACAAACGAGTTCTGAAGCCAGACTGAAGGTCTGTTGGCAGTGAGACTCGGGGTTTAGCTGTCCTAACAAAGGCGGTGAGCCAGTTGCAACGTGCTGGTGGTAATGAGGCCCACTGAAATATCATGATGAGTTTGCAATATACACTTACCTTCTAGTGTTGGTAAGTCCGGAATATCAGTTGAAACTGAACTTGTAACTGAGAAGTCTGAGATGATCTGGATAAGACCGAGATCTTAGGCGCGCCACTTTCCAGACCTAAGGGACAATAGCCTGCTATTGGGAACAGATTTTTAATTTTGATGCTGGTGTTACCAGTAAGCATGGAGGCTGGTTTGCCATATTAGTATCAGAACACTACTCTCGCTAAAAAGAGGAGCAGAAAATACGAGAGCACCAAAGGTTGATTCTCACGGATTTGGAAGGCGTGATCTGTCAACACCTACCGTGTGAAAGGCTTCAGATGTCGTAAATGGAGGTTATATCGATAAGTGGATAACAATGTGTGATGAAGATGTTCCAACTCAGGGGAACCGATCTAGCTCTGTAAGTAAGTTAGGTTGTGAAGAACAGTTTTGGACGGACGAGGAAGAGGAGGGGATGGACGGGGAAGAGCTTAAATAGCTGCCTGGAAGCCAATTGAATTCATCACGTTGACTTGGAAGGCACGATGAAGTACCTTCTTGAGCTGTGTCTGGTGGAGATCGCGGTCAATCAACCAGTCCTGGACATAGAACATGGCCAGTGCAGAAACTTCAGGTTCGGGACAATGGTATGAGCCCTGTTTTAAAGGCTGATGTAAGTTGATCTGAAAACGTTGTCAAAAGTCTAAGGGCATGTAGAACTTACCTGAAGTCCGAGCCAACATCAACCGTCAATGCTGTGTAAAAAAGGGGGAGGGGGAAAATGTCGGCTCAGGAAGGGACGACTCCTTTGAAGGTATTTGATAGATTTGTTAGAAGTTTGAGGCTTCTGATATGAACAAGACAGGGGGTCATTGAGGTTTAAATAAGAGGACCGCTGGAACAGAGAAAAATGGGCTTTTGTTAATTCCGATATTGGATGACAGGAACGACTACGATGCCTTGGAGTGACACCTCTTCTCATATCAATCTGGCCCTGGCTGTTAGGGGCAAGATTAATTCTATTTTTGCACAGGTAACTATACATCCAGGATCATGGTTCGTTCTGATGAATCACTTTCGTCCGTTCTATTTTTTTAACCGTAATCTCCGGTTCCAGCTATTCCATGCGATTTTTAACCTCGAACTCATCCATCAAGAATTAGCTAGGGGAAGCCTTTTACCTTTGACATGCCTGGGCAGGTGTGTCCTTGATTGATCGCTTCTTACAGATGAACCCCTATCGTCTGATATGTGTTAGCAGTCCTTGATTTTCTGATATCAGTTCCTATCAAGAATTACCATAGGATTGGGAGGATACATTTGTCAGTTGACGCTGAAGGTTGAGAACTAGCTTTTGAGTAAGTCACGTATATCAAGTAATGGAAATTCACATAGAAGGAATAACCAGCTACGAACACAGTTTACATGAGTGTAGACGGAGTTAGCTTAATTATATGTATGGATATTAGAGGACCCGGACAAATCTTGATACAACCAGTACACACTAGAAGAGCAGGTAAGTGTATCAAACATTCAACGGCCATATGAGTGGAAGAGTCAGTGTCACAAGTCGAAACCATTCATAGTATGATGCCAGGCACACAATTTGGATATCGAGGAAAACTGGACGACCTATATTAATCAAGTACAGGTGCGACCTAGAAAGCTTGCATGGAATAAGTTCAATATCTCTATTGCTAGATGTTCAGGTGCAATGGACTTAGACTTTGGCAAAACCTCAACGAGAAGAATAGGTCAGCACTCTCAGATAAAGCCGCACCTACCTGAAATTGGCAGTGAAAAAAAATGCTGCGATAGATTAACCTGAAAGTTTATCGATTGCTGAGGTGCCAAGTGCCTACCGACCTTGAAATCGCAGTCCCTTAAGAGGGAATATATGTAAAATGAGAGCAACTGTCGTATGGTAACCGCGATCTTTGGGGAAGAAAATGCGGGAAGCTTATGTAGCGAGAAGGTGCGCTTGATATAGAGAACAGCACATAGAGTGGAAAACTCGCGATGGTTTGTCAAGAAGTAACTGAAATAGATTGATTCAACGATCGAAGTGATGATTGCGGCCATTCTTGAAGATAGCAATGTGCACCAGAGTCCTGAGAGAAGACAATACATTCCCTTTGTAAGTGTTAGAGAACAACCACAGGAGGAGAAATGTAGAGACTTAACTATGCCTTTGAGCTTAATACCTAGAACATCGTATGCTGGATAGTTAAAGAGTCATAAAGATAGGGGTAATTAGTCAGAAGCGATGTCTCTGCTCCACGCTACCTCACACAGCTAAGATATAAGAATCGGCAAGATTGAATCCATAAGAAGCAGGCTTAAATGTATATAATTGCAGTTCAAACAGTTCCAAGTCGCTATGCATACAAAGTTTACATGGCCTGCTAACTGATAGATCCAGAATCCGCAAACATAAGAATCACTAAGTTCGCTTGGCAACCATGTATTAAGCACAAGACCAATGGGCACCATGTAGATTCGTCTGTCGACGGCCAATTTGTGGGGAATACCCACTTTTGTCAGTGTGACATACGCCTGGCGTGGGGTTCTTGATTCTGTTCAGGTAATACTCAGTTTACAACTTTTTACTTTGGAGGAAGCGTCGTGTACAGATTACTGGGAAGATCTGATCGACTCGCAGAAGTAAGCGACGGTTCAGCCACGCCTCTGGAGGGTCTGGATTCACCGCTGTGTTGCTCGGAGCCGAGGTGAAGGACAAGCACTTTACTCCCAACCAATTGATGCTGGGTGAGCTTCGCCTGAGAATGTCGCATGTGGATCCATTTCCCCGCATGAAATATCAAGATTGCCGAGGAAGTTGGGGAATTGCGGGGTAGAGCGGATATCAGGCTTGGCATTTCGATGGCATCATGGACTAGCGCGTGGGGAAGTGGGGAGTATCGGACGGGAGCAGGGTACGGCTGTGGAATCCGGGGACCAGGAGACAGGTCCCACTAATCCCTGGTTGGCTGGATGAAGGTTCGGCGTCAGTGTTGATCTGCAGGATGTCTCGAACCAGGGAGGTCGAGGTGTCCAGAACGGTTCTCTGCCATCAAGCCTAATGAACCAGCTCGCGTTTCGCCCCATTTAATAGCCTTTCGGCCTCCTCCCCATTCTCCCTCTTGTCCTTCTCTTATGTCTGATTTACTCGCTGGACTTGCCACCCAAAGTGACGGTAATTTTTGTCTTCTCAGCATCAACAGTTTTTTCATTATCTCAGCTCAGCCCCAATTTCTCCTTTACATCGCTTCCAGTGACGGTTCAGGGCCTTGTGATTGAGTGATACGATTCCCTTGGCAAAATGGTGTTTTATCCTCCCCCATGGGTTCCCAAGTTGCCTTTCGGTATGCTGCATGAAAAAACCTTAAGTGATTGTCTTATTTTCCAAGATCCACCAGACTTACACCAAGGTAGACCCCCCAGATTCAGTAACTATCGGCGAGTTCATGAGAAATGAAATCTATGGCCGCTATCCTGTTGCAAAGAGCCGGAACCCCTTCACCTGCGGCCTTACAGGCAAAACATTCACCCTAGCCCAGTCTTGGGAGAGATCCGATCTCGTAGCCAAAGCATTGTCTAAGATTATGGGATGGGAGCCCAATGCCGACTCGCCCTGGGATAAGGTCATTGCCATCTTCTCATTCAACACAGTAAGTAAAGCGCCCGTTCTCTTCAAAATCAAGCAAATTAGAATCTTGCTCACTGCTTTTCCTCCCAGATCGATTACATTGGTGTGACCCATGCCATCCATCGCCTGAACGGTATTTGCACACCAGCCAATGTCGCATATTCAGATGAGGAGCTGGCATACCAGCTTAGGTCCTCTGGGGCAAAGGCTATCTTTACGTGCAGCCCTGTTCTCGAGACTGCGCTGAAGGCTGCTAAGGCTGTGGGCATTCCCCAGGACAAAATTTTCTTGATGGAGCTGCCCAATCAGTCACATACAAAGAAGCCCGGCTTCAAGACCCTTGAAGACTTAATTGAGCTAGGTCGCACTGTGCCTGATCTCGAGCCGCTGCGTTGGATTAAGGGGCAAGGTGCCCGGCAGGTGGCGTATCTCTGCTACTCGAGTGGTACCTCGGGTCTGCCGGTAAGTTCTCTTTCCGGCTGATTAGCAAAGTGGACGAACTGCTGCTAACCAAGAGTGCCAGAAAGCCGTTATGATCTCTCACTGCAATGTCATTGCCAATACAATGCAGCTCCGCATCTTTGAGGACGTGGGCCGCAAAAAGTTTGGAGTCGAGACCCAAGTGACACTCGGACTGCTGCCCTTGAGCCATATCTATGGGCTGACTGTTGTTGGTCATGTTGCCATCTGGCGCGGTGATGAAGTCATTGTGTTGCCAAAGTTCGACCTCAATGAGTACCTTCAAACTATCGAGCGATTCAAAATCAACTATCTCCCTGTGGTAAGTTGAGCCAGCAACACAGCCAACGATCCTCGGTGCTAATAACAATCATCCAGGTTCCTCCCATCGTTATCCGAATGTTGAGCAACCAAGACCTCCTTAAGAAATATGATTTGAGCAGTGTCAGGTTGTTGTTTACGGGAGCTGCACCTCTTGGAAAGGAAACCGCTGAAGACCTGCTCCGCGTGTTTCCCAACTGGCATGTTGGCCAGGGATATGGTCTGACTGAGTCCGCGCCTGTGGTTTGCTCATCGAGCGAGCATGATATCGTTCAGGGAACGTCCGGCTCTCTTCTGCCTGGCATAAGGGTCAAAGTGATTGATTTCGATGGCAAAGAAATCACAGAGTATGGCAAGCCAGGCGAACTGCTGGTGCAGTCACCGTCTGTTACACTTGGATACCTTAACAATGAAAAGGCAACCGCTGAAACCTTCATTTGGGACGAGGATGGAAGATGGCTGCGGACGGGTGATGAGGTCATTGTCACCAAGTCTCCACAGGGATATGAACATATCACAATCGTAGACCGCCTCAAAGAGCTCATCAAGGTCAAGGTAAGGCCACTCTTCCTTCACTCTCTCAAACGAGCCAAGACATGATGAATTAATGCAACAACTAGGGTCACCAAGTTGCCCCCGCTGAACTGGAGGCTCACTTACTCACACACCCTTACGTTGATGATTGCGCTGTTATCGCCATTCCAGATGAGCGTGATGGTGAGGTGCCTAAGGCATTTGTTGTTACTCCCCCATCACTTGCAGCACAGAAGAGGGAGGAGGAGATTGCGTCCGAGATTGTGCGGCACGTCCAGAAGCACAAAGCACACTACAAGTGGCTCAAGGGTGGTGTTGAGTTTTTAGACGTCATTCCAAAGAGCCCCAGCGGCAAGATCCTGCGCCGGTTGTTGCGTGATCGGGAGAAGGAGGCTCGGCGGGCTAAGGGGGCTAAGCTGTAGCTTGTGATGGTGTCAAGGGATTGGTTAAGCGGTTTATTCGGCATGGTTTTGATTATTCAATGTGTGAAAAACATTCTGTAAGGGCATTGAGTTGCCGGCTGTATTCATCATGACCATAGATGATCATATACATAGAAATTTTGTAGCTTCCCATTATCATCTGGAGTTCATCAATCTACTGTTACCACAGCGATCTGCACGTGACCTATAGTATCACGTGCAGGCATTTGCAGAATGCAAACGTGCACGGACCACTAAGATTCCAGTATAAATGTCTCACAGTTCTGCCAGCATCTTACTCTTCTTCTCTTCTTTTTTTCCCCATCCCAGTGCAGGGGTATTACGCGTATCAGTGAGGATTCGTCCGAGATCGCGTTTTTGCTAATTGCAAACTATACCCTTGACCGCTCCCTGTTGGCTTCGGCCGGCTGGGGAATTTCTGGAACATCTCTCCCTTGTGGGAATTCTTTTCCCTTCATTTCCATCGGCTCGCTGTGGGTCGAGGCAAGGAAGGGCTATTATTACATGCAAGGGCTGCAAAATATCATTGCCCATTTGGTACTACGTGGTTTTTGAGTATGTGTTAAGCTGTAGAGGTTTTTTTAAGTTAGCGGAATTGCTTCAAACCTAGCTTTGCACAAACGCGATGTCAAAAGGCATGCAGGTTTGACAGGCTTGTCTCAAAGCTTAATGTGGTTCTGCCGGGATCCTGAGGAGGCACTGACAGGAGTGCTTCACTGTCAAATCAGCCGCCCTTTTCTGATACTGTCACAAAGTTTTGTGGCTTCCATCGCTTGGAACCAATGGACCTTCAAGTCAAAGTCCGCTGGTCACCAAGTATCCAACAATGAACAGATCACCTATGATGTCATCACCAAAGAGGAGTTGGTGGGAGACCTGGCTTTGGTTTGTAGCCAGCCAGTACAACCAAAAGCCACAACGACAAAACTTCTGAAAGAGCAGCCCGTACTGCCTACTGTGTCAGTTACAAATATCTCGAATTGCTTTCAACATCAGAGATTTCAAACTGCTCAACCCAAACGACCATGTCACTTGCTAGACATGTTAGTAACCACCGACTGTATCAATGTACCTCCCATGCATGAGGGTATCTGATTGTGGATCAGGTCAATCCCGAGGACATCATACACCATCTACAGCATGAAGATACGGGCCCATTAATTGCTCAAGCAATACCTGGATCTTCTCATCTCACTCCATTTTCTACACCGTATGCCAGCAGGCGTGACATCCCCAAATACAGGATCCCGCAGCACGGCACCCCTGGTGACACAGTGTACCAGATGCTCAAGGATGAGCTTGATCTAGATGGCCGTCCAAATCTGAACCTGGCCAGTTTTGTTAACACCTACTTGGAGGATAATGCTAAAAGCCTCCTGAGTGCCAATGCTAACAAGAATCTCGCTGACAACGACGAGTATCCTGCACTCCTGGATCTTAGCAAACGTTGTGTTAGCATTTTGGCCCACCTCTGGGGTGTTCAGAAGGGCGAGAAGGCTGTCGGCTCTCCAACTGTAGGCTCATCCGAAGCCATACATTTGGGCGGACTGGCCATGAAGCGTAGTTGGCAGCAACGTCGCAGGGAGCAGGGGAAAGATGCAAGCCGACCGAACATTATCATGGGGGCCAATGCACAGGTTGCACTGGAAAAGTTTGCGAGATACTTCGACGTCGAGGCGAGGATACTACCAGTATCAGCGAAGAGCAAGTATCGCCTGGACCCAGAGCTGGTACGTGAAAATGTGGATGAAAACACCATTGGGGTGTTTGTCATCTTGGGAAGCACGTACACCGGGCACTACGAGCCTGTAGAGGAGGTCGCACAAGTGCTAGACGAGTATCAGAAGAACACTGGGATCGATATCCCGATTCATGTTGATGCTGCCAGCGGGGGGTTCGTGGCCCCCTTTACCTTTGCTGGGGCAGGTGGAGCTAAGTGGTGAGCGTCACAGCTCAACATGTTTGCTCAAAGTTTGCATCACTAATGCGAAGGGACAGGAACTTTGAAATTCCACGCGTCCACTCCATCAACACCTCTGGTGAGAGTTGATCTAGCATTTGCAGAACCACACTGACACCTTGCTTCAGGTCATAAGTACGGTCTGGTGACCGCAGGACTGGGCTGGATTATCTGGCGTGATGAAGCGTATCTGCCACAGGACCTCATATTCAAGCTCCATTACCTGGGCGGCACGGAGGAGTCGTTCACCCTTAACTTCTCGCGGCCTGGCGCCCAGGTGGTAGTGCAGTATTATAATTTTATCCATCTCGGGTTCGATGGCTATCGCGAAGCCATGGAGAATTGCCTGGCCAATGCCCGAATGCTGTCCAAGAGCTTGGAAGAGACGGGATGGTACACCTGTGTCAGCGATATCCATCGTCCAGTTCAAGGAAAAAGAGAACCAAAGGGAGGAGAAACATCAGCTTCTTACGTTGCTGGTCTTCCTGTGGTGTCATTCCGCCTAACTGATGACTTCCGCCGTCAATTCCCTCACATTCAACAGGAAACAATTTCGTTGTTGTTACGGGCGCGCCAATGGATCATTCCCAACTATGCACTACCCCCCAATGTGAATTCCACAGAAATCCTGAGGGTCGTGGTGCGCGTCAACATGAGCCTTGATATGCTTGACCGGTTGATCACAGATATTGTACAGGTTACAGAGATGCTGATGGAACGAGATGAGGTCGATTTGTCAGTGTTAAAAGAGCAGAGAGAGAGGAGGGAGGAGGTACAAGAGAAGGATAAAGAACACAGAAGGCAAAAACACAGGAGGGACAAAGTGGAGGGGGTTGAGAAGAAGAGAATGGAAGAAGGCATCCATCGGTCTGTGTGTTGATTGTGGGCACTCGAGCCTGTTCCTCGACTCTCCTGGATGGCTTGAAACAAGAACAGGCGCTGGCGACTACATAAAAATGTATAAGTAATTGCTTTGTTACGAGTCACCTCCGGTCCGTCTTTGTACCTTGAGACTTATTCAATGGAACTGTCAAGGATCAAGACAATGCAATTGATTCCCATCACGCAAGGCTTAATGGTTAAAATGGCTATCGCCCCCGTCAGTACGTAGCCGATAAACAACCCTCCAGGCCTAAATCCGCTGCCCATTTCTTGGCTACCTTTCTTACCCCCAGCAGTCCTTTCTCTCTAAGCCCCAAGGGTAGAGTATATATATACCCTTCTCTACCTGAAAAAATGTGCCACATCGAGAGAAAGATTTTCACGGTATGTGCACATACCATCGACAAAGGGTTACAGAAATGTAAGGGGCAAAAGGAGAAGAGGGACATGGGTTTATGCAGTGAGGAGTCATCAACCGAGCTGGTCTATGGATTCTGCCCCCCTTGCTGCTCTTTCTACTGCTGGTTTGATACTATCACTGTCGACTTCATTCTTAAATATTGGGCCTGTCGAGGCTACAGGGGTCCCGTCCCTACCGAGTTTATCCACCCCAATCAAATATTTTTCAAGGAGACAACAACCAGCATCTACCAGGAGCGCAGGCGACCTCGTGGCGAGTTGGTTGCTCTTGGAGAGGTGCTTCCTCGGCAGGAAGGAGAAACACTGGGTCAGTGGATTAGCAGGCTTGAGATGGTGAGAGATATGACTCTGGATTGGGCAGAACAGTACGAGATGTCGAAGCTGGCTAGCCGCTTGGGGAGTCGAAGTGCCAGTCCTGAGAATTTGGACTATTTTTATTCCAAACAGAGCCCTCAGGTGCACCTCCCAACACTATGGAAACTCTGCGGAGCCATTCCCCGGGAGTTTCCTCAGGATGAAGACAAGATCGAGGAGGTGGCTGCTAGGTCTAGCTACTACGGCTCAGTTCATGAGGCTATGCCAGTTCAGATACTGACAGTCGCTAAATGCAGATCTACAGACGAACATTACCTCGCCCGCTTTACTACCATTTTCAGGAATGCTCTGTCGAAAAGCCAGGTGAGAATCAGCTCGCTTGCCCCTGGTTCGCCTCCAGGCCAGCTAACCCAGGGGTCAGATATCGAGCCAACGACGAACCAAAGACCACGAGCGCCGGCGCTCAAAAAGGCCACCGACTCCTTGATTATTCATCGAAACCGGAAGCTTTTCAAGAGAGCTCTAAAATTCCTGGACAGGTTCCCGGACGACGAAGAGGCGCAAGAAGAGTACATAACCCTCTGGCTGGAGGATACCCATTTGCGCTCCAAGGACACCAGTCAGGTAACCCTCCACGCGGCGCTTATTTCTTCAAAGATAGACTCTTCGAACGACGAAGGTAATGACATGGACGAATCGAGCTTCCTCGATTTCGACCTCGATGGGTGGATTGAGAAGTGTTTTGGGGCGCTATAAACCGCACTGCCACACGCAGAGAGCATGTGATCTAGGAATCGCAACTCCCAAGCCGCTTTTCATCACCTCAAACGAGTCGGCAGATGAATGTGGTGTGGAGAAATCAGAGCATGAAAACAATGAGGACAAACTGAAAACAAGCATCCTCAAGTTTTCTGAACAGGCTTACTCTAATTGGATACCACTTTCCCTACAGTTAACAGCTCAAAGTATCAACTATATTAGCGCAAAATACAGGTAAGGCTTCCAAAACTTCCCTACCTATTTTCCATCAGCGAAAGCTATTTCAGGTCAAGTAGCTGCCCAGCAAACAAGCCAAAACAAGGTGCAGACCGATATCACCGCGCCCAGGGCAGGCTAGCCATGAGAAGGCACGTATCCAGGTATCTACCTAGAATTACAAATATAAAATAGAAATAGCGCACAGCCATTGTAATCTCCTATGCTAGTCTTTTGTTGCAGGCTTTGCTCCAGGATCGATGGCAAATGAGCAGTCGCGTTCCGGATGGCGGTTTTGGGTAAGTCGTTATATCAGGGTTAGGGCTCAGCCGGGCTTACCGATGACGCATAGCGCGAGATGCTCTTATCGATGACCGCGATAAGAAGGCCCCGCCAATTTCCAACCATTCTTGCTGAGTGTGACTATTTTCCGGTCTGAACCACCACGTCACAAAGGGCAGTCAAACAGCAGTCGATGACACGACGCTGCCGTTATGGACAAGAAGCAGGATGAGTTATTGCGGCGGCCTTTGTACCTCTATGATCTCCCGCCAGAGGTGCTCAATTCCCTGACCCTAAAGACTGATGATGCGGGGCTTGCGAATGTAGACGACGGCGACGACGCGACAGCCTCGAAAGACCAGGCTTCGGCCAAATTGGCCAGCCAGGATAACGTCCTTGGCTCCCAGTCTTGCTCACTATGCAATCTGTCATTCGCCACAGTTGAGGAGCAGAAGGGTCACCTCAAGAGCGATTTCCACCATTACAATCTGAAGCAGAAGATGAATGGCCTGAAACCTGTCTCTGAAGCCGAGTTCGAAAAGCTGGTAGAAGAGCTAGACCTGAGCATTTCAGGTTCTGACACCCCGGAGTCCGATGATGAAGAGGAGGCCACATCTCGCCGGGAAACTGCATTATCGGCACTGCTTCGAAAACAAATCTCGTTGACAGACAACCGTAACCCTCCTGATCGGGACGACGAGCAGTCTGCGAAGAGAAAAAGAGTGGGGGCCGGGAAGTCGCCGCTTTTGTGGTTCAGCTCGCCGACTCTGCCAGAGAACACTTATTACGGCATATACAAGGCCATGTTCACCCCTCAAGAGTTGGAAAAAGAAGACGCCATTGTTGACGCCATCAAAACGAGACAATTGCCGCCAATATCTATGCCAAAACAGTCTAAGGAGGGCGTAAATGTGCCTCCTACATATAACGGCAGACATATCTTCCTCTGCATGATTGGTGGCGGGCATTTCGCTGCCATGGTGGTCTGCCTCTCTCCTAAACACAGCAAGCACGGCTCTAGCTCAGGCCCTCTTAACAGGGAAGCGGTTGTTCTAGCACATAAGACCTTCCACAGGTATACAACCAGACGGAAACAGGGGGGTTCTCAGTCGGCAAATGACAACGCCAAGGGGCCTGCTCACTCGGCCGGCTCGTCCCTCCGTAGGTACAACGAGCAGGCACTGACGGAGGATGTGCGCAACCTGCTCAAGGACTGGAAGGCCTTGATTGACACGGCCGATCTCCTCTTCATCCGGGCCACGGGCTCTACGAATAGGCGAACTCTGTTTGGACCTTATGAGAATCAAGTGCTGCGTGCAAATGACCCACGCATTAGGGGCTTCCCCTTCAACACTCGCCGCGCTACCCAGAACGAGCTTATGCGCTCCTTCATTGAGCTCACTCGGCTCAAAGTCCGTGAAATCTTGCCTGAGCCTGCTGCGCTTCCACCAGCGGAGGACTCCAAAGCTAAACCCGAGCCCAAACCCCCAAAACCATCACCACCCAAACTCACCGAAGAGCAAGAAACAGCGCTCTTCCACACAAACCAACTCCAAGCCCTTATCCGCCGCTCTAAGCTGCCTGCTCTCCTGTCCTATCTCTCAAACAACAACCTTCCTGCAGACTTCCGCTTCTATCCCCCAGAGACCCAACAAAACCACCATGCACCAACGCCTCTGCATCTTGCCGCTTCTCTGAACTCGCCAGCCATTGTCACAGGCCTGCTTACACGGGCTAAGCCGCAGCCTGCCGACCCGACGGTACTCAGTGCCGAGGGCAAGACCCCATTCGAGTTGGCCGGAGACCGAGCAACGCGTGATGCTTTCCGGGTCGCACGATCCGAACTTGGTGAACAGGCGTGGGATTGGGAAAAGGCGAAGGTACCACCCCCAATCACCAAGGAAGAAGCAGAGAGAAGGGCAGAGAGGGAGAGGGCAGAGAAGGAGAAGGAGGAAGCTGAGCGGAGGAGACGGGAAGAGGAGAGGTTAAGGGCCGAAGAGGCCAGTAGGAAGAATAACGGCACCGAGAAGGGGAAGAAGAGCGGAGGGTCTTTGCTGAACGCAGGAGCGCCGAAGACGGCAGAAGAGAAGAGACTGGAGGAGGCAAGGGGCCTGACGCCCGAACAGAGGCTGAAGCTGGAGAGGGAACGGAGAGCCCGTGCAGCAGAGGAGAGGATACGGAGGATGCAGATGGCAGGGAGGGGTGGATGAAGATAGTAGTGTAATACCTCTGCTACGGCTTACGGACGATGTCTTCGATATAGATACCTTTGATTATGCTTAACACAGATCATCACGATAAATTATGAGCTACACGAGCCGTTCGATCGAAGTATAATTTGATGCCTGCCAGAAAGAGAAGTGCAGAACACAAGTGCAGAACAAAATGATCGGCAAAGCAGCCCGTCACCACCTCCCAGGATGTTTTATGTAGCGAAAGAGCTGGCTGTCCCCTAACTAGGTCTTCTCGCCGAGGGTTCACAAAGAAATTGTGCTGGATTGGGTCGACAAAGCCGGCGTAAAGTCAAATCTGAGGGAAATAAAGCTCGTACGGCCTCTGCGGGGTTGCTGTCTAATACACCAGGAAAGAACAAATCTTATCGTTCTGAGTGGCCTTTATGGTTCGCAGCCACTTATTATATAGATGGAGTATGTAATATTGGCCAAAACTGGGCTGCTGTACCACGCGGAGCGGCCAGACCCAAGATTTCCCATGTTGATGTGCTGCTGGCTGTGCCACATCCGCTTCCACATTGTGGGGAATATTACAAAACCGCATGTAGGCCGGGTCGTAGAGGTGGCTAGAGAGGACGGACTCTCACCCTAGGTGCCCATTTCGTAGATAAGGCCCAGAAAAAAAACACTTAAACAGCAGACGATGCTGAATGAGCTCCGTTTTATAGTGCACATCGTAATGTGGTACTGGGCTTGTTCTGATGATGATGTCCATGAACTTTCACTTAGTAAAAAAAAAAATGAAAAGAAAAGAAAAGAAAAGAAAAAGAAGATAGAAAACTCGAGAGCTCTCCAGTTCAGGGTTGTCTATGGCATCAGGACTCGGTGGCAATATTACTCTGTACACTACCTGTGATGTCGGTACCGTCTGCTGCCGCCATGCAACTGTCGCGGTTATGCTTGACGGACGGAAGGGATGATGACGGAACTGCAGGCTTTCCCAGCAATAATAAACACTTCACCGCCATGCTTCTGGAAAGCAGCTTGGATTTCTGCATGTCATCAGTCCCCGGTTCTTCAAGCAGACGGTCACCATTTTCCAAATCAACGTGATAATCCACAATCTCAAGAAATTAGTGGCAAAACGAAACAACCGCACACCAGCATCAGTACCATCATTTTACGACTATCAGCTTCCATCTCATCATCAGCGTCAGTTGACAGGTCGAAAGAGGCATGATGCGAGTGGTGTCGGTGGGGAAACAAACTGCCGGGACAACTGTCGGTGTTGTCGCAGATTCGCGATACGAGCGACTCGAAACAAGAAGAAAGTGGTAACGGGTCCGTGAGCAGTCGCATCACTGATCTGAAACAGGCAAAGTTGAAGCCCCTGAAAGCATGTGGGGTTGGGGTTGGCGGGGCTCCAACTGGCAGCTGGCCAGGTTTTGCTCGGTTGCTTTGCCGGCTTGGGACGCCAGCGCAGTGGCAAAAGCAGAAGAGCACTGTGTGTTTATGCCTGGAGAGTAGCATCACGCGATCAACGGAGTCATTTGCTGAACGCAGTAGGAACGACGGTCAGATCTCTCTTAGAGGTTCTGGGCTAAAAGGGAACAGTGGCTGTAACATGTGCATTTGAGAGCTTTAGTTCACAGAAACTTAGCAAAAAAAAATGCAGATGTTTTAAGACCAGCGGCTACACGCAGCATCTCCCACCTCGGTCTGACAGTCTTTAACAGCAGCGTTGTGAAACATGTCAGCAGCAGTGGGGCAGGGCGGCTGCAGGTTCGGGCAGCGATCGCCGCTGGGGCTGGTAGCTGGAGCAGCTCATCTGCTGGAAGCTGGGAGAGCTGACCGGGAACCTGGAAAGGTTGAAGTCGAGAGGTCAGCGATTCGCCCCCTGCCTCGTGGCGGCTGGTGCGCCACGGAGCGTGGGCAAGTGAACCTGGGAAAACCGTGGGTTTCCCTGCCGAGGTTCGCTAAAATTGGCACTAGGTGGGGCTCAAGAACCTTGGAAGGAGGCCCAGGGCGCGCGCGCGAAGAACCACACCGGTTGCTGGCATTTTTACGCCACAGCATTTTGATTTCCACTTTGAACCATTGAGTAACGCCGTGTGCACATGAATGGATTCTATCATCTGGTTGATTGCTAGTGATGGTTGCTAGGCTATCGCTGAAGACAGGTTAATCCATGGGACACATCCACAGTATCAGCCAGACTTCATCAATGAGGACAAGGTGCGGCGATGTCCGGCTGTCCCAATGTCCTCACAGTGGATTTAGAATCATCGGTTGATGGCCAGGAATGGCTGTTCACAGCTGGCATCAGTGATATTGCTTGAACTTAACCAGATATTGTCATCAAGTGAGAGAGCAATCTAAGATTCAATGCGAGTCGGACGTCGCCCCCGATCACCACTCTTTCTAACTATCTTCCATAACGTACATGTCTCTGTAGGTGTGTGTATGTACTGCACATAGTAAATACACCCACAAAGAAGGTCGATGAGGGTCTCAAGTCTCGAGACAAAAACTTGAAACTCGAGCGGTTGGAGACAGCCAATTCGACATGCCAGTTTAGCAAAGATCCACACTCTAGGTGAAACATAGGACATCTCCAGTGGCGTGGCTAACCCCATTGCCGGGTTACCCATCGGACGAAAAAAAAAAAAAACAAACAAATCGGAGATTTTGCGCCCCTCTCGTCTACCAGCAGAAGGGCTCTTGGTGTACCTGCGGATTAATCTGTGCACAATTTGCATCACCTCCATCACGACATTGGCATGAACATGTTTGTGTCCCTGCGGAAGCGCGGTTCCCGGGTTGCAACTCGTGGGAGCATTGATGGCTTGGCCCCCCCCCCCTCCCCGCGCTCCCAACGAGCGCGGGGAAGGCGAGTGCTACTCACAGCAGGCTCCCTATGCTCGCTACGCTCCCCATGCTCTGGATCGAGCAGTTCGTCCGTTGTCTGTGTCCCAAGCGAGTTCGCCAGCGTTGCGGTGGGAAACAAAAAGGAATCGAAAAAGCGAAGTTCCTGCAAAGGACATCGATGGTCAAAACGCTCGAGCTTGGCGCCAATATAGCGGATGGAACGCTGGAAGCATGGTCGAAGATCATCCTCGCGACTTTCTTGCCGGTGTTGACCGGGCTCCCCGCAACCGGCTACAGGCACTAGGGTCACTGGGACTGCTGGGGATCGCTCGCGCTGTCTTCCCTGTACCTGCAGTAGCGTGGCCGGCGTGGCTGTGCAATGCCACCCAGCCGTTTCAAAGCTGCGCTATGGCATTCGACAAGCGCAGGGAAAAGCCAAAGCCCAGAGGTCGCCGATACCAAAGAGATGCCAGAGGCCGTAGGCAATGCGGGACGACAATCTCCCAGCATCCCTGTTGTGCCTCTCCCTATTCCTTGCTGTTCTGCTGTCAATCGCCTGTTCTGCGCGGCGACTTGCCTGGAGTCCTCCCCGACGACAGGCTGGCGCTTCTCCAAGTTGGTCCCCTGTGCTCAGGTTCTGACGAGACATGCCCTGTCGGCAGTCTTTGATCGGGACGCCGCCAGCCAACCGTCTGCGCGCCAAGAGATGCGTCTGTGTTGGAACCGCGCGCCACCTAACCAACCCCTGTTTGGCCCGGACAGGTCTGGCGAGCCTGGCTCCTCGTTTATGATGCCGATTCGGGCTCCCCTCGACGTCAGTCGAACTGTGGGACCGCCATGTTACAATCACTCTCCACCTCAGGGTAACATGGACTGCTGGTTCTGTTCCAGGAGCTGGAGTATGTCCTGATGAACGTCGTCTTTACGCTATGTACAATACATGCTCTTTGCCTGTCGATCGATGGCTCAGTGCTGCTGCTAAAGTGTTAAGCTTTGCTGTAAGCAGCATCACGATCGCCAAAACATTCCTCTCATTGGATGGCCCTGCGGCAGGGAAACATTGCAGGGGCACAGACAACAAGATCTCAAGCCTGTTAGCTGCTCCCTTGTTGTTGACTTTGTTCGTGATGGAGAGAACGGGGAATCGAGATGGGGACGCTGATGACCTACTCCGTGACCCTATGTCTTTGTCTCACACCCGCACAACTCACCCCCTCCCTGCACTCAGTCGGCCAGTCCTATGTGTACTCCCCCCCCCACCCTGGGCAAGTCGACAAGCTAGGTGCTTCTAGGGGCTCGGGCTCCAAAAACCTACTCGTCCTGAACGTGAGACCCGGGTATATGAGCAAATGCTCCTCCTACCCGCTCTCTCTGTTTTGTCCTCTCGTTCGTCATCGTCCTTCCTTGGTTGTTGTACTCCAGGGACTCTCTTCCTGTCTTCGATCTGTGTCGCTGCAATACCTGGTTGAGGCAAAGTCATTCGCTTTCTTTGCCTTGTTCGTTTCTTTCTTGTCGTCCATTGTCCAGTCTCTCATTGACAACCAACTAACTGTGTTTTGAACGTGAAAGGCGCAAGGTCGCCTATATATATATATATATATATATATATATATACGACACACCACTGCTTGTCTTCGCTAGTCAGTCGTTACAACATCCCGCTTGGAACCAACAACAGCAACCTTTCTCCCAAACCTGAGTAAACAGCAACAGCCAAGATGAAGAACGTCGTTCCCCTCCTGGCGCTCGCCGCCGGCGCCCAGGCGACTGTAAGTTTTCATCCCCTTCCCCTCAATCAGGGGTTGATTGATACACGATGCTGACTATTTCTCATAGTTCCCCATCTTTGCCCCTCCCTTCAGCTGCCCGGCCAACACGGATAACAAGTGTCTGCCGAACCAGTTCAAGGGCTTCGACTTCGCTGATCTCAACATTGGCGAGTTTTTCAATTACAACGACTTCAACTTCCGTGGCTGGAAGTGCGAGGACGAGATCGAGCAGCGTGGCCGCTTCGCTGTCCGCACCGGCAGGAAGGTCATCGGCGGTGTCTGCAGCTCTGATAAGAAGAACTCGCCCTCCTTTGGCTGCGGTCCCAATATTGACAAGTTTTCTCTGGGCCACATCGTCGTGAAGCCCGAGTTCGATATCGACCTCGAGTTCCACTACGACATGCCTGATGGCTCTGTCTGCAAGCAGCGCGCCCCCTGCAAGAAGTCCGGTACCAAGGTCGTCAACAAGCAGTGCGGTGGTGCCAAGAATGTCACCATCATTGTTCCTCCTCAGAAGGACAAGCCGAAGCCGACGTGCAGCATCAAGGTTCCCACCATCTCCTTCGACTGCAACACTCCCACCAGCACTCTTCCTCCCAAGACTCGCACTACCGCCACTCCCCCGCCGGTCACTACTACGACTACCCAGTCGTCTGTGATCGTTCCTCCAGCTGAGACCACTGCCACTCCTGAGGAGAGCAGCACCAGCACTGGTGACGTTCCGGCCATTACCCCGCCTGCCGAGGAAACCACTAGCGCCTCTCCTGCGGATGAGACCAGCAGCACCACTTCGGCGGATGAGACCAGCTCCAGCTCCAGCGACGTTCCTGCTACTACCTCGGCCGAGGAGACCACTACCAGCACCGAGTCTCCCGAGACTCCTGCGACCAGCGCTGTCGTGACTACCGAGACTATTACCACCAGCTACCAGACCACCTCGACCATCTTCACCACGGAGACCAAGACCATCACTCAGTGCGAGCCTACCGTTACGAGCTGCCCGGCCGGCACTCCCTCGGTCACTACTACCGTCGTCACTATTGCCATCTCGACCACTGTTTGCCCCGTCACCGAGACCCTGACGACGGTCGTTAGCAGCAATATCCCTGTCGCCACCTCCGAGGCTTCTTCTAGTGTCAGCCCGACCTTCACTACCAGCTCGGTCAAGCCGGTCGAGACCGTCCCGGTCCCCGAGCTCGTCCCGTCCTGCCTCAACACCTTCTTGTACCTGGTTAGCTGCGCCGACAACACTGACGCCGAGTGCTACTGCCCCAATGCCGAGTTCGTCAAGAACGTCTATGAGTGCTTCTATGCTCACGGCAAGACCGACGAGATCATCTCCGAGGCCGTCACCTTCTTCCAGGGCATCTGCGGCAAGTGGGCTCCCGAGAACCCGGCCATCGCTACCGATGCCACCGTCACCTCCTACATCACCGTCACTGCCACCCCGACAGTCGTTCCTGTCTATACTACCATCGTCGTCGACATCACCACCGTCGTGCCTTGCACCGATGAGGCCGGCAGCACCATCCCGAGCTCGTCAACTACCGTTACTGTTTCGACCTCGCTCACTGTCCCGCAGGTCGACTTCACCACCGCCCCGGCTGGTAACGTCGACCTTGTTCCTATCACCAGCGATGCTCCGGTCGTCCCCGAGCCCACTACTACTACTACCTTCGGCATCCCGACCAGCTCGGCCACGGGCACCGGTGCCCTCTTCCCGACCACCACTGCTCCCGTCTTCGTCGGAGCTGGCGAGCGCGTCGGTGCTAGCTTCGGCATGGCCGCTGCCGTTGCGGCCATGGCCGTCTTTGCTCTGTAAAGGAGAGATGATTGGATGTAGACGATGTGTGGTGAAGCGACGAACAGTCATTTCATAATTTTCTTTTCCTTTTTATCACGTGTATCTTGTGCTTGTATCACATTCCTTTTATGGGTGGATCCTTGACTGCGGTGATTCAAATATGCATAAGGTTGAGGTCACCTGTGTAATTAAGAGGAGGAGGGTCAATGTAGTCGTACTTACTATTGAAGCTGTGCTTTCAAGCGTAATGTTGGTCATGGTTGGGTAGCATTTCGTCGGGGGGGCAGCTTGTATGTACATAAGTAATGGTAATATACCCCCCTCTTAGTGCCCTCCAGCAATTGGGGCGTCCTTGGGACATGCCAAACAAGCTTCTTGATAATACCTGACGATGCTTTGAACACAACACGTGAAAGTAGCACTTGTACTTATCGTAAGTCTATGAGGTCATAGCTTGGTATTAAAGTGAATCCCAACCTTCCAACATCTTATCCTGTCACGGCTTACACTGCGTCCCTGGTTAAGAAACCTCAACCTACATTCATTGTACGGCGTATACTGCTCTTTATCAGATATCTCTTTGGATGTGCCGGAGTCGAGAGCATTATTTCTCATTGGCTTAGACAGTATTATCGACTCTCGGGTCTGAGATCTGCGGCTTCGGTTCCATGTACTAGCAAGCGTCTTGCCAGAATCTACCTATTGAGCCACAAGAGTTGAGAGGCAGTCAAGAAGGACGAACCTAAAGCCAAGCCATTATGCACGATTTCACTTAACAAAAGTGTTGCATGCATACATCACTCCGTTGGTGGACGGATTGCCATTCCTGAAGTGATGAAAAACTCTTGACACCTTAAGACACAAAGATGCGGAGAAAAGTAAGCATGAATTCGTCATTTCAAAACCTGCGAGGCATGGGCTTGGAGATTTATGACAATTGTCCTGTTGCCCAGGGTTTTCCTTAGGAGATTGCGCATGCTCTAGGGCTACTTCAAGATCTCTGTTGAGAAACTCCGATTGCCTCATCCCCCCGGAGCCACAAGTAGAATTTGTCTATCTCTACTCAATCCCAAGTTCTCAGGCCAGAGCAGCACTTGTTTTCCACGCGCGCTTGTGGGTTCTTGATCAAAGAAATGATGAAGATCGTGCAAGAGCAGCTTCCATTGTCGTTCGCTACATAGGCTTACCAATAACAACACAAGCAACACGGCCGGAGCTCTTGGGCTTTGCGACGACCGAAGATATCTCTCCAACCTGGATTATCAGGCTGGAGCTCACAGGACTCTCAAGGTGTGGGCACTCACTCCCCCACCAACATCAGACGGGCGTTTGGCGCAGTCCTGGGAGACTTGGCCAAGGCTTGGCTCCTTACTTGCTTCTTGAGGTGAATGTGATGCTCAGGGGTTTTCTTATCGTCATGTTCGGCAGGCGACGGACCGCGGACCGGTCCCTTCAGTCGAGACCCGGCTTAGCGGACACCTAAACTCGTTTCTCATAGGTACCTTAGCAGTTGGTCATTCAACAGCAGGGCCAGATATCACCGGGCCAGGAGCCCAGGACAAAATTTTCTATGGATTTCCCGCACGTTCGCTTCTCGGCTTCTGGTGCCCGTTGCATGGTTTTGATGGAGACTTTCCGCGGATCAAAAGGACTCCAACGCAAGTGGGGTTCCAAAAACGAGGGGTTGTTATCTTCGAGAACTCGTCGACAAGCCCTATCCACTCACTACGTGGATCCATGGAGTGCAGGCTGACGTATTTCCCCTCTTCGCGATTGGCGTTGACGGCGAGCGAACGGTCACTGAACGCAACGCATTTTGCTGCGTCTTATGTTCGCATGCGCTCTCGGATTCGTACCAATTGCCTCTCTGTCTGTCCAGCACTGCCAATGGAAACCGGGCATGTTACTAATCAAAAAAAGAAAAAGAAAACCATTCCGTGTCTGACCAAACGCTCACTCATCACCGATCCTGAAAGGCGACATGAGATGTGGCTGCGATTCGCCCTTATTGGAACTTGGTCAACCGCGCCGATGTTTTGTCGAACGGAAAGTTCCGCGATTTGAGATGGGGCTTTTTTGGCCGGCTGGTCGGAACACGACACCAAGACGGCAGTCTTCGCCGGTACATGATAGTACATGACATTTTAACCCCGCGTCCACGTCGGGCTTTTGTTGCCGCCGTAATCCGTCGGTGAAACCAGAATGCCAACCTGCTATCCATGATCCATCAGATGCTCCCAGTTCACTTGCCAGTTCACATTGCCGGCTTGAATGGTTCTCGTCCAAGCCTTCCATCAAGATAGCAGAGCTGCCACCTAATCCGTACCTGCTTCCGAAACATCGCAATACTTTTGTTTTCAACAAGATCTTAAGCTCAACGCCCGGTGGCTTTTCTTGATGCTTCTCGAAGCCCGGTTTTTTTTTAAAAGGGGGGGGGGTTTCAACAGCGCGAGCTCTTCGGAAGCCCTCATGGTTCGAGTTGATTGGCCGATGCCCAGCTGCATGCCGCCAAGATCGAGACGTTGCAGTGCCAAGACGCAAAGAAAATGCCTAGAAATCCAGAAATTGTGGAGTCTGTGGGGATGGAACGGACACAACCTTAACAGCACCGCTTCACACTCTTTCACATTTTGGTTAGCTGGTGCTGTACTCAACGAAAAAAGAGGTTGGTTGTATTTCGGTCTCAATCAGCATGAAAACAAGCAATCCATGTACTGCAACTGCGATGACTCGAAAATTGCGACATTCTGGGGCTGGCGCGATTTTTTTTTTTCAGGAGTTGCAAGGCTGAGCACCCTGAACGTGCTAACAGGCCTACGTTTAGCCCTGACTGGTCCGTGGGAAGTGGAGCTGGTGGGCGCCTTGTTCATCTGCCCCTGGCAAACAAGAAACGTAGAAACTTGCAAACAGGCCGGAGCTCGGAGCGACGTGAAGTCCGACAGCGTGTAAAATGACAAATACCAGCGAAATTCTGATGCTGATTGTGTCGACGTATGCCGTGGCTGAGATATGCTCCTTGGTATTAGGATGGAATTCGCTACCTGCAGGAAAACAAATAGCATGTGTCCTGATTCTACTAGTCTTTGTCCTTATCTCGCTTCCATGTGCCAGTAATGAAGAGAGCACCCTTTCGACACCAAGCCTAAGAGACTCGGCCTGATGTTGTGATGGATGTGGCTTTGCAAGCGCGGCATGACGAGCACATTGCGTCGCTTTCCTCCTTGGGAAGGATCCGGGATACGGAATACGGATGGTACCTTGGCCCGTGGTTGTGAGAGGAACTTGTGCTCTTTTATCCTGCGGTTCTGTTTAGACACCGAGCAGGTTCGGGCCGGTTGAACGTGGCTCAGCTATGGATTTACATAAGAAGGAGGTGGTGGTGTCCATGGTTGTTGTGAGGCTTTGTATCTTCAGCAGCAAAACCGTGTTGGCAATTGCCTGATAATTCCTCACGGTACGACACACTCGATTGCGAACTTGACAGGTACCCAATCCCTTGGTCTTGGGAACTTTTCGGCGCCATTGCCATCGGCGTGACGGTCAGCACCGCAGCAAATAACTATATTTACTGACGATAAGAGCTATCCAAGGGCTGTTTCTTCCACTGACTCTCTAGTTGATATGTCAAAGCCAGATAGATGATGCCGATCGGTCGGTGATCACATTGACATCTCCCATGAGTACTGCCCCGGTAGATCTAGATGTAAACACGATACAGCAAAATGTTGTGATACCTGCGTGACCGAGCCGCATCATGGAGTTTACCCTGGCCCATGAAACACTGCACGAGGGAACCCATCTCCGTATAAAAGGAAAATCAGGCGCTCTATAGATGATAAGGGGGGAGATCAGGTGTCAAGCACGTACTCTACCGCGAGGAGATAGGATTTGAAGATTTAGCACCATATCAGCCCGGGTAATGAGACCAGAAAGTCCAAAAACCCCTGAATCCAAGCCCCCAGTCTATAATCCTACCGACTTCACTGCCACTATGACCCCGCATGTGCCCGGACCTGCACATGTGATTACGTACTTCTTCTGTCTTTCTCGTATAACTCAACCAGTCACATATGGTCAATACCAGAATGGACGAGAATCGAGACCCTTGTTTAAATCAAGTTTGTCTTGAGGCAAGGCCATATAAAATACGGCTAGTCTATGCGCATGTGCCCTGTGTGTATGTGTAAACCCAACCCAGCCCAGTCAAAAGTCCATGCATCCCCTTCATTGCGCCGTATTGAAGCAATAAAACTCCTCCCCAATGCCAGAAACCATGATAAGATGATAAGCGTGCCGTGTTTACCCAAAATGAAAACCACGCCACTCTCCCCCCCCTCTCCCCCCCCCTCCCTCCCTTTTGTATGTTTGCCGCGAACCAATGTACATACACGCTTTTCAAGCACATCACACCCCCTTTTCATGGGTAATAATCTCAGAACTGCATCCCCACCACATCTGCTTCATATATCCCGGGGCCCGAGAAAATCATTGGGTCGCCGCTGCCCAGCATCACCTCAGATGGCAGCGCATCGGCAGAGCCCTGGTCGGCCTTGATCAGGCCGCCGTACGTGGCCGCAGAGTCCAGCAGGCCAATGCCGCTGATACCACCCAGCCCCATTCCCATTGCAGCGGCAATTCCGCACTGCTGCGTCTGCGCCTGCTGTTGGTGCATTTGAGTCTGGGTGAGCATGGTCATCGTCGACAGGAAGGCTGTCGCTCCGGAGGGATATTGGTGTTGTTGTTGTTGTTGTTGTTGTTGTTGTTGTTGTTGTTGTTGTTGTTGTTGTTGTTGTTGTTGTTGTTGTTGTTGTTGCTGTTGCTGTTGTAACCTCTGCTGCTGCTGCTGCTGCTGCTGCTGTTGTTGTTGTTGTTGTTGTTGCCACCCTGTAGGAGTAGGAGGGAAACCCAAGGCATTGGTATGGGGAGAAAATTGTGGATCGGGCGACTGCGGATGTGATCGAGACTGGGGGTTCATATCGAACTGGTCGTAGCATAGGCTCGCTGGCGACATGCTCAGAGTGCTGGAGGTGCCGGTACCGAATGCGGCTTTGCGGTAGTCGTAATCGTCAAGGTCGAAATCGGACTGATCTAGGTCGGAAGCAGCAGAGGAGCTAGCACGATCTGGATGATCATAGAAGGCAGTGCTGTTGATGAGAGCGCTGGCCGTCGTGCTGGTAGATTGCGTTTCCTGGCCGTTGGAAGCGGGAACGGAAGTCATGGATTGCATATTGGTGGTGTTGCCGTTTTCGGCACTCGTAGCGGACGCGGCCTGCGCCTCCTTCTTCTTTTGCTGCTCTTCCAGCTGTCGTGCCAGCTCGGCCATGCCAGCCTCATCCTCAGGAAAGACGGTGTGAGGGGGAAGGTCCATGTCATTGTTGGGGCGAATGCAGCCGAGCATCTGGGCGATGTTGTGGACGATGGGCTGGTCGCGGTCATTGAGCCCGGGCTCGCCCAGCTCCCAGGGCTGTCCATTGCGAACCATAGCATAGAGCTTGTGGATGGTCGCCACCAGGGCGAACTGCGAGTTCTCCAGCACCTCTGCGTAACCCCGCGGTATTTGCTTGTACTCGGTTTTCTTCCGAGTTCCTGCAGTGCAAATTTGGCAGTCGTCTATGCATTTCTTGCAGGGAAACTCTCCATTGCACTAGTCGTGGTCCATGTCAGCGGGAAAATGATCATCGGCCAGTTGTCGATCACATCATATCATTCCAAGGGTTGTCTAGGTATGTAGCTTGGTACCTTTGTCTTTTTGGACCGACACCTCTCACAAGCCTTCCATACTCTCTTGTGTCTGCCATCGGTGTGGTGTGTTACGGGTCTTGTTTCTTGGAGAGGAGAAGGAGGATGGCTCGTCCTCTTCGACCCCCGATGGACTGGCTTGACTGTCTTGGACATGTTGTGTGATCGTTTCATTGATGATGTCTTTGTGGTCATGTCCTCGCTTGGCGGCGTGGGAATACTGTCCATGGTAGGCAGGCAAAGAGGGAGGGCGGAAAGCTGGTCAGCGAGAGGAGAGTTCTGCGCCTTAGAGACTGGGTCTAGATGCTGGTGTAAGAGACTCGATGCCCATCAAAGAGGTGGTGTGACAAGGTAAGGTCGATTGTGTGTGTATGTGTGTGTATAAGGTGACAGGAGAAGAGAAATGAGAAACGGCAGGTTAACCAAAACGGATCTTAGAGCAAAAGAAGCTTGGCTAGGAAGGATGGCTGGATCGCAGTGTATAAGTATACCGACGAAACGTGTTTTTCCCCCCCCCCCCCTCCCCTCAATGAGTAAGAACGCGAGTATTAGCGAGGACAGGGATTTGTAATACGGGAATGGAACGCTGCGAGCAGGGCTGTCCAGGTGGGCTGGAAACGGCAGGATACACTACGTGCGGCTAGGTACGTACATATTGCAGAGGGTGCGTGTGTGGTCCATCATGTTCTGCCGTTCAGACGACCGGGCCACGACGCAAAAAGGGACCACACCGACAGGGAGTCTATGGAGCATGGGGTCAGGATTCGTTGCGAGGGGGACCATGGGGCGTGAGTTGGGAACCTTGGGGAACGGGACCTGGATGAGTGGGTGGGGATTGACGACATCGAAAATGCCATGAGACGAGTCCCATCCATAATAGTAGTAGGAGCTGCCCTGTTATGGCTTGGGTGGGAGACGGAGAGGCGCAATTGGGCTCTGATTGTGGCTTTTACACTGCTTCTTTGCTCTCGTAACTCTTGTTGGTACGGTGGTGTTTTAGCAGTCGACACCTACCTCCTAGACCCGCATATCAGCGTCGTTGTTGATCTGTGCAGATGTACGTACCTACTTACGGAGCATCAAGAGTCGGCCTATTCGTTATGTCCGAGCACGCGCCCACAAGCGATGCCTGAGGCGTCGCTGCTCTTTGGCCTATCAGCCGCTGGGATACTGTGTATCCATCACGATAGCCGTACCTGGTGGGTCTAAACCCAGTGGATCCGCGGAAACTACTTTGTACGTCGACAACAAACTTGAGCCTAGCAGAAGTCCTGGTTGCCTGGGCTCGTGGGCGTGGCTTGAATTGTCGATGCCACAAAAGGCGACGAGCAAACCCACAAAGGTGGGCCCCTGAGCCACTTGCTCCCTCATTCTCGGGCTCTCGCTGCGGTCTCTGATCCGCCATGGTCCCCGAGCTGTAGGACGCCGAATGGTGAACTTACAGCGTGTGAGTGTGTTGACCACGCGGAGAGCGTGCGAGCGAGCTAGCGAGCGCAGTGGCCGGGAATATTAGGAGAGCCTCTGGCTGTCGCTCGCACGCAGCTCACCTCTTCGTTCGTTCATCACTGTCAAGGCCGCGGGCGAGTTTGCGTTAAGGTAGGTACGAAGTACATAGGTACCATTTGCACCGGCAAAACTACCTGCACCCCGGTCACGTTTGCAGGCTGTCGCTGCTGTCAGCTTACTTTTACATTACTTACATCAGGATGAGCTCAACACAACCAAACTATCTATGGCCATGGCCACTGCCACTCAGCAAACGCGGTCGGCCGTCTGTGTCCACAGTAAACCGCAGAGGACATCGCCCAATTGGGTCCCAGGAGCCTAAATAATACGGTCGTCGCAGCATGAAACTGTTGGACTTTTCATTCCTGGAAAAATTTCTGTTACAGAATAAAGGAGAAACTGGGGACGAGGATACGCGGGCGTCGAAGGAAGACGGAGGACAAAAAATTTGTGAAAGCGATGGGGTGCGATAACGGCCGGTTTGTGGAGTCCCCTGGAGGTATGTACCTGTCGTCCCGCAGGACGGCCGTCGGCGTCTACGCGAGCCAAGCGCCGAGGGCCGGCTGAGTAAGCCGCTCTCCGGGTTCTCCAGGTGCTCCTTGCCAAAACGCCACTCTTTTCATGGCAAGAGGCAGATCTTGATCTCGGTCTCGACTCGATCCTTCATTTTGTAAAGAGCAGATCATCTCTAGTCGTCCAGGCACAACCGACTGACCGACCGACTGCTGTCTGGTTACGAAGCAAATCTGCTTTGTTGAGAGGACATCAGTCGCAGACAATCGGTCGGCTTCATCAATGGCCCCGGCCCCGGTTGCCGAACCCCCGACGACAGGGGAGAAAGAACTTTGGGGCGGCGACCCCAGCTAGAAGCGTTGAACCGAACGTGACGACACAGACCCACTACACCTCGCCTTGGCATCAACGCCTATCAAACACGCGAGCAACGACAGCTGCAGCGATCTGTTAAGGGACAGATTGCCGCAGCCGGGCACACTCCCCCCATACGGACTGCCGGTAGGTAGTCTCGCTCTCTCACACATGAACAACTGCAACTTCGTGCACAGGAGTATCATGGAATTGTAAAGAAGCGATGCGTCCAGATATCGACACCAGAGGTTTGATTCGCCGGAGCCAGCAAAGCTTGAACAAGCAGCAACGCAGCGTGCAGACACTATCGTAGGCGGATTGCGTTAGTCAGGCCCAGGTCAGTAGGATCATGGATGTCGGCCGGATCTTGACCTTGCCTTGGCGCGCTTCTATATCGGGATCGGGATATCAGAAAGACAGCAATGACGGCATCGGCAAGCACCGTCTCCCAAGGTTATGGAGAACGGATTACGGAGGCCTAGGTAGGTGCTGTGTACCTAGGCTGTCCTCAAATGACTGGAAAGACGGAGAATTCCGGCCGCAGACGCTTATGTCGGCCTGCCATCAACGGAGATGAGCCTGGATTCTTTGCTATCCTCCTTCCAAAAGAGAACATCAGTGTCGGCACGAGGTTGGTAGGTACCCATGTACATTTAGCTAGAGACTACTATGGCTTCAGGAGTTTCTAAGCGTTCAGGGACAGAAGATCATCAGACCACGCATCTCGTAGGCCAGGGGTTAAAAGCCAGGTGGATCCTGTTCTCGTTTCACCTGGGTGACCATAATGAGGGTCTCGAAGTAAAGATCCGTCAGTCCTGAGCGGGCCCCGTTATGACAACCGAGTCTCCGGCTGTTGAGCCTCAATGTCAACATCATCAGCGTTTCCATGGTGTTTGTGGACAGTGCGGTTTTCCCATGACGCTCAGCAATCAGTCTTAACTTTTGTCAAGACAGGTTTGGAGAGAATTACTGAACTGCGGACTGTTGGTCGTTGTGTTCTTGATCATGCCGCACCTGTGTGCCTATTCCGGTCTCTTCCTTTTTTTCTTTCCATTTCCTGACTCAAACATTGCAGCGAGGACTGGAGCCCAGGTAGCCGTACTGGGAACCTATGGGGTTGGCTGCGTCGCGGAGGTGAAGAAATCGCGAGAATGGAGTCACTGTCGAAGTCTGATCTCAGTGGCTGTCGAAATGGAGGGTCAATAAGGAGCTTTCGATGGATTGTTCTAACTCTCTTCTTCTGCTCGGCAATGCAGCGTCGGTAAAGACCTTAAAAAGATACCAATCCACCATATACCTACCGCAAGAAGTACTCGTGCACCTACCTAGGAGATTACTAGGCATCTATGTCGACCGTAGACGAACCTCACATTACTCAACTGTTTCTCCAAAAAAAAAATTTGCCACCCACATCTAAGATCAACACAGATCTGAGATCAGAGCCTAACTTTTGCTTGGCACCGTCAATCGTTGCGGAAGAGGCTAGAAAGGCGAATGCTTGGCTCTGAAGGCCAAGGCCCGAGGAAATAGCGTGGAGAAGATATCAGTGTTCACCGTGATCAGTGATTACGGGCGATCTTGTGTGGGGTTATTACGATTGTACAGGAAGCTTGGCTCAAAGGTATAGGCAACCAGACCCATGGTCCCGGGCAGGTCGATATGAGAGTGCTAGCGCGATCATGCGAACACGGAGGATAGCGCATAGGGAGCTGTCATCCTCACACCCAAGGCTCAGCTGTTAGAATGCAGGGTTTGGAGAAAACTTGTTCTCGGCAACAAGCCAACTCCGAGGAGCCTGTACAAGTTAGGTACCTCGACAGGTAACCACTAGAATGACACTGACTTTTCATGTTCTCCCCTGGCAGAACGCCCGACGGTCTTTAAATCTGCTGCAACGACTGTCCAGCGAGTTTAAAAAATAAAAGAAAAAAAAGAAAAAAAAATACTAGGCGAGAGGAGTGTGTCTGGTCCTGTTTCTGTCTCAATTGAGAAGGCGCTACAAAATGTCCGTCAACTTCCTATGGTTGAGTCGAAGCTCAGGTAAAGGACTTGAGACGCAGCCCGTCCGCGTCAATTCGGCCTTTGCGCCACGGTCATCAGGGTGTTTCAACAGGCTCTCGGGTAAGCGGTAACAGGGAGGGGGCATGATAACTCCAGCTTCTAGAATACCATATTTTGGCCCCATGGCATCATCCCCCGCGTGAGATGCCAGGACGGCGAGAGAAAGCGTTGAACCAGCCAAATGTTTAAGACATGGGGACTTGCCGTTTAGCCGCTACGTGTCCCGACCTGATGGATACTTCCTTCAATCCAAGCGCTCTGCAAGTGTTTTCGTGAGAATTTCAATGGTCAATGAGTCTCTTCAAAAGCAGAGCTCCTTGCATTCTATTATCGGCATCTTATCAAGGATCGACACAGCGATGTGTCGACTCATACATGAGCGGCGATGACGAAGTTCTCGTCGCTGATCTCGCGGAGCGTGACTATGCCGGCGGTATGCAAGCACACCACCAGGTGTGGATGGTTCGCGAATCGAATATTCCGTGTGTGTTTTAAAACTCTCAAGAGTGCTGAGTTGGGTCTTGTAGCTATCAACCCCAGCGACGGGGGTTGCTCTGTGCAAACCATGGCACAGACACAACGAGTCATTCAATATTCGAATCAACATCAACCTGTAGGCGATCAGTGCGATATCATGCAGGCGGTATAGACCGCGTTCGCCACTCCGCCGATCAGAACAAAAAGCGAAGAATTCAGCCTGCGAGAGGTCGAGCTGAAGACATGGATATTCATGCGCTGTTTTAACAAGCCCCTTTTCCGACTTTTCTCGTGGATAACAAGGCCGAATAGCGAGGGTCCAGCAGGATCTCAATGGAGGACCGCTGTGGAACTGATGTGATGGAGTCGCCAACAGGCGAGAATGTGAGGATAGCCGATGCCCACGCCCCCTTGCTTTCTTGGATTGGCAACAGGGAGTGGAGTAACTAGAGGTCGGCGCTGCCATCGACTGCTCTCTTGCGGCTCGTGGCTCGTGCCGCGGCGGGCATGGAAATGACTTGTGCCCCTGGTTGAGCAACAGTCGAGCGAACCGCGAGGCGGTTTGTTAGGAGGCTGGAGTCGGGCAACGATTTTTGTTGCTATTTTGGCTGATTTCCATAGTGCTGAGCTTCCATTTCTGGCGACATCCCCTATGCAGGATCCGATTTTCGATGTCGAAGTGGCGAATATTGATACCCCTCAACAGCAAATGTGGAAGACAAGAGCCACAGAAATGACTTTACAGAACTGTCTCTCATGAGTGATAACCCGAGATAGGGCGGGAAGTCTCGAGGCCGACGGACCTCCAGGACGGGACTTTAAGACCCTAGGCCGTCCTGGACTCTACTACTACGACGTTTCTCGCCCTCAGGCTGTGCCAAGCTTTTCAATGACGTCATTCCATCGGGAGAAAATGGGTGCGACATAATCAACGGCCCGACACCGACTCCCGCTCCGAGCCGAGAAGACCACACACACCCGTTCAAAGGAGGGTAAAAACCTCAGAACTAGAGTATGGCTGGAACGTGTGAAACGGTTCATAGACCAAAATGAGTTTGTGTTGGAAACACACCTTTGGATAACTTCTATACGTACGTTGAAGCGACGTGATGAAATGCCGTTAGCCCGAGCCTTCAGGAAAAGGCTAGGCGGCACCAGACATCCATCTTGCGTGAACGATCCATCGATATTGGCACAAAGCTCGGGCTTGCTGTACCCGCTGACGCTGCAGAGCAAGAGTGCCCAACGTCGGAATGGAAAATAAAAATGCACATGCTCTCGACCATTCAGACACGAATAGTAAACTGAAGCTATGGTTATGCTCTCAAACTATCAAACTATCAAAACCTTTTTTGAAAATCACTGCGGTATGGGTATCAGCAGACATCATTAATCACTACAGTCATGGCCAGTTAATCTGGTTACATATTCCGTATTGTTGCTGCTTCCCTTCCCCTCGAACGCTCTCTTCAAAGCTTTGATCAACCCTGCCGTCCCGGAACGGTCCGGACGTCATTAGGCATCCTCACCACACATAATGCCTCACAAAACTCTCCCCACTCACCGCTCGTGGCATCCCGAACGGCGTCAACCAGCTCATGGCCGTAATGTTCGCGATAGGCTCGTCGCACGAGCGCCATGTGTCGAGCATCCCAGTGGTAGCGCACCAAGCGAGATGTGACGAGCTCCTTGCGCAGCGGATCACGCCGTGAAGCAGTCAGGGCATGGTGCAGCAGCATGGCGTCACGAAGAGGCTTGTTGATAATGCCATTGAGGACGTGTGCAAGGACTTCGCCCTGTTACCGTGTCAGCACTTTCCCAATGCGAGAGACGAAGTGGTGGATCCGATGGAGGGGAAAGGGGATGGGGAAAGAGGAAAAGGCCACATACAACAAGGTTCCCGCTCTTCTTGAGCGCATCCTTCGCAAAGTTGGCTCCCTTATACGTCTCCTTGTACACACGCAGGACCTCGCGCAGGTGTGCATCGCTGCGGCGGAGAACGATGCTAAGCATGAGCGTCTCGCCGCCCTTTTCCCTCTTGATTACTTCGCGCAGCCGCTGCACGTCGTCGGCCACCCGATCATAATCGATGGGCAACGGCTGCCCGTTGCGATCGACTTCTTCCATGCGCGATTCCTCCAGCACCCACATCACGGCCTTCTTGAATTTGTCCTCCTTCAACTCAGTGCGCAGACAGCACTCGAGGTCGTCGCCGTACTTCTTGTCGCGGAAACCAGCCTTGATCTTGCGAATCTCCTCGTTCGTTCTTCCCATCAGCGCCTCGATCAGCAGTTCGCGCCGCGTCTTGTCCCCGTGATACCAAAAGCTGGCCCAGTAGCCTTCGGACTCCCACCTGCCCAAGGCTGTAGTGTAACACGCCTTCATTAGCTGCTCGTCCTTGTCCTTGAGCCGCATACGGATATGCTTAGCCACGTTCACACCCTTGTTTTCCGGAGCCGTCTTCACCAGCTTTTTGTATTCTGCGCGGAGCGCCATGACTTCTTCGTGCGTCAGCCCCGGCAGGATCTCGATCAGGGGCTCTGTGTCGGGATCGCGCTCCCTGCCCTTGAGCGCCTTTGCCAACCGAAGGGCATCATCGACTGGATCGTGGAACCGAGCCCTCCGTGTCCGCTTCTTCTTGATGCTGCCGTTGCCGCCCGGACTGAGGGCTTCGGCCTCGTCGATATCAGACGCAAGGGGCGAGATAGGCTCGGCTATCTGGCCTCCTGGACTGGTAGGCAAAAGCATCGGAGAAGGCATTGGGGACATGGACTGATAGGTGCCGTGGTAAGCTTCCATCAGCGGCGAAGCCGGCGCCGATGAGGCACTAAGCGAGCTGGAGCCCGTGCGATGGTGCCCAGGGATCTGCAGAGTCAGGTTCGACATGCGTGCCGTAGGTGGTTGCGGCGAAGGGTCGCGCTGCTTCATGGCTGACTTGAGCGGGACAGGACGCAAGGCCGGGCTCGGCGGTGATACGGACAAACCAACACCATGGCCGAGCTTGCTGCCGCTGTCGCGCGGCCCAGGAGTGTTGGTGCGGCTCCCGCTGGCCCGGGGATCCTCTGGTCGACCATAATCATGGGGTTTGGAGTATGCATAGGCATAGGCTTCGGTTCCTGGGGCTGGAGGGGTAGGGGGAGAAGGAGGGGTGTCGACTCGTTCCCGCTCCCGCCTGGACGGCCCGGGCAGTTCGCCATAGGCCAGGTCTTCCTCGAGCTTCTCTTTTCTACGTCGGCGCTCGCGCTCCTTCTCAGCTTCCCTGTCTAACCTGCCGAACAAGGAATCACGCGAGTGGCGTGGTGAGCTGCCAAAGCTGCCGAAGCTGCCGTAGCTGCCATCTCCCACTCGGTCGCGCGAGTCTCTCGGGTCATAGACATAGTCAGTGGCTCGGCGACGAGTCTCATAGTAGGCATCGTCATCGTCGTCGTCGTCGCCATCGCGTGCCCCAGGCCACCTGGTCAGGCGGTCGTACTCGTACGCTACTGAAGTCATGGACGGGTCCTGAAACGAGCCGCTCGTGACTGGGTACGGCGGAAGGGTGTCAGCAACTGCAGAGGCCGCGCGGGGAGAAGGAGGGGGCCGCGAGCGGTAGTCGTAGTCATTGTAATCGCGGGTATAGGCATGATCACCACGGCTGTGGTCACGGCTGTGATCACGGCTGCGGTCACGGTCACGCTCACGTTCCCGATCAGAGTCACGATCGCGGCTGCGATTGTCCCGGGTGTCTCTCTCTATTCTCTCTAGCTCGTCGATGTAGCGAAAGCCCGGCGAGTGCGATCGGGAGGGGCGATGCCCACTGTCATCGACCTGAAGCGACATGCTGGGCGCGATACCAGATGCCACAATGCTCCGTAAAGCGTTCCTAGTAGGGCGCGATGCAGATGCTGTTCGTGTTTGTGGCTTGCGAAGTTGAAAGTTGCGCGGGGGCGCGTGTTTGCTTTGTGCTCTTTGGTTGCCCAGAACCAAAGCTGCAGAAGCGGGGTTGGAAAAAGGTCGCCCAGAAGGCTTCGTCTTAGGTCTCACGCGACCTGCAGCCTTGGGCTGAGTGGTGAGTGGTTCCAACAGCAGGAAGCAGTTGGAGCCTTGGAGGGCTAGAGGGGGAAGATGGGGTTCCGTTCCAGGTTCTTGGCGTGATGGCTGGGAAATGCAGCCTGCAGCCTGCAGCACAACAGATGGATATCTTCACTATGTGAAAACGACAATTATGCCCCGAGATGGAAAAGGGCAAGATGGAAACGTCGCTCAACTGATCGAGGAGGATCTGGGCAGCTCTGAGTAGCCATCCAAACAGGACGAGGTCACAGTTAAGCGGACGGGCCGAACAAATAACAGCGAGCAACCAGCATGGCTGGCGCCTCGCAAGGATGAGGATGGGTATCCAGCCCTCGAACCCACGAAATAATAGCCTTGGAATTCTTAAACCTGCATGTCATGCGGAGCTCGTTAACAAGGTTGGATGTGCCCGCGACCTGTCCGGTGCTGCGATTGTTCTGACCAGGTGACTGACACTACTACATACTTGTCAGTAGCGCAGCCACCGCAGCAGCAACGGTTAGGTAAGCAGGTACAAAATGGACCTTGCAGCGCCGCATAACAGCATGCCCCTGCGCCCACATGCATATGCTCGATTTCCTCCTGTCGGTCGGTCAGTTAGTCTTGCCTGCGGCATGAATGAAACGACGCCACGGGGACTTGGGAGATACAATTACAATATTTCTCCCCTCTCTTTGGTGGCTATTTGTTGCATTCTCCGTGAGCTGAGGAATAGCCGTGATCTTTTGCCTCATCCATGATGTTTTCTAGCCACCGCACCACCCCCTCCCCCTTCCTCCCTTCCGGCCCAACCAACTTATTACTTGTACATACGATCAGTTTATGGCTTACATAGTACCTACATACCGGAGGTACATGATACTACTGCTCGGGTAGAGAGGTATAAGGTAACCCCCCGATGACGTTACCAACTTATCTGTATCCTCAGCCGCGGTTGCTACTCCCCACTCCGAATCTACCCAAACTACTCCTCTGCAGATCCCAGCAACCTAGAAAGATGAACGATGGAACTGGATTCCTGATCGAGAGGCACAATCTCTTGGCTTCGAAGTTTGGGCTGGTGCCAGGTAAGCCAAAGCACTCAGGCCACCCGATCGTCACAGTAAGGGGACATCGCGTGCTTGGCTCTGGATGATTTTTCCCTAGTGTACATACTGCCTACTGCCGCTTTTGTCTCCCTAGAGCACGTCGTGAGGACCCACAGTCCATCGGACCGGGTCTGGTCCTTAAGTGCCGAGATGCTTGTTTTCCATAACACGAGCTGTGTCACACTGTTGTATGTCGCACACAAAAGTGCTCCAAACATGCGCGTCTAGCCTTGGGAGGCTGTAGCGTCAAGCCTTCATTGCATCATTGCGCACATCACTTACGGACAGTGGTACACACTACACAGCAGTGGCTGCTCCTGCGCTCCCACCGGGAAGGCAGAAGTTAGTTACTTACAGAGTATCACGGAAATTTGCTATTCTCAGTCTTGTCCGTAAACGCAGGTTATCTGCCTTTTTGTGCTGACGACCCACTTCCGGATCACCGATATCCTTGAGGGTAGGCTGCGAAGTCAGGGCTACTCAAGCCTTGGAGGCTAGCAGCTAACCCATTACTGTTCTCTATTGACTGGGTCGAGTAAATTCTTGTGATCAGCGGGAATAAAGCATCGAAGGAGGAGCGACAAATGATAAGAGGGCGAACTGATGCCACATTTACCTGGTTTATGGGTAGGCTTTGTATTATGATGTAGGATAAGTTCTAAATCCCAGTGAACACAAGATTATGCATTACATATACCGATAGGCCCTTCTTTTCGTCTCTTGTAGTTCGTGCCGCGATTGTTGTTGGCTATCCCAAGAATATCAAAAAAGAAAAAAAAAAGTTTGATTCCCTCGTAATGTCTGCTTCATTACGTTCTTGTTTTGATGTTTTGACACTCAAGCGAGATGAAGCCGGCAGTGATACTCTGACGAGGGGCTAACATTTACGATATGTCTACATGGATGGAATGCCGGGAAGGGCCGTGTTTGTAGTAGAGGGGATGGTGCGATGGTCCCCATCGGGAATGAGGGCACTACATGCATACCATACATATGGTTTGCATATCGTATTACATCAATTGTGAAGCTCTCGACAGCCGGTACACTACAGACACTCAGCAACTCACTTCGGGGACCACATTGCTCTCTGCATAGTTTAGATTGCCCTGCAGACAGTTCATGAAACCTGTCAGCATCTGGATGGCTGGAAATGGGACTGCGATTCTCGGCGAAGAGCCCACAAATGTGACCTTGAAATTGCCGACTGAAGCCCAAGTCGAAGCCATAATGAAATGGGGGTAAAGAGAAGCAGCTTCCGCCGGATTGTTAGTGGTCCTGTATCATACATGGTAAGGAATATAGGGAAGGGCGTCTTGCTTTCAAGGCTGCCAGTTCGACACCCAAAAATCTCATGGCCATCTTGACCCTATGAAAACAATCAGAAACTAATCTCTCAACCTGATACTGCACTCCAAGACTAGGATCTTTTTTCTTATCTGAGAAAGGAAGTTGGCCTAGACAGTTTTGGCAGCATCACTCTGCCTTGGGTTGTTCGATAGGGATGGAGGTTTGGCTTGCACGGCAATCTTTCCATTGTTATTCTGCGAGACTGAGATCACACTGTCAAAGTTGGAAGAGCGTACCTTACTATGAGATAGGGAGACAAGATCATGCAAGTGGGTTGCCTTCTAACAACCAGAGACCGTGCGCCAATGACGCTCAACCATTACTAGCCCTGAAAGTCGCGTCAGCTTCGTACTGTTGAAGCTTCTAAAACCGAAAACGAAGAAATTACCACCCGACCTTCCGAGTGTTGACTAGTAGTAAGGGATGGCTTGGATCTGGCTACTCACCACAGAGCCCCGTAGTCCTCAGCCTGTTGTCTCGAAAAGGCATCAAGATCTATCTATTGGCTGTTATAACCTATGAATTGCTCATGGCCCCTCAAAAAAAAAAGTGGTATAGTAAGCATTAGTGTACAAGTACCGAGTGGTAGAATTAAGAAACGCTAGTTGTACCTTTCGTGGCATGCCGCCGTCGTCGCGGGCTGTTGGGGCTAAAGCCAACACCAAAAGGAGCCTGTTAAAACAATGCAACCTTTCTTCTTTGGGCTGTATCACGTTCTGGAACCAGGCAGAATGCGTCACAACCAATGCAGGCTATGGTTAAGTGGCCTATATGCTCCCGTCCTGTTACTCGGACAAATCGGCAATGGAACTGCTGGTGGTACGTAAAAAGGTGGCCCCACCACCATGGTTATAGCCCAGCCAAGTAGCTGTTATGAGAGTGTTGGAATTGTTGCAGATAACTTGGTGACCCACAGCGAAATACCTAGGCCGCAATTCTTACCACTGCTGTACGCTCACAGCCTCGGACCTGAGCTCCAGAATGGAACGCAACGGTGCCAAATAAGATACGTCCCTGCACGATGAAGCATTGAGCTAGCCGGTGCGGATGCGACTGCGCAGGAAGCTGAGGCTAGCCACAGGCTAAAAAGATGGCATTGTTCTCTGGTCTTGAGCTTCCGCCTGGAACTTTCAGAGGAGAAAGCTCCTCCCGAATGGCCATCACGGGACCTGTGTGCGGCCGGCCGTAGTCAGTCCAGGCCTGACTGCCACTGCTGCGGCTATTGACATTTGCTCATGAGCTGGGCGTACAATCAAAGCTGCTGTAAGTACCCCTTTCAGTTAAGCTTCTTGCAATTTCCATATCCTTGCTCCGCTGCAAGCTAACAGTGTGTTATGGGTAATGTCGAATAGGCACTTGAATTCGCGGTAGGCGAAGTGTCAAATTTCTAGAATATATGTGCATCTTTGCTGGATAGCCGTATTTTTTTTTAAAGATGTCCTATTGCTATTTCTCTAAAGGACAAGTCCGGAAAGTTTGGGCAACTGTACGACCTCGCTGCGATCTATCTTCTTATACCATTGCGGGCAGCATATCGCGATATGGTCCGTGCGTAGGAGGCTTGCCCCAGCGACATGGATCTCCTCATAGGGCTCCACTTTGGGCGCCGCCGTTGATTTACAGATCCTGGTCTCGAGCTTCGCAGGTACGTACCTTTGTCTGAGTCCCACACCTCTCCCACTCCCACATGATCTCCCGACAATGAAAGAAGACGATTCGGAAACGGCGCAGCTGTGTCTCTTTTTAAGAGCGCCCCGTAATTTGCGAAGCGTGTTCAATAAGGCGAGAGGCGCATTTATGTCCCTTGAGTGGTTTGACGTATCCTCTGCGTGTGAGGAAAAGCTGGGGTAAACGGTTGTCCTAGTGTGAAGCCGCCCGGTGCTAGAACATATTGAAGTCGCCAGCATCACCATTCCGATCATGTTTGCCATTGTGCAGGAATTTGGGTGCCCTGATTCAAGATGCCTAGCTACACAGCTGCCAAACTCTTCTCTCATCGGCGCAGTCGTGTCCGAGCGGGTACTGAGATCTTCCCGAGCGCGATGCTAGCTTTCTGGCCTGAAGGCCGGCATTTGGATGTCCGTCGTGCATCTCCGATTCCCGGGTGTCTTCAGTGTTTGCCAAAGAAGCGCTGAGCGCTGTCTGTTACAAGCGTTAATCACTAGGAATTTGGTGTTTTTGTGAGGTAATGTGGAACTGGCTCCCGCAGGCCGAATCCGCGACGGAGTCGACGTTGGCGTGCTGCGGAATGGGAGCAACCTGTGCAGCCTTTCGCTGCCCGTCACCGCGTCGCATTGGAGACCCTGTTTCGGTGGGTTCTGTGCAGTGTGG